CATATTCAAGTTTGATCCAAAGCTCTTTAACCTTGCAAATATGCACGTGCTAGAAGCTAACGGTACATCTTTCCGTAACTACGTTATCCAAGATAACTTATAAAGCTAAGATCTAACAAGAGAGTTTCGAGCTTCAAATTTTATTGCTTTTTTGCAAGCTAATTCGGTTCTGTACTACAGTATAACTAAGAATGATGAATTACAGTTTGCTTCGTATGCGCGTAGAAGGTAGAACGCTATTTAATCGTCTACGTTCATGTTAAAAATAGAAATAGTCTTCTTAAAATTTTAAAACTATTATCCTGATATCAAGTAATTTAATATACTACGTCTTTTAGCTAAAATCCTAGTAAACTAGACCAGACATTAGGCAATACCTATCATATCTAATTATAAAATATCGTCAACTAGGACTCAATGGAGTAATACATAAAGTTCTAAATATTTAAATCTTGCCTGTGCTCTATGGCTAAGGGATCCAGCTGAAGACCACATTTTGCCTGTCTTTAACTCGAGTGGTATGGTATGGGATTCCTAATAAACAGATTCCGAATAAAATGAATTTCAGAATTAGGAAATTATTATATAGCTGCATACAAACTTGTAGGGTGTCTCTAGTTTCAATTCCTTTCTCCCTTTTGTGAATCTAGATTAAAAATGATTGCTAATTTAACACTTATCCGTTCTTTGATATGATGCCTCAAATAGAGTTAAGATTTTAAACTAGAATATATAGCAAATATAGCAAAAAGTCAAACAATACTTACTTTGACCTCTACTGTAGCATCTATCTTGCCTTTCAGACCATATCTAATATTCACAGTAGCAAGCAATGAAAGAGAAACAGTATATTACTTCAATGTTACTACAGCAGACTATTATATGCATTGTGGAGTTACATTGTTTAGAGACGAATCTCTTTACCTTGGAGACCAAATATTTTCTTCAATGTCATATAACTGACTTATACAGACGCTCGTATCTTGCTCACTACAACGACAATGGGTACATAGTTTGCCATCAATTATAATTATGGAATGTAATGAAAATTGATATCCAACCAGATATATTACCAAGATACTGCACTTAGAATAATAATTATGTGGTCAAATGTGCCAATACCTTTGAAAGTCTGTTCTTCCTAGTTCATGATGAGGAACATCACGAACATATCTTGACGCCCATTGCTCAATACTAGAAATCTGTTCTTGCATTATTTCCGAGACTGACTGTTCATTACAACCTAGTCTATACCTAAACATTTTGCATTGAAAAAATTAATCATCTGAATATGCATCATGAAATAGATGAAACAATAAAATGTTATCATAATTACATATCACGCAAGTATTTTGGTTGTACAAGGATCACATCGATATATTTCTGTAATGACGGTCTTGAAAAGGATCTATTTCGCATGGCCTGACACACCAGAGAGTAAATTGATGCATAAGAGACGTATATAAATTTATAGCTAAGTGATCCAAGATCAAACAGCGTATTGCTGCAATAAGATATCAATATTACAGTACCATTTCAAATAAGTCATGCAGCATGGTACCGAATAGCATAACTTCACTCCGCTTGTCTACTCCCTAATAAAACAATGGTTTAGAATATTATATCTTTTACGACTATAAGTTCAGCGTATTAGCATAGAGATATTCACATCTTGCGTTATTTAGAGTAACAAAATATGAAAAACAGATCCTCATAATTAATAATACTGTTCAACTTGATCTGCTTCTATATGGCCCACCTTAAAAAGCTCGTCCAATACCGCCCTAGTATAAAATTCGTATGCCATAATTGTAATTAGTATTCTCATTATACTGTAGATATAGGAACGTCATCATTTTTGACTTACCTCCTTAAGCATTTCGTAGCAGTAGAAATTGATGTACCAGAAACTAAGCAATCGCTATCTGTTATAATTAAATTTTTGTTCTCATTATCCAAAATGCATTTTCCTTCATGGTTAAATTTCCCCATTAAATTGACGCGCTGGTCAGAATAGACTTGAGATGCTTCCCTGCATTAATAAATCGAATGCAAGAAATAGACTATAGCAAATACAATTCTTATGGGTATGCTACTGCCAGTAAGAACACCCTATTTGATAATTATTTTAATAGATTAATTATCAGCCGCTTACCAATCATCCCTTAATATACAGTGGCACATAGAGTTATCCGCCTGATTGGTTACTTCAACGACTTTCTCCGTATTAGATCTTACAGTAGATTTGTAAGCTAAAATTAGTACATTCATCGAAATTTTAAACAAGCATGTAAACCGTACCGTGATAGCTAAATTTAAGCACATACAAAAGGTATTCACTTGAAGTAAACTTATAATAAATATAATTGATAATTCTTACAAAATCTAAGGTAATGCAGATCATAGATCTTGATCGTGTGAAGAATTATTTACTGATTAGGTCTATCACATAATAAAATTACCTAATACTCTAATTGACAAACTATAATCTCAATTCTAATAGACATTGTCATTGACTAAATCAAATCCTGTCCTGCTCATAATCTAATATACGATAGACGCGATTTACTCTGTCAATAGCCGGTAGCTCTTGTGCAACAAATAAAATTCAATTTATGTACTATAGTAGTTTAGGAGTAGTAAAGATTTACAGTCCTTAAGTTACCCCCAAATTCCATTTCTTTTAGTTGAGCTATTAGGGCGTACATGGACAGATTTGACCAGTAACGAATAGAACTCGAGCTCATGATCAAGGTCATTTTTTTTAGGACTAAGGTAGCCATGGCGAAATGGACTACAAATAACATCAAATATATAATTTATGTTATTAGTGGATATGGAGCATACTGCCGCATAATTGTAATATGAGAAATTAGCCAGGTTTGGGTATTCATAATTATTCGTTTTACCTTTGGTTTACTCTGGAAGGACGTAGATAACGATCCGTAACCGGAGTTAACTTGATCTTTCGTAATAAAATATCTACAGCATCTTCATCGGCTTTTGCAGTATCTAATGATTGAGATTTTTCTGCATCTTTTTCCTTAGTATCATATTTATCGTTCAAACAAGTGATGCTATTACTTTCTGCGATATCTTTAGCATTACTTTCATCTACTTTTACTTTTTTAGTAACGCTACCATACATCTCTAACAATGCGCTTTCGTTGTATTGCATATCATCACGGGTATTATCGGTGCAAATGTTAGGTGATTTACTCATGGTGCCGAATCTCTCCATTAAATTTCTCTTTATTTTTAGCTATTAAAAAGTTATATGATCGAATAAGTAAACATCAGCTTTGGTGCATCTATAAATTTCAATCATAATTGTGATAATATATCTTCTTATTAGAGGATTTTACCTTATCAGTGCGAGGCTTAGGGGGCATTACGTTTTCCAAATTATCACATTCTGTCATCACTACTTCATGTAGAGGGGGGTTCTGTTTTACCTCTACTACTGAATTATTACGCCCATTTTCCACTTGTACTAATGATAACGATACTTCTGGAGGTACTACTTTTGTAAGTGCACCTATACACGTACATTGTTTGCTAGTGGCATCAGGTAAACCATTTGATAGCTCTTCATTAAGATTTAAATTTTCATGTTCTATAAAAAAGTAATAACCGAATTTCAAAGTTGGGCATTACAATTAATAAATCATACTAGATTTGGGTAGGAATATGCCTGTAAAGGTTTGCTTCATATGGGTAAATCATTTATGCTTTACAGTAGCTTACCAAGATTCTTTTTCGATTGTTTGACTGTTTCAATTTTATCGATATGATTGGCATTTCCTGAAGATAGATCCTGTTTTGTTTTTGATGATCGATCAGGTTCATTTTCTCCCCCTGTTACACTAGTTTTGTATTGTTGCAAAATAGCGTAAATACTGGTACATTAATCCATGCTATCATCTTAAAGTTGAATCAAGCAGATTGCAAAAGTAATGGCGCCCAATACAATGATGTGATGATAAAACATCTATTGTATTTGATAGCAGATGCTATTGTTTAATTTAAAAGAAAGCAATCAGGCCTACACTAGCCTTACCTTGAGATTTTATCAGGAATCTGTACTGGTTGAGATGTCTTTTGAACAGTGCCAAGCTATGAAAATGATAATCATGATATTATAATCTATATGTGTGTATGCATGCAGTGTATTATTGATTAAATCTACAAATTTTGAGGATAGATAGTTAGATGCAACACAACTATAAATCAATAAACATGATGTAAGTATCAGTTAATAACTAAAATTACAAGTATAACATCATAACGTTGAAATGACTTCTAATCAAGCCAAGTTCTTCATCAGAATCAGATTTGTAATACTTACAATGATGACACTATCATCATCGACTTTATCAGCATCCTTAGATTTATTAGCTTCCTTGGAAAAGAATCTGTGGAGGGTTGATTGACCAGCAATTTGATACTTTACCTGAAGGAATTAATAGATATTCTGTTTTTTAAAGGTGTGATCGACCTGTATAGGATTCAGTTTGAATTGAAATGGAATGTACCGTTGATTTGGAATTGTTCCTCTTCAATTTCATGGATTTAGCCATTTAATTTATCGACTATCTCCGCCTTTCCCGCTATTATCGAAAAGTCAACAAAAACTAATTCTGATCTTAAAATTTAGCGCGAGTAATGATCATCACGCTTGCGCTAATCGATTGCCACCTTATTTAAGCCCATTCTCTATCGTCAGTGATAGACTGCCAGTGCTCCATATAATCCTATGGTTGGATTTAGACTCCTACTTGGTCACCGATACACTATTCTGTAATCCGAACCTTTCTCAGGTCTAGTCATAGCGAACTGTTGCTGAAACTTAATTTATGTATGATAGCAGGCAGACCTTTTAGGCCGGCAGTTGCAGCAGCTCTCATCACTATTGACTTCAAGTTAGCGAATTAAAGTCATGATAAATGGCTGATGAAAGGAAAGATTTTATAGCAGATGCATGATATTAATTAATGTTAATGGCGGTGCTAAGCTTGACAAAATTATGTTGCATATCCGTAGCTAAGCATTTCCGGAATTACCCGATAGATGGATTAGAAAGTAAGTGTCGAATGCAATATGTAAACAAAGTAAAGGAGCTTTACAAAGTTCGCAAGATAGCAAAAAGAGTTGCTACCATTTACTGTAGTTCGATTCCAAGCATTTCTTAGTATCAACTATGAGGCTAATCAAAATTTTAGTACTTTGCCTTAGCTGAAAAATAGCTTAAAATCTTGCTCCGATGCAATCTTCATAACATACGTGTATATCTCTACCATATCCGCTGTAAGCAGTAGTTTTTGTAGTAGCTTAAGTAAAATATGCAGGCGTGCAAATTAAACGGCGACCTCATACATTAATGTAAGTTATCTATCAAATGGTATTGTACTTAGCTTGTATCCATAGAATATCTTGTACAGGATTACATACAGAATACTAAAAATCAGTGAGAGTAGCTTTAAAGGTTATAACATTCGTATATTGAATTGCTGCTAACAAATGACGCTTTGGTTTTATTTCTTGCTATGTTACGAATTAGGGTTACCAACTGTCATTCTAAGTTGTTTACTGAATTATCTTGCTCCAATCGATATACTTCAAATTAAATCATGCCTGGATGAAGCAGGTAAGCAAGGCATGTTGGTATAAAACGTATTGGATTTATGGATACCTTTAGGGTTAAATAGTCTTCTTGTTAACTCTAAGTGCAAATACGTGTACAATGTACAATGTACATATATGCCTGTGTAGTACTGTATACTACTTGCCAATAGTCTCGTAGTTGTATAGTTTTGCTTGGTTGCAACAAATTTGATTATTTTTAACGCTATCTTAATGGTCTCGACAATAATAATTCTGTAGGTATTAATAGCGATCAACATTGGCATAGATTGTATGCAGATCGTTGGCCTCATGGAGCGAAAAGGCAGTATCAGCAATTAATTTATCTTTCAGCTATCGATCCAACATTTCAAGTATCCTGGCAACAGTTGTATATGCAAAAACATTTACAAGACATTATTAACATGATGAATTTACCTAATTTAACTGGTAAGGATTGATAAGTAGATTTATTTATCACTGTAACTATATTCAGTATATAATGCATGATGTCTGCGATTGTTCGAAAGGAATTGAGATATCATTGATATTAATTTAATAAATCAAGATTCTAATAAGAGAATTGAGAAATACTGATACTATAAAATTAAAACACGTAGTTACTTACTCATATTTATACTATGTATGACTAACTATTCTCTAAGCACAAAATTGAATTAAAATTTTCTCCCTTTGTTTTGTGCCTAATTGCAATATACTAACTATAGAAACAAATATTAATCCACTACTTTATGGCAATGGTACATCTCCAGATTTTATATTTCAGCTGAATCGTGACCAAACTACGAATACTCCTACAGCAAAGGAGCAGATAATGGAAATTATCTCCCTTTGTTTACCTTATATCTATCGACTTCACTTACATAACTGCTCATGTCGAGAACTTGCAAAAGCAATTTTTAGCAATAGAGATATTCCTTATGCACTATTGAATAGCATTCGACATTTGGAATTTCATAATTTAAGGGACAATTGCATTGATTTTGCATGCGAAATTATATCCAATAGTACACAATTGAATGAAGTCGTGATGCGTTATGCTAAGATCAATACCCCAAAGGCATTCGGTCAGATATTACGTTCCATATCCAATAACAAATTTGATAGAAGATTGACTATAGATAAGTCTTGTCCAGACAACATTCGTGAAATTGACAAAGTTGTACCTGCAAGTCAGGGTACGATAACAAGATGTGATAAAATACTACAAGATCGTCACATTCGTCAGAATATGTGCGGTATAGAAATTTTGTGTCTCTCGTCATATTGGATGGACGATGCTTTAGTTGAAGTCTTATGTGAGACCTTGACTACTTGGTATGACTTAAAATATCTTCAACTTATTGATAACGGATTTGGTATCCTTTGTATTGATGGATTAAAGCGAATCATGAAAAGTTTATTAAAATCAAGGACAAAAAAACAGCTTTATGGTTTGCAAGTGGAACAAAATTTTTTTGAAGAGGATGACGAAAATTATTTGGCTGAACTTATCAATACTAATAGGTAGTAAATAATTCATTTTATTTACCTGCTATGCTCAGTACTGTATATGACAGTCCTACAATATCAACTTTATTCGATAATTAAACACCATTCTCTTTCTATGGTCTAGCCCAAACGCCTCTTTTAGAATACTTACTCTTAAAGAAGTGAATCTCACAATGCAGCAAATATCAGTGCTATTTCAATCGATCGATAAAAGTAATATTAGGAAGTTAGAGAAACTATCGATGACAGCAAATATCGACGACAATATTGCTGCTAAATCACTTGGCAGCGTATTAATTCATTGTGATAACATGGAACTTTGTCACTTACCATATTGTGAACTAACAAGAACAAATTCGGAAATTATTTTAAAATCTCTGCGGGATCGTAAGTTACTAAGTAGGCATAAAATAAATTGTGTAATGATTCTAACAAAGACCACGGAGTTGTTGATTGTTTGATGGATATACTGTAATAAAATTCATTTCTACAGCGATAATTTTCATGCACTGCATAGGTCGGAAAAACGGAAGTTTAACGTCTCTTAATATGGAAGGTAACCTGCTTAATAGAACTGTGGATATTGAGCTCATTAATTCGATCGTTCGAACAAATAATCTCCGATATCTCAATTTATCTTCCTGTATCCAAACAGGTATAATTTATTAGAATGTATCAAACTTACGTTATCAGCAATAAACAAGGATCCAATAATTTTTGCTCAAATTCTAAAAATTTATAATGTCAGATGCCATTTTTTATTGCAGAGATTACAGATAATTTTATCAGATGTATTCGTGATTGTAAATCCCTGATATACCTTAATTTATCCCATAACAAGATAGGTTCGTAAGTGAGAATTTATTGTGTTATACAATACTAACATCAAAAGTAACTTCTATGCTGCCTAATATTTTTAGGCGATGATGGAATTAATAAGATAGGTTCAATTTTTCATAAACCTACTGTGGGTATGAGTTTGCGATCAATAGATTTAAGGTGCAGAAAACCTTCTATTGCAATTAACATAATTATACGATTTTTGCGTATCTGATTTAAATGGGTAATGAATTAATCTATTACTAACGAATGATGAATTACATCATTACAGTGTCAATAACATAACAATAACTGGCCTATTAGCTCTAGCATCTCGGTTAGAGTCTTTGCTGCCATGGCATCTAAAGTGGATTAATATTAGTGGTAACTATTTCAATGGTCAGGTTGAAGACGTCACAAGTACATTTAATTTATTAACGTCCGTATTAGTCGCAGACGATATCAATCGCGTTAACATATTTGCTGACTATGTGGGTATGATGTAATACCAATGATTGTAGCGTATGAATAAATTATATGCGTACATTTTTGTTTGCATGTGAAATTATCTATAAATGAATCAATACTAGATTCCTAAAATTGTACATGCGTTGAATAGAAAATATACATTAATAACTCGGAAAAACCTCATATTGGGTTTACTGAATGTCTGATCATCATTTCGGGATCATTATTGGAATTTAACTTTCACATTAACAGATAAGTAAAGTGGCTCGCAAACCTAAAACTGTTATTATTTTGTTGTTTGAATTCAATTTATAATTTGCAAATCATACTCCTGTCATACCTTTATACTCATTATTACACACTGGATATAGGTATAATCGTACCTCGTCGAAATAAAAAGGCATACTTATTATGATGAATCCTTTTAATAAATTTTTAAAAGAGTGATCTATGGGTGTACATCCATAATGTTATAAAACTGATTATGATAATCAATTACTTTACATTAGAGATCATACAGAGTCTGGAAAGCTATTGTATTTTCTTTTCGAACTATCTAAAATTCAAACATTAATATATTTTCATCGTCTTACTGAAGAGAACTACTTAGAGCACAAATTATTAACAGTAAATACAATATTTCAATTAATTTCATACAATATAACACGCTTAGGTATACCAATAGGCTGATGTTAAGAGTTTGATTCCATCAAGACAAACTCTTGAAATCATTTTGTCGTACGTGAACATCAATTAATAGCTTGTAAGATTACGATGTAGCAGCTATTTAGCTAGGAAAATACTGGATATTAATAGTTGTGGATTATTTTGAATACATATATTAAATACACGATAATCAAATGTATTAATAAGTATATAAAAGCGACCAATTTCAACGATATCCTCTTACAAGTAGAAATGTTTCTAAAAACAGCTAGCAAATTTTTCTTGGAAAGACGCTGTTTCATTACATATAGCAAGAATGTGCATGAATGGTAAAGATTTAGGAGCTATAGACCTCATTATTAATATTTAACTTAATTACATGAAGTGTTTATACGCGGATTTAAATGGATATTAATCGTCTTTTATCCGTGCAAATTCCTTTACAATTTTCCAGTACTTTTGAATTATTGGATATTTAATGATAAGATACGCAAAGGCAATAAGTGTATATACATATGATAACATTAAGTATATGTTCATCGTATCTGATACGTTGACTGTTACAGGACCTGCGTTGTCTAGATCAGTAATATTTTCTGAAGCGTTATAACTCAGTCCTAGGTAGAAATTTTTGATCGTAGAGAATTAGTACATTATAAATTTGATAGATAGTTTACTAAATCACGAAACATGCATTAAACTAACTGGATATGAATATAGTGACTGAAAAGCAAACTAGTATAATTATATTATAATTGTCCAGGTTTATTTTATTTTAGAAATGGAGGGTTTGTAATGTAAATGTATGTTTCAATATTTCATTCCTTAACAGAGGTTGTATAGCGGTTTGTAAGCTCTTTCAACATTATTACTATGTAGCTATTATCAAGTTAAACTAGTAGCCAATAGCTGTTCATACAAGTATTCTGATTAGAGCTAAGAGTATATTTGACGTGTAAACTGTTGATAATATCAACTAGGCTAAACGTACAATTGCTACATACGTATTGCATCTGGTGTTGTCCATCAATATATGAGCATTAATAAGATAAACCAATACTAGAAAGTGAGTGTTATCCTACAGAAATTTGATCTAAGAATCATCTAAGACATCATATCCATCTATTCATCTAGTAATTTTCCTTCTTCGCCTGGTAACAATTCTGTGAAATCAATGTTATTCCACTACAGCAGTTAAAATAACTATGAAGCATATTAAGCTATTTTTCTGATAACTAAAAGTACCGTATAAAAGTCTACGTGGGTTGCATAATAATCGTGAAATACAAACTTATAAAAAATAAACCGTTACCTGTAACATTGCTGACGAATTGAACTAGGTTGTTGAAAGTGGCTGTTGAATTAAATCGAAGTATTCGTCTTGCACGGACAAAGATTAAAACAGTTGGTGTACCCATGACTCCAAACTAGGATTGAAGAAAGGGTTTATCATTAATTAATGTTATCAGAAGTTTATCCCTATAGTTGAGGGGGAAGGCTTTATACTCGTAACGTTTATTTCAATCCGTTAGTAATATTGGATATGATCGATATCGCCGTTAACTAAAGCACGTATATGTTATGTAGCAATATATAATGTTGGCATGATGTTACTATACAGTACGCGTATAAGCTTTAAATTACAAGAGTACCAATACTGTAGAGCAGTTATCGATGAAAGTAATTGACTTACCCTGATATTATAATAGCGGTTATCGTAGGCATTAACAGATATAGTGGTTAAATTAGGAAATATATGACCAATTGCATTGTATGCTGGTGCTAATTGAGCCGAAAATGAACAAGACGATGAATAGAATAGTACCACTGCACAACAATTTTTATTATGCATGAGGGTATCGTTAGCAAATTGAAGCCATTGCGTTTTATTCATATGAATCACTTCGTTGACAGCAAAAGGACAGCTAAAATTTCCCAAGCAATTGAGTTGATTTCTACCATCATCGCTAGAACTGCTATTATCTAATAAGAATATTTGACGATATACTTCTCGAGTGAAGTTAAGTTGTTGTATTTGATGATAACTACGACAGTAAGGTCGATCAGCCAGGCATGTCCTACTTGCATTGCTACCGCTGTCTTTTGTCCAACTGCCACTATAACAATCCATATTGTAGTTTACTTGACCATAGCAAGAAATCTGAAAAAGGAGCATACAGTAAGCAGCAAATAAAATATACTTCCGATGGACTTGGATAGGCTGAGTCTTCATGATTAGCTATTTACCACCTCTAAATGAAGATCATTCTACTTGCAATGTTAGCTTAATTCTTGCAGTAGTTTTCTGTTACTTAACTGAGCGACGATGAAGGCGAACCTGATCGTCAGCATTAGTCACTCACTATTAACTATTTTGATCGTTGTAGTCAATTTTCACAAGTTGTATACTCCCTGGTGTAAGTATTGCTTTCGTTCACTTAGTTTAAGCGATCTGATAGTATGTCATACCAGTGTTTCCGTATACTGATAGTAATTACACCCATCGACACTTTAGTTTGCTGTACGGTACACCATGGCATCGCTAGGAGCATGGTAGACAGTATGGAAAGTACGATACAGTACAGATTTGTATAGAATCTTTGAAATATTTGGAATAGACTGTACTTGACTGTACGGTTTACTATCGATCGCTACGACTGATAGAAACACTCTAAGTACTTTAGTACAGCATACTGATTTACAGACCAAAGCGATATGCTATCCTATGTTATGCAATGCTCAAATTTTTAAAAGATACATTTGATATAGGGTGATACATTATGAAATATCTACGTACGATAGCAACTGCAATTAAATTGAAAATTACTAGTTTAAATACAAGTCGATCTTGAAAAATTTATATCAATTCCTTGAAAGCCTAATTGACTTTGCTGAATTAAATTTCAATTATGTCATCATTTCTAATTTTTTAGCAATAACATCAATCGATTTTTGTTAAACCTTTCTCGTCAAGTATTCACGAGTACAGTGTAGCATACATTCGATGCGTGCATTGGCTATGCAATGTTGCATACATTGCTAGCACTAAATGAAAATGTCTTTACGGAATTATTTTACGCTATCAATTTTAAGAAACGATTGGATGAGAATGCCATTGCAGGCTACCATTGTCTGATACCGAAAGACAATCCAGTACTCTACTCGTATAAGGCTTTTACAAGAATTACGCGGCCCAAATATTATGCTGTACACATTCATAACTTGATATTTGATTGGGAATGTAAATACGCGGCCACTAGTCTAAACTCTAAAGAAGGCTACAATACGCCAAACGTAAGCATTGTCCACTACTTTTTATTAATTAAAAATAGAATCTCGAGTATATTATCTATATATCACAATGAACTCTAAGTAGGTTATTAGCATAAATCAGAAGATTTTATGAAAATTCATTTTAATATTGCATACTATAGAACGCATATCCATGCATTAATCTTGCAAGAACTTCAATAATTCATGGTATGTCATATAATACAAAATTAATATACGAGTACGTAGGTGTTTGATTTAGATCAAACTCTACTTCTGCAACTCTCTCCATGGCTTTCTTCATCGATAATTTATGAAGAAAGGAAGCTAACTCCCGTTTTTGCTTGATTGTGCAACTGACTTTCTAATTTCCCTTATATATTTGAAAAAGAAAGTGCTCATTGAATACTCTTCGATTTCTATATTGCTTATAGAGCATAGTATAACAAAGCTAATAATATACAATATTTGACGCGTAATTAACCGTAAGCTGGTCAAGCTTTACTTACAGATTTTATGCTGCCCCTTTACTGGAAACTTAACGTACAATTCTAGAGGACTAGCGACTATAAAAACATACGGAGATTCTGATTCGCCATCTGGGTACTATAATTATAATTGTATTACAATACATTACGCCTAAGTAATCGGAATTGACAACGAAATGTAAAGCTCCATACGATAAATAGCGGAAACAATTCATGTACTAGTATCAGCATGCTCATAGCTTACTTTTTCTTGATATTCGTTCTGATCTAAACAGTCCAATACATCCACACAGCCTAATAGGCAACCAGCTGGGTAACTATCTGGGAAATCTAGATCAACTCCTACAAAATGGTCCAAAATCTAAATGTTAACACCAATTATGGAAAATCTATTGTAATAAAAGTCAATTTATAACTACCTGAGTAGCGAACTCGGTACATATCTTCTAATGCTTCTATGTCGCTTTTCTCACAATCTTTACTTGTCGAAGCTATCCAAAGTCTCCCTCGATGAGATGCATACCATGTACGCCCTTCATGCCTGAATTTTCAGAAATTATCAACTTATTAATTTTACGTTAATTAAGGAATGTACTAGAATATATCTGCCTAGTTTTCAAATTTAACCACTTCGAATAATTACGCAACATTTGTAGGCTGTCAGTAAATAATTACTACTAACACTTTGATTCCACGAATTAAAAGAGATGCCCAGGGTTGATGCATACTCAGGCATAAACCTTAACAGCGTAAAAAATTCACCTTTGTCAATTATGTACTACTTAGAGTGGAAGTAAAGATCACAAAGATTTTACAGTATAAATTATTTAGCGACTTCAAAACCTTTATCAGTAACTTCTTGCAATTCCCTATCTTGTAGTCTAAATTTAGCTTTACTTGGGACTTTTAAACCGGATTTGACAGGCTCAGAGATTTTCTTTTGATGTTTACCAATGCTTACAAACTATAAAATTACCGTTTCAAATATTTAAGATGGTCTTTTACAATAACAACCCAAGAACTATAATTAGTAACCTACCTTAACTTTATCTGGGGATATTACAGGATTGTTTGGATGAAAGATATCTTTTTTACTCTTAGTATTATCACGCTTAGTTCCAGAAAATATGGACAGGTTATCATCGCGAAGTGCGCTCTTATTTACACGATTAAAGTAGTCGTCATCTTCATGAACGACTTGTCTTCCTGCTAAATCAATCGTCACTTTCATTTCACGGCGCGACTTATGTAGCTGATTATTTCTTTGACGTTCTAACTCTTTCAACTGTTTTATTTCACTTTCAGAAAACCATCTATCAGTCTTAAAGTAATCGCGCTGATCATCAATAACTTTAGTTCGCTGAGCACTAATACGAATAAAATATTTAAATTTCTGTTAATTTATAATCATTGACAATATCTAAGAAGAAAACTGATTAGAATGCTTTATTATGGTACACTACAGTTCTGACCTAGAACGATCATATTCTAAGAGTTTATTCCGATGTTCAATTGCATTTTTAGCTTGAATTTCCTAAAAAAAAAGAAGCAGCACATTTATTGATCTATTAGTATAGACTACAGTATATTTTCTTATAATATTATAAAAATACATTAGATTACTGTATATAAACCTGTAAAGAAAATTTTAATGACTGTTATCTTGTTAGATAACATTCAGATATCGAAATAATGGAGAATGATTAGAATTTTTGATTGTATACGATGTTAATTGGCTTACGCACAGAATCACCAGAATAATCGATGAAAGTATTACTATACTTACAAATTCTTGATTGGCATTCATTAACGATTCGTATAACTTTTTGCTTTTCCGTGAATTTCTACTAAGAATTTCTTTTTCTTCATTGGTGCATACCATATTACCACAAGATAAGCAAGGGCCAGAACCTTCCTGATTACAAATAATTCTTCCACAGTTCAAGCAGTTATTAACTAACTCATGTCTTTGCGCTAAGCAGTTACAAATATGCCTTCCTGGTAATCGGGCACTACCATCAAATTGTGACTGTCCTTTTTCACTAGTTAATGGTATAAATCGTTTCTTATTAGCAGAATTTGCAGATGCATTCCGAGTATATTTAGTGCTTGAACTTGGCTGCAACAATTTTAAAAATAATTAGTTGCATTATCTATCATAAGTATAATAGTATGTTCCATCATGTTTAGAAGAAGCAATCTAAGTCTGCTATGTCCTTGACTACAGTTTTTCGGATTACATTTTGATATGTATTTATCTACCTGTTCCATCGACATTTTGCCATAGGCAGGTAATTCATTCAAATTGTCTTTTCTATAATAATATCCCTCTGGATTTTCTGCAAGTGCTTCATCCTTATGCATAGCTTTATTACCTTGATTGCCTTTACCTGCACCTGCACGCTTTCGTCTTCTTTTCTGAAGAGCTTGAATAAATTTTTTTTTCTCGCTTGGATCGGCATTGGGGAATATATCATCTATAATTTCTGTTAAATCCTCCGCATTGTTACATTCTAGGATGTACCTACAAATAGTGAATTTTGGGTAAATAGAATTAGTTCGCTATTTGCACATGTACAAGCAATATGCGTTTAATGAACATTCTTACTACATATATTACTTAATATACTGTACTGTATACACGTCTAGTAATACCAAGAGTTGCTCTATCCAAGTAATACCGTAGTAACAGGTATTAATATATGACGTAAGTGCTCAAGATAGATTTCATACTCCATTCACTGTTATAGCTATACTATAGCTCTGTCCTTCAAATAAAAAGTACGCGTGCCTTATAAACTGGATAGCAGTTACCCGTAAGATTACTGCAAGCTATCAGCTGACTAGTATAGCAATTCTCTATCATTAAATCAGTTCAAATCAATATTATTCTTGTATGACACGAAGACATACGAGTACATGTACTGTACAGTATATGGAACAGGTTTGGGCTAATTTTAAATCATTGATAATGATTTTATAATTAAGCAAATGCCCTAAAATGTACAATGTGTAAAAACACTGTCTGTCTAGGTCATCACTGTAGTTACTGTAAACGTATCGTAAAAGCAATAATTTTAAGTTTAGAGATAGCTAAGATTGTATAGATGTTTAATTCAATATTGATCCCTTAATTCTACATTAGTATAAAATAAATATTATACCGTAGTACACACGCAAAAGCATCTAACATTGAATGTTCCAGAAGAATAACTGACTTTCAACACGATACACTGTACTACATACAAACGTGTATGCTTGAACCCGTATAATCGTACACAGATACGGTTACTGATCCACTACTAGATGATGCATTACCCAATGATAACATCGCTTATTTCGTTCTCATGTAATTTCAATAATCTCAGCTGTTTTAGCCATGTAACGTCCTCATCGGTAGGCATTATTCACTTCTTGATATGTCGCGTTATATATCAATCAAAGATGCTCAACAACCAGAAGGATTAATCCAATATTCAGAATATCAGCAAAGTCAGCAGTTTCATCGAGCTTTACAGTATCTCTTATGATTCATTCAATGAACTTGCACTGTACACTGTACAGTACAGTACACTCCAATTGAAAGTGTCAACCCAATTGAAAGTGTCACTCCAATTGAACGTGTCACCCCAGTACTGTTTGCACTTTGCAGTGTGACAGTTCCGTTCAAACCTCTTTGTACAGTACGTACTGTAGTTATGCAGTCTTTATACTGTACAGTACAGTACAATACAGTACAATACACTACTGTACTGTACAGTACAGTGTACTGTACAGTAGAGCTACAGTACTGTACTTGGAAAACAATGATCTGTACTGTACAGTACAAGTGTTTTGAATCATCATACAGTACTGTACTGTACTCTTCCAGGGTCATCGCAGCATCTTGATAAAATGGCGATGGATCAAGTAGCGACGTTGGTGATTGGGGATTCCCCGGCTGATCATGAATTAAAGGACATGATCGATTTCTTCGGATTATCCGATAAGAGAATTACAGTGCAATTAAAAAATAATTCGAAACATCTTAAAGTGGAAAAGGTATAGGAAGTTAGCTATCGGTCCTAAAAGATCTGCACATACACAGCAACATATTGCTGTTTAAAGCGGACCGTTTCTATCGAATGCATTGCTAGCTCATAACTGAGTTGAAAACTACTACATACTGTAAATAATATCGACTACATACTGTACAGTGTATACAGGTTTATGTAAGGCTATAGCAAGTTTGATTTCTGCAGCAGGTACACCAATTCACTATGCAATGTTATTGCAATTGGTACTATGTGCGGTAATTGTTTAATCCGTAATTGGCTGTGATTGCGTTTCTGATTTGCTACTGACCTTACAGTGTTGCATATAAATAGTAAATTAATTAGATGTGTGGTACATATAGAAAGGTTTTTAACTGTGACGTGATATACGGTAGGTGATTCTAACAAGAGAATTACGTTTTTATTATTTCTTAATGCGAAGCTACCATGCTTAATTCTGGACGGAAAGTTGATTTATCAGTATAATGCCATCGCGAAATTTCTAGCTGCAAACAGCAGCAGCCACACTGGAAAAAGCGATATAGAATGGAACGAAATTTGGCAGTATCTGGAGTACAGATCTGCAGATGTGCAGCCAAACACACGAGATAATGCTAAGATTCAATCCGTACTAATGGTAAATATTTAATACACGGTAATAGGAATGATTTATTGTATGAAATGGTATAAGTAATTTGGTCTTGCTCTGCTGCGTGGTTGTCTCTAGGAAATGAATTCTATTTTAGCCACAAGGACATTTGTAGTTGGATTTAAGCAATCTCTTGCCGATATTATTTTATACTTGGGCTTATATCCGATAGCTGTAAGAAAATATTTCCCCTCATATGCTTTTGCAGAGTTTATTATACATCCTCTGTAAATTTACTGTAATACCGCAGTAAAAATCTGTTATGCAGTGTATCATAAGTAATTAATTTTTCCTAATTCAGATTAAATCCTATTGAAAATCTATAATTTTAAATTTTGACGATAGACTTCTATGAGTTGCGAAAGCAAACAGCGATACAAACATTTCTCCAGATGGTTTGATCAGGTTTGTATCTGTTGTTTTAATTTGCATCTGCTAAGGCTGAGATTTCTCGTTTTTCTTTTAGAATCAATACTTAGCGGCGTCAAGCTTTCACTTAGAAAAGATATATTTTCCGAAAAGTAAGATATATAACTTCTGTTAAATAGTTCCAGTGTCATAAGTGAATATCATTTTCGTTGTTCATTGCAAATATTTTACAGAAGATGCATGCTATTACGAGTGCATCGGCGTCTTAGTTCTCGAAAAACAGCTGAAAGATTTAGCTCAATTGTGTACATTACGTAATGACTCTAAATAATACTAATAATAACATCGTTAAGTAAATTTTCTTTTCTTAGCGATTTCTATGTATTTAAACTCTTCATTTACGTTTCAATAAATCTGCAATGTACTAAATATTGCTAGTTGTTAAACTTCATATGTACTACTGATGATTAATTGTATTCACAAGTCTTGTTAATCTGTGTATCATACATTCATTTAGATTAATCACTAAAATTTCAGTCTGACATTAAAGTAAGCACTGGCATGGTGATATCTTCAGCCCTAGTGTATTTTCCTAGTACAGAAGTAGTTACTGACAACGAAAGGTTGACATTTTTGATCACACTACAAGTCGTTGTGTGTAGTCCATAACGTCTACCTTGTACTAAGTTTGCCTTAAAACTCTTCCTTTATGAACTAATTGACGGATATTTTAATACGTGTAAAAAAAATAAATGAAAGATACCATGCAATTGAGCTCAAATAAAGTCACTTTATTTCGTCATAAAGTAGCATGAATAACAAGAAATTGGCAATAATAGCTTATTTATAAATGAGGGTCTAACTAGACAACGAGATTTGGTCTTTATACGACTATAACCTTTGGTAAATTAAAAATCAGCAGCTTTTCATGCGATAGAAAATAAATAATTTGTAATCCTCGTCATATTTATAGATTTTCAATAACAGTTACTGCCGCGTTATAGTAACGAATAGATATAATAGGCGAAATTATACGCATTCCTATGCAGCGTATGACATTTGTTTCAAGTAGTTAAATATTATGTAAATATTTCATATCTTTATCAAAAGAAAATACGGAAATACTCATTGGACAACGTTAATATTGATATGCGGTATCTATATCCTTTATCTTTTGAAGTATAATAGTTCAATATTAGGCTATTTTGTATCCGGAGTAAATGCAAACTGTCTCAAAGTTATTAATTGACTATAGAGCTATGCCAATCAATTTCATACTTACTGTTTTACTTTTAATCTTAACTTATACTATAGAAATGGTAAATGTTATAATTCTTTGTGGATAATGTGTATTAATAGTTTAATTTACCATATTGGCCTTGTAAATTTATAAGCATGTATCAGAGAGCTATTAATACATTAGTATAATTGCGATTTTGATCCTCGAGTTAGCTGATATAAATACTGTATAATAATTTTGATGATGCTTCAACTATAAAGTGACATATAATTCTTGAGCTTTGATTAATTGGTTAGTTCGTCGCCACTGCTAGGCTCAGTCATAATTGTAAGCAATGTGAGTAGTATTTTCTTCAATCATTGTGATATCATTAAATTAATTATCATCAGTAGACTACTAGTATACTCCTTCATAGTGAAGCATATCCAGTAATAGTAGATAAAAATTAAAATTATTAAAAAGCATTATATTTACGTTGATGAATAACTTTGTGTTTTGTTTTTGAGTCCATTGATGATGAATGTACATCATATCGTTAGCAAACTACATTGTAATAAAATCATCAGATTCAAAGCGTAGTAAAATATTATAAAATAACAACAAAAGCAGAGTATATGGTATATGCTTTATCTAATATCCAGTGAATACTTAAATTAAATGAGCTATTTCTTGGATATACTCTTGAACATTATACGGTACAAGAACCTGATTATTTTCCTATTAGAAAATGGATAATGGCAGAGTAAAGCACAGAAAAGGAATATAAGGCTTTTCAAATTCAGACGATAAATACCTATTATATCCTTCGTTACATAATAAATGATACCCACCTGCTCTGGTTATTATCAATTGGATAACAGCACGTGCTACACATATGTTTTAAATCATAAACATAACCTTGGGAATAGAGCTTTACGTAATTTCTGATAAATTGAATAATATCATGATAGATTAGCGCATATGTACAATATATAATATAATTGAATATGAATATTTATACATAGTATATACCTAATAGATCATAATAATGGCTTTATATGATAGCTGTTTGAGTATGCATGTTATAGATTATACATATTTATTTCAGAATGTTACCTCCAGTTAGGTATCGATTATCTTTAGAATTGGATTTTTTAATTCATTTATACTTATTATGCTAGCAGTTAGTCATAATCATTGCATAGCAATCGTCTTGTTATCCTTTCCTGAAAGATCCATAATAATTATCGGAGGCGTACGAAAATTATGATACTCCACAGAAAATCAGGTGAATAATGTTTAGTCTAGCCCCAATATGAGTTTTAATGAAATATTTGTAATTCATTTGCTTATACTACATCATTCTTAACTGTACATAGTAAATCATTTATTAGACGATGAAATCGTATCTACAGTGGTAACACGCAATTACGTATATAAAGTCACCTTGTAATAATAAATAAAAAAAAGGCAAGATGGATAAATAAATAGACATTCAGGAAATAACAAAAACCATAAGCCTCCTTTCATTTAGCCCTATAACGCCTAAACGCTGTAAATCTATATTTGTAATTGTAACAAACATCTAATAAATAACACGAGTTTTATATTCAAAGCAAATGTAATACGATGTTTGTGACCCCTAAAACGAGATTCTCTATTCAAGTAAACATTTTTGGTCTTAATTGTAATTGTTTTGTGTAAATATCCAGTTTGTGCCGTCTTGATAACCAGCTAGTGAAGCAATAGTTAATCAAAAGACAAAGGTTTTAGAAGTTTTTATTGAAGAGTGAGTTGCTCTGTAGCTTTTTTCAAGCTTTAAGGATAGTGATGGTATGTGGTATCTAGTGACATTAAGGAGATAAAAGAATGTTCATCTTACAATATTTGGAAATTGTAATCATTAACTAAGACTATAACAGCTATAAAAATTTATTTAGTGGCAAGTAAACAAGAAGACAGTGAATTTTTGATAAATTCGACAATTTTGTTGACGTAATAATCATTCATTATATTGTTTAATTAATATAATCAAGTATTCAGTTTTTACTTCAAAAGCGATAATTCGCGGCAAATTGTGTCCGGACTTGTCTCTATTAATCAAAATGGAAGAGTGATTTCAGTTGCAGGTCGAGTCAGATTATAAATAATAATAATATATTACGTAGATTATGAAATTAATTAGGAGTAGCTGATATTGTACAGGTACTTACTTATTTATTACATTTACGCTAATAAATAAATAAGTAAACGATCATAATTTATATTAAATTTTCTATATTTAGACTACTTCTCGTACAATATTGTGCGCATCAAAATGTACGGTTGATGAAAATTGTATTATCTCAAATTCAAATAGAATGCCTGTAAAAAATATAATATTAAGCCTTGGAAAATTTTTTAAAACTTTACTTCCGTGACCAATGACCATCCATCGCAATCGTTTACAGAGTAACTACATATTGTAGTAATTTAATCTAATCAAAGAAACAGCCAGACATAATTTATGATGCTTCAGGCTGTAACTATCATGACCTTTTACTGATAGCTTTTAGTAAATAAAGATTACTGTAAATGTTGAAATTTAAATGACAATATGTGGTTCCTTCCTGCGACTGAAAATTTATTTAACTTTAGACCTTTGCATTTTATCTAACTTATTTATGTTGGGAAGGTATTATGAGATGAATCTGTTATATAAGTACACCTGCAATGTAATTCAGTAGGACTTGAATGAAGATATTCACCACAGTTGCAAATGCTTCAATTTAATCATAGTCCACTAATGGATGTTATTAATATAGCAAAGGTAAAGATCTACTTTTGTCTATACAATAAGACATGATGACGTAATTCTCATCAAGGTCACCTAGTGTATATTTTGAACTATTAATTTAGTTACAATGTATTGGAGGAAAGTTTGCTTCAGCTGTTAACAAGGAAGTCGATCAAGGACGTATGTGTGTGATTTGCAAATACAAACATATGGCATCACGATTTATCTTTGCCTAGGGCTTTTCTCATCATTCAAAAAGTGATGCTAATGTTGCAGTGATCGGTGAGGTCAAGAAAATATAACCCGTATATTCTGTATAAAGTATAAAGCAACTACGATGCAATTTTAAATAATCAACAGCACGGCTTTGTACGTATATGGTATACGACGTAAGTCACACAGATGATACAATGAATGCAGAGTCGTACATGGCTCAATCAGCTTACCTAGTAAAGAGAGAATTTTCAGATGTCATATGATCCACTTTTATTCAAGGAATATTTTTAATCTTTGCCTCCAAAAATCGATACGAATGCATTCCTAATCCAAGAATTGCTTCACGAAATAGGGATACTATAAGAGCCCCTAAATATAAGTTGATTTTGAGTAGATTTTAAATCCTCTTCCTTACCCATCTCCTGCGCGTTAACTCAGTAAAAGTCTGAATTCAGTAGTAACCTGTTCTTAATTAGCAATCTTTCTCCTGGATAAAAATTCATATCACTTTCAGGAGATTATGTAAAATGTGGATAGTCCGACATCGAATGGTTCCGAGAAAATCGTTTATCTCTACAGTAAAAGATTTCACGGTATCATGAAACAATGATACACAGATTTATCTCAATTATTTGCTCATCATATCAAAAGATTATCTAAGTCACTCATCAAAGAGTGATTGGTTATCTACTGTACAGTACTGTACTGTACAATGTAAATTAAAATTCGCTTCGAATTTTTAGCTAAATGATACTGAACGTGTGATACTACAGCCAAAAAAATAATAGTGTGGAAAATTATCCCGTGACCAAAGTGACGTATTTTTGTCTAACACGATAAAACCTCTAGCTGCATGCACCTTCACGGATATCGCAAGTCAAGTTTTTCTCCTATCAGTTGTAAGCTACTGACAAATTTATTTTACTGATACTTTATATTGGCCAAATCTTCTTTCGTTCAAGACATTGCATAGGTTTAATTTAATTAAACAAGGTCTCTATGGCGCATATTCATACAGAGTATAAAATGATTTTAGATTAACCTGTAAAGTTTAGGATAGCAAGTGACTTGTAGTGCTTAAATTTGCAAGTTGTATACGATCAGTACGAGTAACACTACGAATTTGAATCCAGCTGGATAGACATTTTAATTGAACTAGTCAGTGATAACTGAAGATGAATCAATTCGATTTACTATGCGCATATATATACGAAGTAACAAGATTTTGAACTCATAAACGTAATCGTTTAAATCCGGTCTGATTATTGCCGTTTACTGTCAGGATGTGGATTGGAGGAAAACAAGGGTTGAGTAGTTCCGGTTACCAGTGAATAGCTTTGAGGATATTTTCCAACAGTATTCACTGTCTGTAAAATTACTGTATGTTCTTATCAAAATAGACACATTAGAACCTCTTTTATATATCGAAATACTTATACTTTATTGGTCAGCTTTCCGGGTTAAACGATTGGCTGAAAACATATACAGTATATATCGTTTAATACCGTACTGTTATTACATTATATTGCTATTTTAAAGATAAGATTGATATTATTAATATTACAGTACTTCCAGTAGCTGTTACAATTCGGGTGAGATATTATAGTACAAAATGTTAATAAGGCGAAAATAAAAGATCATTTAGTTGACATTTGCAGTTAATATATTTTCTATCGGGTGAAAACGTTAAGTTATATTCGTATAATGTCCATAATATAGTGTACTGCACTGGCAAGTAGACAACAAATACATAAAAACTCCATCTTTTTGTGTTATCAACAAAGTTCCGCATCGGCGCTACTTGTAAATAATGATTACTGCAATAAATAATTTGGTAACAAGTATAGCAATTTATAGTTGTTATTACCACTGGATTAGACCGAGTGCAGTACAAGAACTTCCAAAGGACTCTTTGCCCTTAATTTAAACATATCCATCTTAAATTTAATCGGTATGTCAACTGGAGTAAAAGTAGTGTGGCTAAAAAATAAGATCGATAGCAGTTAAAAGCAAAGAAAAAAAAATAGTACTCACTGCTTTACATGATACTAGCTAAATATACTCGTGGAATCGGGATTAATAAAATTCGAATTTCATGTTTATTAATGCTGAATTCATATGCTGTAGGATAATCGTATGCCAAGATACTGATCAATCATTATTCTTTGTGAACGGCGTCATACATTAATTATTACAAACGTATAATGGGCAAAAGAGCCTATTTTATAAGTTTATCATCGAATAAATCAAAAATATTTACAAAATAAGAGTACGGAATTAATCAGTATCCTGGATCTTCTTAACCAATATAAATATAGTGGATAAAAGTGGTGCGTTCCGCAACGTTTATGGAGGGATAGTTCTTATGTGCAATCTTCAGTACCACATCCAAACCAAGTAGTCCAGTAGCGTGAATATATTTTTCAATTAGTACTATCTCTATTCGTGTAACACGAAACTGAGATTCAAATGTTACCAGTTTGGTTCCTATCCATACAGTATACCGTAGTATGGAATGGCATAAAACTTGTGAACGCTTCGGTAATCTATTATTGTGGCAGTGAAATATGGCAACCAGCACCGACGTGTTGTAAAATTTGTTCTTTTATGGCACAAATTTCTTTTCGTAAGGTTTCGACAGTAGAAGTTAACTTATTATTTTCGCATTTCAATTCTTTGACCCTATCTTGAAGATCTTTCTCTTTTTCTAGCTTTCGTTTACGACAGCGTGAAGCAGCCAGTCGATTTCTTTCTCTTTTTCTCTCTTTTTTAACCCATTCCTGTTCTTCTAAATCAATTTGCGGTAACGCATTGGAAGCGACCGGTACAATCTGGGATTTTTCATCTTTTACGGAAGAATTGGGTAACATGTTGATAGCGTAATTATTATTGGCAAAAGTGTTGGAGCTTTGGGTAACCGCTATCATGGGAGTCGAGTTGATAGCATGTTGGGTAGATATACCGCTAGTACGAGTTAAGGGTACCACAACCTGTGCTTCACTGAGGCTTTTTTTCTCGGCGTCATAGGCAGTGGCTAATCTTTGGGCGTAATCATTTCGCGTTCCATGCTTACATAAATCCCCATTTAAAAAGCAACCAGAGGGCGTAGGAGTAGTTATGGCGCCATGTTGCTCGATGATTAAACGTTCCAGTTCTGGTGATGCCAATTGCAGCATGTTTAAATCAGGTGTAGTTAGCGTACATTCGTTATTACTTTTGAGTAAAGCGGCACTTTTCTTTTTAGGCAAACTTTCTAGGTTCAACTGCATTTTGCCTTTGTCGGTAGCGCCACCTCCGAAACTGAAGTCGTTGCTATACATAACGTTTTCGTCAGAATACAAGGAGTCACTTGCAGTCCAATGATCCATAATAAGAAGAAAATTTCTATAAAGTTAAATTTGCGGTTAGAAAGTTCACGATCTAAACATCTCTAGCCACATAGGTGCAATAAAATGAGTCATCAATAGTAGTACAAGTCTATCTATCTATCTTCTATCGACGATAACAGGTATACTGTAAACGTACAAACCTCGAAATAAAGCTAGTACTGTACCAGTGTGTTCAAGCAGTAAATCCAATAGAACATTCGTGTACTTAGATCCTCACCGCAAGATCGGTATGATTCAACTGAGGTTTTAGTTCGTCTGTCGCGTTTTTATAAGTTCATCCCGTTACTTTTTTTGGAACGGATTCCATTGTGATACCATTAGAGAGCGCTGATTGGTTTACCTTTCAACGGGGGTTTACGTCACCCCAGTCCAGCATAACAGGCTCTGTCGCATGCTGACACTACCTGACAATTTCTACTACAGTATGGTAATGTACTATACAGTACAGTAGTCTGTCTAGTGCAGCATTTTTAGCAATGGACATTGTTCTTGGTGATTATCATTCTTTCGATTATTTATTATTATTTATTTATTTATTGTTGCGAGCTGCATACTGTAGCGTAGTAGCGTACAATGTACTTTGCCAGGTGTGAATCAATCGTAGTGTCCAGTATTCCTACTACTGTATAGTGGACTGTACACCATGCAGAGCAGTGCACCGTACTGTACTACTGTACTACTCTACGCCACTGGCTGCTGCATTTGTAACCAATGTTTTTGCATATTGTGCTGTATTGCTAGTGCCGGCGGGCACTAGTCTAGACCAGGCCATCCGACTAAATTTGAACTTCTTACTGTAAGGGTCTCTAGTTTACAGTACTGCATTGTACTTTAAAGTAAGACTTTTAAAAAGCCCGACCTCCCGCAGGTGTACAACGCAGCTTATCACCCTATAAAATTGTAGCCTGTCCACTAGTCATGACTGCACTGTCACTCAGTGCTGCACCTGGACATGCTTTTTAAATTGAATTTTCACCTTATAAAGTGCAAAGAATTGAAAAAGGAGTATTTGACAGCACTTTACAGACAATATAAAACATCTTAATTAGCTAATTAGGATTGATCACTGCACCTTAATACCTGTAATATTTTACATGTCTAAGATCGCGTTAATAATCCGATAGCATTATTGCTAGGCTCCATTCTGAGAATCTGAGTACTGTACACTATACTGTACAGTGTACTGTACAGTACTGTACTGTACCCGCTTTCACTCTGTACTGTACAGTATACAGTACTGTACCTGTACTGTTCTGTACAGTACAGTACAGTACGTTGCTGCTCTTAGTTACTCTGGTGAACTTCAAAATTTTAAACAATGCTTTATTATGACGTTTTATTTACCGTTAAAATAAAAGAAAGAATAGAACAAAAATTAATTAATTAATTATCAGAATAGAACGTCAACGTCAGCGATTGTGACGTCATTCTCACAAGGCTAATACTCTACTTTATTACAGCTAAACTACAGTAGTGTAATGTAATTCAGAGTAATTCAGATGAGATGAGTAGTTTCAGGTAGTTTAAAGTGAGTGAAAGGTAATGTACTTACAGTTAAAAATACCTAGAAGGTAAAAGGCACCACATGCTGTACTTACAGCTCGTAGAGGAATAGGCATCCCGTCGCTTTTGTGCTTAGGACTGAATTCATACGCGCACAATAGCATAAACCCTACTGACTATAGCCTACTACATATGGATATATTACGCTGTTGTGCTACAACTCTCGTTTTTGCATTTTTATTGCCAATATTCTCTGTGTAAATCCGCTGTTACGAATCCATACTGACAAGGTATTAAGTATACTGTATATATGCTTTGTCTATTACTGCAATATTTACAGTTTGTTTTTATTAGTGTCCCCTCAAATAGTTCTGCGCTACTAACACAAATAGTACTAGAATTATAAAATTGCTGTTTTATTAGAAAGCACTTTACCCCGCCCACTTTTGGAATTTTCTGACACTAACCTTTTCATCTGCCTTTTGTGCTATTTTAGGATGTCTTCCATATATGGGCAATAAGATTTGTCGCCTTCTACTAAATAGTACAGTGTACGTAGACACTTTATATAAGGGTATCATGTTATTGTAGCTTAAAAATAGATTGAAAGTAAAAATATCTACGGGTATTAATAGAATTTATGAGTATACAATCGAAAATCGGTAGGCATTTATTTTTAAAATAATATAATTAATGAACACTTCCCCAATACCAATACAAACACACACCATAAATATACTCCTTCTATATATATCTACTACTGCTACGCATCTACCATATGTCGGATTAAAATGGATCAGATAAAAAAAGGGTGTGCCGTTGTACAGTACAGTACTTTACTAGTCAGTTACACTACAGTACAGTACAGTACATACTGTAACTTTACAGTACTGTAGTGTACTGTACACTGTACTGTACAGTACAGGTAGCACGGGTTGTCCTGTACAGTACTGTACAGTGCACTACTACAGTGTATAGTACTGTTGGTACGCGTACGCGTGGCTGTGTTGATTTGTGTTACTATAGTAATCCAGCAACATTGCGCTTTGTAGCATGTACAGTACAGTGTTTATACTGTATTGTATTGCACTGTGCTCGGTCTAAGCTGCATTGCTTACTGGGGTTACCTACTGCCAGTAACCACCTTAAGTTAATCATCATGCTGTGGACCGGAGACTACAGTTGTACAATGTACAGTCCGCTACTAATTAAAATAAAATGAATAAAAAAAGAAGGAAAAAGAGGGACGGAAGCGATCGTTCATTTGTAGTAAAATGTGGAGGCCGATTATTTTACTGATCATTTCAACTGTATCGCATGTCTGCAACGGTCGACTATGCTGTCCACGATTGACATCCAATTAATCCAAAATAGCTTCTAATTAGAACAGCCGGAAAATTGATTAGCCTCTATATTATTTTGCACTGAAGGCCGCCTTCCGCCCCTTCCTCTCTTCCTTTATTTTAGTACAGTACTCCCTCCTATGGTACACAATTTTCGCGTAAAAGGGGATAACGGGTAGTAATTTTTACAACAATATATCCACACGTTTTGCAGTATTTTCCCATATTACTTACAAATACAATATACTTTAAATAGCGTATATGTATAATTTAATTAATTAAATTTAGGTCATCATGAGCTAATTAAAGTGATTGTGACATGTAGTAGTTTATGACTGCATCTAGAACAAAACGAAAGTATATTATTGTGTTGCTTGAATAATAATACACTAATTTAAAGTACTATTAGATAGTTTACATGTATACCAGTGTGCTGCATTGGAGCAGCGCTATACTGTACAATACTATACGGTATAGCGGTTTCGATGTTCTATCATTGAAAGCCGGATCTGATGTGCGAGCCACTTTAAATGCAATCATATCCAATAGCTATTAAATTATATAACATGAGATCATTCAGTTAGCATTAAATGATGTATTCTATGCTGCACCATGCAGCAAACTTACAATCCCCTGGTGAAATACCTGCCTTATACATTAATGCTATATAATGTAACAGTAATATTTCTACGGACAATCATACCCGGCAGGCACTAAGTTATACTGCATAGGATAGTTATTAAGCTTATACCTGAGTCATTTAATTTTCGTAATGATGTACGTATTTCATGATATTTAGTAGTTTATCAAACCCTTCGTGAAAGATATAGTCTTGTACATGAATCCAATATTAATGTATTTACAGTAGAGATATTGAATATAACGTCTATACATTTCCAGTCGAATCATCTAACATTAATATATATGTATTAGACGGAAGTAATTAAACATTAGTACATTAAATAAGGCATAAATTAAATTTTATAGTTAAGTAAAATAAAAGCATACAATACTGTAAATATGGTAATTTAGGCATCTATCCGATAGTAAAGATTATCTATATACATACAATTGCGAAATCAATGCTATTATAGGGGTAATAGTAACGCGGTAAAGGCATACGGAGTGAATAATTACTTCGATTGATTCATAGATATGGCAGTCCTGCACATATAATAAGCATTAGAGCCATAAGCTATTCATACCAGTATCTACACCACAAAATATAAGGGAATTCATACTTCAGCACTATCACAAACGGGTGGTTTTATTAACTTTTCACTTCAAAGGTTATTTTATGATTCTAATGAATCCGTAATGACACTACGTTTCACATTTGCAGTGCAGATCTTTTAGATGTTGGGATATACGTACTCTATCACTTTCGATATTAATAAACTACATACAATAAAGTTAACGTTTGAATTATTTCGGTATGTTCAAAATTTTAGATTGTTTTGATGCTATAGCATAACATTCTAAGGAGCACTTATTAAGCATTACAATCTATACAAATGCATGCCAACTACATATTTTAATATGACCTGAACGAAGTTAATCAAAATTTAAAAGCAATGAGCTTGTGCTACAAAATAATGGTATATTTTCTTGTCAATGCTTTTGTAAATTTATTTATATCTTGCTTATAGTGTATTCGTAACATTTCTAAATCATTTAAGGATTTGTGAATCACGGCTAATATTCGTCTATTTACAAAAATGTATAGCAGCATAATTCCAACATGCCATCATAGCTGCTAATATGTCAATGCATTACATAATGCTAGCAAATAACTAAAATATCGATCACAATATCACATCGTTTAAGAAATTTTTACACATCCGTGTGTATGCATTTGATATTTTAGTATTAGAAATATTTTAAAATTACTATGATTTGTTACTATCGGGGAAATGATTTAGATAGTAGATCGTCATATTTTCTCAATTTCAACATAATTAGACAAAATATGAAAATGTACTACAGTGCTGTGCTAAACTCGGAGTATATAGTAAGTATATGAACATCACTATAAATCATATACCTGATATCGTATACAGTATAAACATCACTAATACATGTTAGTATATAAATTAAGAAAAAGTTTTCCATAAACTGAATTGATCACAGAATAAAAACGAACGTCATAGTTTTATAGCTTGCAAGGTGTGATGACTTATTGAGCATTGCTTGGTGTCATCATTTATCGTATTTTAGATTTAATTTATTGCTGATCCCGTAACAGCAACGGAGCTTATAGCCACAAAATGATCATATCCATTAGTAATAATAATCTTTAGATGGGTTATTGGACTATTCACCTGCATCAAATTATTAAGATAAAATTCGTATTAAGTTTCTTATTAAGCACAAACTGAGAAAGCCTTCCAATCTCTTGATAATGATAATGATGGCTTCTATTCATGCGAATGTTATGTGAACACTGACTTATTTTTAACAGTGCTTTAGTGAAGTAGCGGAAACGATAGGTAGCCTTTGATAATTACTTACCTGTATATTTTCGGTAACATTTTCGTTCTCCTTTCTCTCTATTTCTGATAGAATTCAAAAATTTTTCATATGTTACAATAATATACAAGTAGTTGTAAGATATTAAATTTGAGGGCTATTGTGAGATACGATCCTGCACAGTTATCGCATGCATGATTATTCGTATATCCTGAAATTTTCCTTCATACCTTTAGAACAGATTTGCTCAAAGTCAGTAGGCTTGGAATTTATACCCTTGTAGATCTCCAAAGTCTTAACTTAGAAAATAAATATGATTTTACAAATTGTGCTAGTTATAGTGATACGGCAGTTAATACAATTCCTTAGACTATTTTAAAATCATTACTGTATCACTATATCATTACAATATGATGCTTTGTTGAGAATTACATACGTTCCTTCACTTTGATATATTGCAATACACAAATCACATTAGAGATACTGCACATATTGGCAATTTTAATAGGGTAAACGAGATTACTACAAACATTGAGGGAATTTAAGGGAATTTTGCTAAAAAAGGGCATCAATCTCGTACAAGAACAGTATTCTTTTGTGAGTTGCCTACAAAATGCTTCTTTAGTTATGCAGATTAGTTATAATTTCATCTACATTGGTATCGACTTCAGCTCATTTCACAATTATGTGTTAAATAACTTATTTTATTTAGCCCTTTACATACTATTGACTCCTTGAATGCTAACAGTATCGGCATTGACTTTCGCAGGGAAGCTAACGATAAATTCTTGCGGATATAAGCCAGTGGTAACCCAAAAGGTTTGCGGATCGCTAGAGATTCGAGAGAAATATTACATGTAAATAGACAAAGTACCTTTGTGCAGTCATAACCTTTCAAAAATATGCTCTGCTATTGGACAATGCAATTATACATAAGTATATATACATGATTTGCTAATAACTATAATTGTTTACAGTAGATGATTGAACACATACGGTACAGGATGATATAAAGAATAATTGCGACATAAAATGCGGTGTAAACTGCGTTGGCTTGCTTTACTAGCATGATAAAAAATTTAGGATTATAACTTCTGTCAATACAAATCAATACAAATATTGAATAATTATAATTATTTAGTGTTTCTTGTAAGTAAACTTATACTAAAAATGAATAGAAAAATTATCTTTTCTTATAATTTGCTGCCACTGTGCATAACTGCACATGAGATCATAAAATCCGACCAGTTTGATTAATAGTGTAAATTACATTGCAGAATGAAGTAACAAAATTAAGTATTGAAATAATATTTTAATACTATAGAATAGACTATAAATGCCTTCGAAATGTGAACAAGAGAATAAGAGGTCCGTGTGACTGTCTGTTTATTATAATCACATTACAACTACACTAAACCGGTAACATCTTGCAATATGTGGTATGCCACATTCTAGAGATATCTAACTTCTACAGTATGAAGACATAGACGGCTGTGATGATTAGAATTTAAACTGTTTAATACTATATTATTTCAGATTCGTTGATGCTTATATCAATAATCAAAAGTTATTACTCTCTGTAATCTGTATCTCAGCACGTAAGGTGACTACTATATGAGGAGATTGAAAATATCCGATAGAACTTTACTGTTCCGTTTGAATATAAGTTCTAGAAATGACTATCATTGTTTAAAGGTTTATACTTGCACTTTTTAATTGATATGCTATAACATAGCAGATTATTATACACAAGTTATCAAATTTTACATAGATATATGAAATAGTAAGTCACTGACTCATTTACTATACTGTTTTGCTCAAGATTTGATTAAATAAACATCTATGATATCAAAACTTTGATACTTTATAAATTCAATACGGACATTTATGTCATTAAACTTCATGCTATATCTTTAAAGTTATATTCTAATGGACTGGAATACGTTCAACGAGTCATACCATGGACTATTGAAATAATGTCTTTAGTAATCTATCGTTATCACTAATATGGCGTACATCGTGCATATACAGTATAACAAGTATGACAGTAGTCAGTTGGTTACCATAGTGATTTCTCCATACTAGCACTTAAAATCTACATCCAATTGACCGAAAAATCAAGCAGGATGAAATTGTGTGGAAACTACTGTAACATACTCGTATAATCCTTCTTAATACATGCAATATGTTCTAGTCCTGATACCGAATATTTTAAAAATCATCCGGCATTTTCTAATTATAATAAATAAAGATAAAAATAGTTAATGCCGTACGAGCTCTATTACAGTAATTTACATTATCGTATTTGTGCACATGAATGGATAATAAGATCAAAAAAATTGACGCACAGAAGGAGTCTGAGATTAGTAGTGTATTTTTGTATTATCATAACTTTAAATTTAGTTTTACCCATCTATCATATTTTCAGGAGGAAAGCCATCATCACTGGAAGTGGCTAGAATGACGGATACACCAGCCGACGACAAAGCTAAGTTAGCCATATTGCATGCATCTAATTATTTAATTTGAGCCCGTAGTGTAATACTGTACAGTCACTGTCCCCCTTAAAGGCCTTTTGAAACAGATGTTGAAACGAACAACCAACGACTGGTACAGTACGGTGGCCCATAATACAGTACAAAGACTTACCTCTTACAGTGTACAGTACTGGTTAACTGCACTGTACACTGTAAGAGGTAAGTCATTTTCTTTTCCATCTACCGGTACGGTAGGGAACTCTGTAGCTGATTGATGCACTGTACTCTAATGTACTGTACTGTACTGTACGTTGTGTAGCAAACCCAAAGAACCCTGCCATGACCCTGCCCCCCCAAATCACCTTCAACTGAGTCCAGTACTACTGTGTACAGTACAGTGTGCAGTACATAGTACTGTAGCATGCAGAATCATATGTTGTGCTAACAAGCAGTGCAGTACCAGGGTGGGCATGCGAGTGACTGAGTCATCGACTGGTGTTGCCCTCTGGAACACTCCCATCTCTCTGGATACCTTTTTCATATTAGGGCTACGACTACAAGTTGCGAAAATTGAATCTTAACAAGGCAGTACTGTACGACTGTTAGCAAATGTGCTTTTAATGTACTGCTTATTAAGTACTTCGACATCATTCCGTGATGATACAGTATTAAAAAAGATTAATTAATTCATTCTATCATCCAATTTATCCCGCTGTACCCTACGTGTAGATTAGTTACGATTGAAACTTGTCTGCAACAAGACATTCAAAATGAGTGAAGTTAATGGACAAGATGTGTCGTCGTTAAATTTAAACACATTCAAGGAAGAGGTCGAGAAAGCTTTCACTAACGGTGACATGAAGAAAGAAGCAAAAACTTTCACTCAAGAATCTAAACCTGGTCTTCATAGTCAACATGATTCGATCGATTTAACCTTACCGGAAAAAAGTATATCCAAAACAAGCCACGAGCATGGCTATCAGTCATACCAGGACACGAGTAAGAAATTGAAGATATGTTTACTCTATACTGCTATACTCTATTCTACAGTATGATAACAGTACATGGTAGCTACGGAGATTGGATACTGTACCTTCACTTATGCAATATACTGTATCTAATACTGTACTATGGAAAGGTGTAAACTCTTCTAGACAATCCCAAATGACCAAATATTACTAGACTGCACTAGTAATAGCCTAGATTGTTCAATTCTATAACTTCAGGCATTAATTAAAGATTTGGATATTTAACTTGAAGGTGTAAAGCTAGAGAATACGTCAATATTTATCTCTAGCATTCATTAATCATGACCGACTAATTTGCTCGAAACTCACTATCACTTATTAAGCGTACTATTGAGTTACAATCAGTTGCTATTATTTAATAATAATAATACAATAATAATATATACCAGACATTGGATAACGATAGTAGGTACTCCAAGGATTACTGTAATTAATGAATTCTTACTATCAAATAACTTCGAATACGCCATCTATCTGTTGCCATATCCAAGCAATGTTTTATTGGTTTATATACGAGTATCTACCTTAATTTGGCCTTTATTTATTGATATAAGCTAACTATTCTCCACCACCAATAGCTGCTGATTAATAACTTTATTAGGCAAAGATACTATACTTTCTTGACCCATTCACGCCGTTAAAGATATAATATAATAATTGGCAATGCAATTAGTGTACTCTTGTCCATAAAGGAGAAAAAAATAATGAAAAATTTGGATACTTTCACCGTTGTATTTAGTACTAAATGATACGATCACAGACGACTCATCTATACTGCGCTGCAATATACTGCAGGCAATGATGCTAATTATACTAATATGCTAGACAGTAACCTAAGAAAGTCAGTAAACTTAAAAAATCTTAACAAACTTGCAGTTATAACTGCGCTAGGATGATGTTAAATGTTACCAGCGTGCAATTAATTTAATTTAATCAGCCATATATACGCGAATGTAGAAATACTGCTAAAATCATTCTATTTTTATAACTTCAAGGTACTAAAAGCCCTTGACGTTACAGTATTGAAATCTCTACTTAGCATCTGAGTGTGATAGACATAGAATTACCTTATACCTTAATGTATTTTAATTATGATGGAGTGCATGATTTGGCTAGTATACCAAAAGATGTGAGAGCCGTGATCGGTATTTAAGAATATACCAGCATACTGTACAGATATGCCAAGTAAAGATTGTTTAAAATAATCAACAAAATAGCAGCATTTAATTAATGAATGAATACAAAGTATAGAATATCTGATTTAATTGTAGTTGTTAGTCGTCTGATAGTTCATTAATCATGATTAGAAAAATTTAATTTTACATGCAAAATTTTAGTACACTTTTAATAATTGAATGCGAATAATGGATTCCTAGTAATGTAAATATACTTCAACATGTTGATGATGCCTGCATCTTGAGTTGACGACTAGCTGACACCAGTTTAATGAATTCTTCCAATTTACAGATTTCGCTCCACCTCCGCCTTATGAAGTAGAAATGTCTGCACCATTAGCTAAACATGATACGGAAAGTGACCTGATCAATCCTTCATTGCTAGGACATGATAATTCTACTGTACCGGTTATATTTCCAGTTGAAAGTTTCTTTGAATTAGAAAGACGTGTTTACGTTGACTCTTGGTCAATACCGTACAAACCTACTGAAGCTTTAGGCAAATGTCTGATTGCAGCAACTAATTTAGCGTTAGAAGGTACTTCGAACGTCATAAATACTATACATGGCTCTTTATTACAGAGAAATTACTCAAAAAAAGCGAGATAACATTGCATGCTTTGTTATCGCGGTATCGCTAAAATATAACATTATGTACTAGCTTTGTTATTTAAACGTTATTTGACGATTATTTTGGCTACTTACGATACTGTATGGTACTTTAGGCAACGCTGAAGCCAATGATGACTGCGTTAGATTTATGACGCAAATGGTTCCTGATTGTGTCTCCAAGGTAAGAATGTTTCTGCAACACTACCTATGTAATTGGATAATACGTACTGTACTGTTAACTTATAATTCATGACCATTTTATTAATCTACGCTGGTATACAGTATACATATAATTTTGAAAGTTAAATTATGACGGAAGACTTAGCATTGCCTCCTACTTACTATTGCAGTTTTTCCTTCTTTGTACTTTATTATCAAAATTCTGTTAATTATTGCCGTATTTTTTAAATGTACTGGAAATTGTTCTTATTGTAGTTCTATGTCTATCTTTTACTTATATTTTGTACAGTATATACATCTACGTATCACGTATATCATCAACTGGTAATGGTATTCGATTTTTAACCAAGATATAAAATTGATGTCTGTATTGAGATTTTCTTAAATTAATTTTACAATATAGCTTATAACATCAAATGCTGTCCAGCGTTGGAGTGAAGATGTTTATCGTGGTATATTTGACATGCTAGAAATGGTAGTAGATCTGATAGCTGCTAGATTGAAGAGTGGAACTATTCCTACAAAGCTTTTGGGGACGCTTACACAGGTATATATCTTCATCACTTAGTTTCCTTAGGCAAACTTTTTTCCGTAAAATTATTTATGCCTGCAATCGTGATATACGTGTGTTGTTATCGGTGATTAGTTAATCAGAGCTTTTAATACGTTTCATTTAACTCCAGATGCTAGATTTCAATACAGAGTATCACCGTATGAATGCTTCAAAAGCTTGGGATAGATCGCGTTATGAACAAGTATTCGGTTTTGATGAAGTTTATGCAGTTACTCCTCCTCCAGATGTGCACAAGGTATGAAACTAGTGTAGTAATATACGTACGCAATCTGCAATCTAGATACTTAGAGCAACTCATTTATGACATTTTTCTATAGAATTCGTATGGCTGGATCGTCAATCTTGTTAATCGGGTACACACTTCCCTCAATTTTAGCTTCACACTATAATTGATTGATTATGTCACCGAGTTCTACAGATGTCTATAGTTATTAAAGTCATATGCATTTTAATTGTTCGCTTTAGTTTGCAGAAAATAGTGGTTTCGAGTACCTCACTCAACAATTTGAGATGAATAGTGACCTTGATTCAGAGGTATTATCACTATTAATTTACTTCCTCGCAAGATTTATTCACTGATATTGCAAACAGGTTAAAAGTCATATTGTTTTAAAGATGATGGTTTCATTGTTACAACCGATGGCAGTTTGTGCTGAATTTCTAAACCCAAGACGAGTTCCTGTATGTAAAACGTATAAGTTAATGAATGTAACCAATTGTATTTTGATTAGACTATAAACTATAAGTATATCTGTGCTACAGTGAGTTTTCGCTTATTTGATTTAGCCTTTGCTGCATCCCCTCATCAAAAGATGTACCGATTACGTTAAGGATATGAAAGATGATGATTTTAAAAAGACGGTAATGATTTTAACTTTATATCATGCTTATAGCCGAAAAATAGCTAGATACTATAGATTAGAGATCTCTGCGGAATCGTTACTGTAAATTCTCTTCCCTGAAAAATAGCGTTCTTTGTTGTTGTAATACTATTAGAAATTTTTAATCAAATTTTGTTACAGTTTTAATTTTTGATTACTTATTCTTAGAAACCATCGAATATATCGGACCTACTTATTGTCATTAAGCGCCTTTGTGTATACTTAATGCGTGAAGAACCGGATATTATTGATGATCTTCGATTAGATACAACCCTTCGCATGCTGAAAATACCCCACTTCAACACTAAAATGAACGGCCTCAAAGAAATCATCAGAATTTTGGAAGAGGCAGAGTCATCTTATTCTGATATGGTTGACAAGAATCCAATCAGTAAGGACAGGGTGTTAGAGTGGCTAAAGGTTAAAGAGGTTCTTTCCATAACCCTCGCAGGTTCATTCCATGAATAATCGATATTTTATGTAACAAAATATACATTATTATTTACGAAATGGCATAAAATTATTTACCATAATTTAAATAGGTTATTTACATCAACATCAGTATTGCGATAAGTTAACAAAAATTCTAGAATTTTTTGGTCCGAATTTACCACTAGACACTTTATCCGTAATATGGAAAGCGCAGGTTGGAATTGGCTTAATAGTTAAATATTTGTAATATTTGTAATAAATAGCTTATTCATGCAGCGTATTAGGACGTTCATTAATGTTTGTGAGAGTGCACACAAATACTACTTGTAAATTCATTAAAGCTGATAAATGTGATATTTAAAATTTCATTCTACAGATTGGAAAGGGATCTCCGACAGTAGATAACATTCATAATTGCCTGGCAGCCGCTTCAATTCGATTTAGCAGTGATCAACTCGATCACTTGTTTAATTTGATACAACAAGTGCGTAAAATCTACTTTTTGATAAATGCTATTCAATAGTAACTAGTTTTACGTACATTTTTTAGACCTGGCGAACCGAGACCAATCAAAATCGTGAAAAACTTCTAATACTGATTGGCAAAATTGGACAAGAAGCAAGAGTTGCAAGAATTGCGACAAAGGTTTGCAAGAATAGTTGATGCGATGGAACAATTTGTGTAGAAATGAAATGAAATACCTTATTCAACTTTTTTGCCTTACTAGGTGTTAGACTTGCTATGGAGTTTAGCTCATTTACCCACTTCAACGGCTGATATGGTAACACAGGCTTTGAAATCCCACATGGCCATTTTAAGCTACTCTTATTTAGTCAAAGAGAATATTAAGCAAGGATACGCTATTAAATGTATTGATGATATCAAAAAGGTTTGTTATTGCTACATTTTGACTATAAGTAAATTTTAATGAAGTGCTGATAAAAGTTTATCTTAAAATTAGAACTTATGGACTGTTCCTGCCCTAAAACAACTTCTCAAAATTTTAAAAGCAATGACTAAGCAAATTGTTATGCAAAGACAAGATCGTGTATGTTAGACATTTTCAAAAGCAAAATGTGATTTGTGAACATTTTACCGCTGTAACTACTGCTAAAATCGTGCAAACGTACAACGTTTGATAATTTTGATAATTCTATGTCATAGGGTGTTATTCATGATCTTGAAAAATCACACGACGTCATAAAATTAATTACCATTAGTCTTGTAAAGTAAGTTATGTACATTTTGGTCTTAATCTATAATAACATATGTCTTGGATCTTTTCCAAAAAAATTTGTAAAACACATTTTCGTGTGGCCGCAATTTAAAACTTGTACGCAATGATATTATTACCATAGATGTCACCGTGCAGCTGTTTCTGCGTCTGGTGGTACTGGTTTAGGTATGTTACTGAGATAAAGTTATCGTTTATTAATATTTGTATGTTATTTCCCCGTAAGATAATCCCGTCAATTTTTGATTTCTCTTACCCTAGATGAGAATACAAAAATAGATAGCCGATATGCATATGCTGAGGTAATATTTATTAAATTTTCCGATATTTGTTATTTATTCTGACACAAATTAATATTGGAGATATAAACTGGATATTTTATTTTCTGCTGTCATCTTGTAGTACCTCAACTCTCATCTAGATCTGCTTTCATTTATATTGAATTGCACAAACATCTGCCTTCATTGGCATCGAGCACGTGATATATGGAATTGTTTGGAGTCTGATCCTGATGCTTGCAACTTAGATAGAGAAGTAAACACCCGAATCTGCATTAATGCATTGTCGCAAACAAAATGATAACGCGTCATAAAAAATCTTACCCATTATATCCATTTGTAATTTCATTTATAAGACCTGCTTTGATTGGTTCATTACACATATTGGCGATCTAGAAGATGAAGCTAAATCGACGATTTTTAATCATCTCATTCAAAAACTTAGTCCCTCGAAATTAACTGTTAAAGGTTAAATTATATGCCTAGCTCATATTTTACAAGAAATTCAGCATCTTCACTAATACCTCATATTTTAATTGCTTTTTGTAGGTTTTGAATGCTTCAAAACTTATTTTGAATGCATAAACCAGAACGAACACAAACTTAAATGTCCAGTCCCATTTGTGAGTGTTGAACTTAACAGAATTATCATTAATATCTAAATTAATAACCATTGTTAACTATTTATCAGATCGTGGAAAAAATTGACCTTACTGGCATAAGCTATCTATGGCAGGTAACATAATAAAAGCGAAATGAAATCTATGCCGCGATAATACTTATAAACTAAATTTAATGGTATCGGTTTAGATCGTTCTACAAGTGTCAAATGAAGAAGTTGCCAATGAAGCTATCAATTACTTTATTCAGATAACCTGCACAAATGTTTCTTACAAGCTAAAAAAAGTAAACCTTTATTTTCTGTTACTATATAGCGTATTGGTCTGTGCATTATAACGCTTTGATCAATTTTTAGGATATTGGTGGACTTCATAAAAAATTTATAGCAGAATTTCAAAAACGTCTTGAGGTATTTTTGAAGTCAACACTATCTTAATTGCAATTTAAATAGTTAATTAATGTTAACTTTTTTACTTATTATTAGGACGGCATTGCAATATTAAAGCAATCGAAAGTGGCCCATGCTGTTTCTTTAACTGCTGCTATGGTAACAGCGCCTGCATTTCCTGAATCTGCTGTAAAAGGAAGCAAAAGGTTATCGTCTATCGTTTGACTAATTAACTATGAACCTATTCTCATCATTAGCTGTCGAATTCATTCGTTATCATACTATAGACAAGCTAAAGTCTTAAGTGTAGAGCGTTTGTTACTACTTGCCGAGAAGTACATTGTATCTGCTGAGGTAATTGTTACAGACCTTATAAGAGTTGTCATAGTACTACATGAATATTGGAAATGATATGTCACTGTACCTATTTTAAACTTTAGGAGTCTTTTCCTATCCATAAAAGACAATTTGTTCCTCATGGAGTGTCGTTTCATGATCACCCAATGAAACTACATGTAACTTGTGATAGCCATAAAGCGGAGTTTACCGTTGAGGTTAGAAACACTTCAACGATAGAATGTTTTTGATAAAATCTTACCCCTCAGGGTTGTTATTTTGTAGGTCTTTACCAACGAGACGTTGTACTCTCTCCGTAGCAAGTTAGCATCAAAATTAAATTATTCGATAGATCATATCCAACTAATTTATCAAGAACGTTTGGTAAACTTTCTTTCAGCTGTTTTGTCATAAATTAAACTAACTCTATTTTACAGATATGCTAATTTTATGTTTCAGTTAAATACTACCAAAGATCACAAGCTGTTACAACATTTAGGATTTACTAATGAACAGCATATTAAAGTGAGAACGTATACAGCTACAGCTGCACCACCTCCTTATTCCAATGACGACGTAAGAAATGACTAATCACGAAACTTGATTCATCAGTAGATAATTATAATGGTATATAGAGTCTTCAAATTTTACGTAACTTTTACTTCTAGGAAAGTTGCTTACCGAGTGTTATTATTTCCTCGAACCATGACATATTCCAAAAACTTTATCAATTGACTGAGCTTGGTGAACCTAAGTACGCTTGTAGACACACACTCACATAAAGCATTAATCTATTTTGCCTATTCTAACTTCAAATCATTAGTCATTTATTATTATTTATAGTATAAAAGTAGCTAATACATGTCAATAATATATAATTATACATAATTAGTAAGCCTCTATTTTCTATAGTAACTTATGTTTACTTTTACTGTTATAGCATTACAGATAGGATGGTTAGCCTAATAATGCTGATTCCAACCGATATGTCTGTTCTAAAAGCTTTGGATTCTATTACGAAAGTAAGTTGTTAAAAGTTGCTTTCTTGTACTTAAGAATAACCCAATTCAATAGAAGTGAATTTGTATTTTACTAGAAGAATACAAGTGCAAGCATAAAGAATAATAATTCCAGTGGAACAGACAAGTCCGATGCTATATCTTCCTCAATGGCCCAATTTAGCAATCTTTTTAAATATAATGCTTCTGGAATGTCAGCTTTCCGCGTTCGCTATAATCTAGAGGTATGTCTATCATCCTATATATTCGCTAAATTATGGTAACAAAAGTCACGCTACACTGTAGTGCTATAAGACCAATTACTTTAATATGACATAACTTGTAATTGAAAATCTAGGCTCTCAGTGGGAAATTAATGCCGGTAAAAAGCGAAGAAAGAGATTCAAAAACTGACATTTTTACAGAAAATTTCTTTAACGATTATGGTCTTGAGTACGTATCTACCCTTTACATTTGGTTATATAGCTTTTGGTAAATTAACTTTCTGGTTCACTTTTAAGTAATCTTTTTTTCTGTAGGATGGTTACAAACGTTCTTAAACCGGAAAGCTTGCCAAACGATACTGAACATACCGTTAGACAAGGCTGCTATATGCTTGCTGTGAGAATTACTTGTTTTATGCTAACTGGCAGAATACCTCCCGCTGTCTGTACAAACATCGACGATGAACGTGGTTTGGTGTTACATACTGATGAAAATAAAACACAAGACACAAGTTTGAATCAGAATGAGATTGAAGCTGCAGTCGCTAAAAATATTATAAAGGTCTCCTTAGAAACAATATGTGGACCTTCAAGGATTGAAGTAATACTCTCTAAATGCTTTTATATGCCAAACTCTTTTATATATAACTAAATAACGAATTATTAATAAGCGATATATTTTTCGATCTAGAAATTTAATCATGACCTCTTTAAGAAAATCGGAATAAATCTGATACGAATTGTCAAGATTGTTGCTGCGGTTAAGGCAAAGCCTGGTCATTTAGTTTTGCCGACAACTTCGAACCTTGATAATACTCAAACTGAAGATGTTTCTGAGCGATTACAAAAGTCAATTTTAAACGATTTTAAGGTGCGCTAAGAAAAAATTTTTCAAATAATGATGAAATGACTCAGGATATAACAATACCACGATAACATATTAAATTTTGAACGCCGATTAGGATGCTATGATAGCTCACGAAGCCTTGGCATTTTTGGTCATGTGCCTATCACAACGCTTCGATTTTATCAGTAAGATGAAGTATAAAGTATTGCCTCGAATTATTGTAAGTTAAATTAATGCATTTTTGATTTTAACACAGAAACTTTCCTTGGATTCGCCGACATCGATAACTTAGTTCTCTCAGCGCTTTTGGAATCCCCAAATAGTCAGGTCTGATAAATGAGATTTAAGAGAATATTAATGCAAATTGAATTAAATTATCTCGTGCATAGCTGAGTTTTTATAATAAACACATCCATAGATACGGTCCGTAACTGCTTACCATTTATATTCAATGAGCAACAACATTCCGCTTCACGGTAATGTTGATTTGGTTATTGCATTTAGAAATTAAAGCATATTGACAAAGCAAAGTTAACTATTTATTATACTTATATAGGAAAATCTACAGAAATTAATTTACTATATGATGCACTAGTTAATGCTATTATCAAAACTCGTGTGCCTTTTTGGTCAACAAATGCACAATTGAGAGGCTCTAACGCAAAGTATTACATTTTAATTTATTGATTTCCATCCCTAGTTGTTTATATCTGAATCTAATTAATTCCACTCTTACAATTTAAGCCTACCTGAACATTGCTCACAGTATTTCGCTTTACGCTGCAAGTTGTTATATAAGATGTCGTTATCAACACAGAAGCGTCTTAAAGTTGATCCTAAAGACATGTTGCTACAGGAGACTATTTGGCTTGGAAGTACTAGCCTTACTGATAGCACAGGTTAATCTAGAATACTGTTTTATGTATAGTATAATGGTTTTATTATATTTCATAGTAAAATATAATTTGTAATATTATGATTATAATTAATTCTACCTTAGGAGAAGGACCAAAGCGGCTATTAACTGGTCATTTACAGCTAACCAAGACACTCTTGACTTGTGAAGGCTTAAATAAGCAGACTTTTGGTATATTTATTACTCGTCTCATGGAAGCTTTTTGTTCGCTTTTGACAAGGAATTATTTTTAAATATAGGCGAGAAACTAATTCCCAATCTGATTGATAACTTCCTCTTTCCGGCATCAAACGCAATGCTACAGTACAAAAAGAATAACAATTCAGTAGTCGAGAGCATCAGTCCTATGTTAGCATACGCATAGATTTTTATTTTATGTCAAAGGTTTCAATTTTTACTGATTGTTCTATCATATTGTTGTAGATGCACAACTTCATGGACTTTGCTACATACCTATGATGTTCTTAATGTGCTAGCGACTGAATCTATCGAGAACTTAAGCAATATTGTATCACGACTAATTGAAATGCATCATACTGCCGATCCTGAATTATCGAAAGTCTGGAATGTTAGTCTACTTAATGTCAATTTTACGCTTTTAAAATATTTAGGAAACATATAATTAATAATAACAGATTTAGCGCTTACAGTCAATATGGGATATTAATGCTACAAAGGCTTGAAATAATGATACTACTAACAATTGTCTTAAACTCAATTTAGTATCAACCTCCTATAGCGCCAATAGCGGACTGCGGACTTGTTGGATTAAAAAATGCTGGTGCAACATGTTATATGAATTCTGTGATACAGCAATTATATTTTCAACCTGGAATAGCTGAGGTAAATTCTTGCTGATGTCTAAATCATAACTGTACAATATGTTATATTTCTCATTGGATGATATTATATCAGACCGTTTTAAGCGTCGATGAAGAGACTTTCAAGGATAGCAGGTAAAATTTTAAAGTAAATTTCTTGCGATATGACTAATCCGCTCAGCTCCAACACAATCTAATGCAGCGTATTTAATTGTCAACAATGCTAGCGACGGAAATATCTTGTATGCTATGCAGCTACTTTTTGGGCATTTAATGGAAAGCAAACTCCAATATTATACACCAGATCATCTATGGAAGAATTTTAAGCTGTGGGGTAGACCTATTAATTTACATGAACAGCAGGTAAATTTTTATATTTATGATAACTAATTCGATTAGGGAGAAAATCCGATTGGTAAAGCAAAATGTGTTGACTGTTGTGTTAGGATGCATTTGAATTCTTTGTTAACTTGGTTGATCAAATGGATGAACAGCTTAAGCAAGCAAACTGCAATCAAATTTTTAAAGAGACCTTTTGTGGAAATTTGACCAATCAAGTCGTTTGTAAAGATTGCCCACATAAGTATATTGATAAGCTAATCATTTTAGCTGTAGCACAAGTCTTCAATATTTCCTATGTCTAAAGTGAAACTACTATTATAGAGATCGATTTGAAGTTGGATGGCATAATTGCACGTATTGTTATATTTAGATATGAGCGCGTTGAACAATTTTGGACTTTAAACCTTGGAGTAAAGTGTCGTACTCTTCAGGAATCACTTGAGCAATATGTCAAAGGAGAATTACTAGAAGGCGATAACGCGTACATGTGTGAAAAATGTCAATCAAAGGTATTCAGTCTACCGTTATCAAATTTTACATGATTAGCTTTTAGCTGAGTAAAACCCTAATTATAACTATAGAGAAACGCAATAAAGCGACTATGTATCAAGACGTTACCGCCAACGTTAGTAGTTCAACTGAAAAGATTCGATTATGATTGGGAAATCGGAAGACCAATCAAATTTGATGATTATTTTGAGGTATTTAATTTAGTTATTGGCCTTTATTAAATACGTGTGCGTATATAGTACCGACAGTAAAATCTATCATTAATTATTCATGAAGTTTCCTTGGGTCTTAAATATGGAGCCGTATACTCTTGACGGAATAATCTCTCGTGAAAAGAGTCCCCATGTACAGGAAGACGATGCGAACAGTGATACAAGTAGTACTGATAGCAATAGTTTGCCATCTCAAAGGCCGAAGAATTATGAATTGGCTGGTGTGGTCGTTCATAGTGGTCAGGCGAATGCAGGACATTATTATTCATTTGTTAAGGATCGCCGGTAGGACAAAGACTTGCTTTATATCATTTCATTGTGATATATACTTCTGCATAAGTTATAGGCTGTAGAATATTGAAATAATTTCCAACTCTTCTCTAGAACTCAAATTTGGTATAAGATGAACGATATGACCGTTGAAGAATTTAATATGTCAGCGGCAACATTAGAATCTGAGTGTTTCGGTGGAAGTTATCAACCGAAGAGCAATGACGCATGTAAGATGTCTATGAAAATTGTAGCGATTTTTCAATATGATAACAGGATATTGCCATATAATTTATAGATCCTTCCTATCAAGATATACGTCATGCTAACAAATATTGGAGTGGATATATGTTATTCTATGACGCGGTAACAGATTACGGCAATGACAAATTAATGCTATCTAGATCTTTGGATAGCCGGTCTGAGGGTGCTCGGTTCGTACACAGTGTTCATAGCTAAGTGATCATCTGAACATATTAGTTTAAAATTGCTAAGACATGTACTTTATATTTTAGGTCCGATTCTTCTGTTCCAGATTCTCCATCCTCTCTAAATCTTGCTAATGACGGATTTAGTCAATTAGCTGCACTAGTTAAGCGAGGGGAAAGGAAGGGGCTATTCATGAACAAGATGCCTGCAAGCATTCAGAGAATCGTAATAACTGATAACCTGATACTAGATCACTTTAGTTAAATCTATTTTCTATAGAAATTAAAGTCATTACTGATGTTAGTGAAAGTTTAGAAATATATATTTTTGGGTTCTTTGCAGGTACATGAGGAAAACTTACATTTCATGAGAAATCAATCAATATACAACTCGAACTATTTTAAATTCATTCTTAATTTAACATCATGCAATTTTGTAAGCAATCATGAAAGCTAAATGTTATTTCTTCTTTCCACTTGTGCTTTAAATTTATTATATTTTTTCTGTTATTGAAGAGCACAAATAACATGTCTTCTGGATTAGTTGTCTGGAGCCTTAAATTGGCAGTTAATTTTCTTGTGAATACTTACTTCAAAGTTAGAGAAGAACTTAGGTAAGATATGAAGTTATTTAGTGTTGAATTACCTATGTATTGTAAAAGCAGTTTATCAGTCTTTTCATTATAATTATTGTTAAATTAAGTATTACGTTTGTTCAATATAAAAATGTATTATTTCGTGCAGAAATTGTCAGTTGGAATGGAATAACTGCATGGAGAAATTAATCACGGCTTGTGATGAATCCTGTTTATGGTTTCTTTCTTATTTAAGTGATGGATATGGCGAAACTTGCCTGAAGTATGAGTTTTAATGTGATTAAGTTATTAGCTCTATTTTAAGATTCGAATATCTACAACTCATAGGTTATTACTGCTGGAGTGTCCATCGGATAGTGTTCGAGAAAGCTTTGCAGGAATGCTCCAGCAAGCAATAAATCGCTTTTATAGTTGTAAACGCTTAGAACAGGCGGTGAGCAACATGCATTCTGTACACTTCTAAGGGCAATATTATGCTATATTTCTTACATTAATTTATCATAGGACGTATCAACTTATGAAAGAGTTATAACTAAGTTACTGCACGTGCTTGCAAGAGATGTCCCTGATTACTATCGAAGTTGTTCTCAATATTTTGGATTACTAAGTGCTATAACCAAAATGGTAATTGAAATTTCGCTTTAAATCCGAAAAATGACCATTTACTATAAATTTGATCACTCATGCTTGTATAGGGTTCGAAGGCTGTATCTCATCTCTTAGACAGTGGTGCCTTGCAGAGGTTATTGGAATTTTTAATTGGACCGCCTTTTCAGAAATCTATCCGCATAGAGAATCTACCAATCTCGGAGATCCTGGTGAGTTTATATCATATCATGGGTATTGTAGCGATTTGCTATTCTTCGGCAAAACAATTTAATAATTCGACTATATCTCGCAATTTTTAAGCGAATCTCATCAGGACGCCGGTGGTCTGCTTTACAATCTAGAGAATTTTCTTCAATACATATCACTATCTGTAACTTGATCATTAACTGTGATGTTTCTACTCAACATACAATAGGTATTTAAGATTTTATGGTATATAAACCGAAAAAACTAAATATAAATAATGGTTTTATTTTCTTTTGATATCGCTGCTTGACTAAAACCACATTTGATATTACCACAGTACACTCTATAAAATTACCGGATATCAACAATTATCCGACGGAGTTACAGCCCATGTCTTCTGCAGTAAATGACATCATTTTTGGTATTGAAGGAGTCAAATACTTTCACGAGGTACATATTAGTGAATATTTTTATCTCTCACTCTGTTTGGCTGACTTTATCAATCTATTCCAGTCTCATTAACATTTACCTTATCGTATTTGCCATATCAAGGTTATAGCTGCTATGTATGTGAGCTAATAAGAAAATTTTACAATTATTAGGCTTTACTAGCTTGCTGCGAAGTGGTAGGAATTACTGCATCAGTTACCAATATGCTGGTACACTGTTGTTGGTGTAACGAAACATTTTCGACCATCGTTTTGGCGAAGCTATTGGTAAAAAAATTGTTTTAATACTTTTAAAGAGAATGCCACATACCTTGAAACATTTAATAAGTGTAGAAAGAGAGAGTTGTATGATAGTTGTGGTTGCGGATCAAAGCATCATTTTAATATGCAGATGAATAAATGTTTTTACATACATGTGCAATAGGCTCACTTATCGATGGCTCCTTCAAATGAATTAAAAAATTTATTTACTATCTTAACTAGATTAACGGTAGGTTCTTTAATTCTTTCCCCTACTTTTATGGATATTGGAAATTGTTGAGATATAATTTCTAATTTAAATCTTTACCGCAGCTGCTTGATGATTCTCTGAAAGTTAAAAGATTTAAAACTATAGTTGACGGTCCAGAAAATAATGGTTTATTAGGTAAGACTACCTTTTATACATTGTGTCAATCATGCTTAAATACAATTTATTTATGTATGCCATAACATTATGAAACAGCGACTATTAAATCCAATTATCAAACCGACAGTAGAAGAGCGTATCAGTGCATCAAATTTTTAGTCAGTATGGCAAACAAGTGAGTGCTAAGAAATTTAGTTGTCATAGAACGATCTATTTTATGTATTATTATAAACTTCAGACTTATTCAACACTTTTAGAGATGAAATCCTACGAAAGCATTTGATTGAAAATACTAATCGGTGGCACTGGGCAGTTCAATGGCTGAAGAAAAAAGTTGTTATCTCTTTTGTAATTTTGCTTCGTTAATTTTTTACTAAAACACTTTTATATCAATAGATGTCCGAATCTTGGACTTCGCAGTCTGCTGTTTCCAATGAGTCTTCTACTAGCAAAGTTTTGCAAAGAACAATTAGTGCTCAAGTATGCTATGTACTAGATAGTTTTTAAAGAAACACTGCTATGGTACCCGCCCATCTTTTCAATTATAATTATTAATATTTTTAATCTGCTATCTCATATACAGGATACTCTTGCAGAAGCAACTGCACTTTTATCGCAGATTGAATCGAGTGGAATTGCTCATGGTGCAATTTCCGAACTGGATTCGCAAGATTCTTTACAAGAAGACAGTGAAGTGGATGAATTGTACAATGAGAACGGCGAGAAAGGTGGTAAAAACGAGGATTCTGCAGATGAGTCGTCTCGGCAAGGTTACCAGTTCTAAGAATAGAAATCGCATCGCATGGCATTGTTCATTGAGCTTTGTTGTCAAAACAATTACATTCTTTTAAATAATCTAAATGGAAATTTTAATAACGATCAGCTGTTGTCTCACTTTTTTTAAATAGTAAAGTTTGCTTAACATTTATATGTGTTTTTATTCTCTCATTCGATGCTGAGAATAAAATGTTAACACTACTGCATGTGTCGTGCTATCGATGTTTATGCGACGTTACGTAATGAAAATTGTACGATTCTGTTGAGAATTGGCCAACAATGTTAAGTGTTTTGAAAATGTATTATTTTTGCTTGTATAGTAAACAGTGTCTACTTTGAAAACTTTCTGTTTTAGTGTAAGATACGAATGCCAATGAAATATCACTGCCGTAGTCAATTGGAGCAGCAATGATTATTATTTTTGATACTTTGCTTTCTGTTCTTTTATACCGTATGAAATAAATGTTGCTATCGCATCTCTTGTACTGTACTAAATTTCTTTGTGATCATAGGTACACTCTTATGTTATTGTAGCATCTCAACAATCTAATAATAATATACGGGTAATTCTAATTTCGCCACCAACAAGATCAGGTATTTCTTTCAATCGCTTCTACCAATGTCATTTCAATCTAAGTTCAGTACAATAAGTATTTATCAAATGTTCTACGAAATGGATAGCAATCTTGATAAAGCAAAATTCGAAGGAAATTATCTAGAAGATGCGGAATCCAATTTTTTTAAACAAAGAGAAATACAACATACACCTTTTTATTATTATTTTCAACGTATCGGTACTACTGGTGTTATCATTCATAAACTATAATATAAAAAGTATCAATTGGGTATATAATCTTCATCATTATTAGCTATTGGCTTTGGTGAAGAAAATCAATCATGTTCATTAAAAATAAAGATTTAGTAGTAACAGGAAATAATTAGCATATTATACAAGCAAATCAAAAATTATACAGTGATTGCATAAGTTTGTCTATATCATATCGTTGGATAGAATAGTATTATGATTTACACTATATAGAAATCTCTAATATCAAGTAGAAGAGAGTAGAGAAGTCTTGCCGTGACTTTTATTTTCTTACTGGTTTTGGGTAGGCGCTGAACCGGTTGACGAGATAATTGATTTCAAATCCTATACAGAAATCATGTAGCCATGATTAATATTGTTGATGATAATATTCATTAGACGATAGATCTTCGTACTATTTAATATATGCACTAAAGTATCCTATGCATATTCGTAGTGTGAACGTAAGATTATAAGCTGTTAGCTACCGCTTTCTTGTATGTTTTGCATGCTTTAATAGCGTTATGAAGAATAGGATGAGAGAAAATGGTATCAAATGGCAATGGAGAAGCGGTAGATGAGCCAAGCTCTTGATATAAATCCGATACATAGCTCTAAATGGGGAGTTTTAATACAATTGCAATAGAAAATGAGATTAAATAGATTAAGCTTGATATTCATGAAGTGATAAAAGCATAAGTAATCCATAAATGAACGATCGTAGCACTCACTGTTGTTAGAGTACAATTATCTGTTGTCGACAGTTCAAATCGGTTTGATTTCTTCTTAAAATAAGTTCCATGATTGAGGACCTAAAATTGCAATAGAAAACATAGATGCATAAACAAACAAAATGCACAGTGTTCATAGTTTAGACAAATAATTTAAGTAGCTGATATATGTCAGCTAAATTAAATGTCTCCTATAACTTGGAGAATCTGATTTGTTTCAAAATTATTTTCGAACCTGATTGATTCAATAATATTTCGAACCTAATTATTAATAATTGTACCTTCACTAAAGCTTCAACAGGAATCATAGCATTATTATGTGTCGCGCTTTCAGATTCCTCTTCTTCTTCTTTTTCTTCTATAACTGTATGTAGGCTTGATTCAGTTGATTTTTCTTCATTCTCGGTTTTTAATCCATCGTCAGTGAGCTCTCTTATACTAATATATGGCATTGGCTGACTCGAAGTAACGCTAAGAGCTCGCATTAATCCAATATCGTGTCGTCTTGCTTGGCAGAAATAAAGCAACTATAAATTGATATAGAGATGAAATAGAGTCAAAAACTGAGTTGTCCATACTGTAATATATAAAGTTTTCATGTTAGTTAAATAACATATCAATATCATAAAATTTTATGATGTTAATCAATACCATATCTACGTAATCAAGAAGAAGCGTTGAAGTATTATTATGGCCAAAGATATCAAAGAACGCCTGCAAGAAGAAAAACTTGAATTATTACTCGGCATATAATATTAAGCCCGATCATTTAAGTTATACGATACTATTTCATATCATCCACAGATAATGTTCCCAAATTGTAAAAACAATCGGGCTATTTTTTACCTTGCAAAACTATTTATTTGGGAACATAAGCAATGTAGTATCAAATTATAGAACAAGCACATCATTCCACCCAAAATTAAAAGCTACGATGACTGGGAACGGAGCTAATTCTATCTTGCGATTCAGTAATTGACTAAGTTTATAGGCAATCCAGCAATGTAATTAGTACTGCTATATTACAGTATATCATTAGGATCGGTTATAAAGCAGTAGGAACTGAACGAGTTCATTATCATCTTAAAATATTTACTTGGAATACACGATAACAATTGGATTGCGGTGTACATTTTAGGTACGAATACTGATGGGAATTGATTACCAAGGCTAATCTAATTTTTCATCTCATGTAGCGAGAGTCGAATAAATTTAATCATGTTATAAATTAATGACCTCTTTCAGCTTTCCAAGTCGATCATATTGTCGAGGAAGAGATGGACTTTGATTGCTAGGCGGTGAACCTTTAAACCATAATTCTATCTATAATATCCAAAATGAAGAATTTCTCGCTTCTTAATGACACGATTTGATATTATTATTCTCAAACAACATAGAATAATTATGAATTTTTAAATACCTTTTCATATTGTGCTTTTGTCACGAAGCCAGTGTGATCGGTATCCACTTGACGAAATTTCTTCAAGGTATCCAATAATTGATCTCGACTTGGCCAAGGAACAGGATTCATAATAGCTACTAAAAAGATTCGCCAATTGATGTACTCCTTATCCAGCGATACCAAGTTAGCCATGTCATTCAACTACGAAAGAAGAAATGATAAAATTATATATCAAGATTGGATGACAAACAGCTACGTTAAAAAGTTGTAAAAATTCATAATGATGAAAATTGAAGCTAGTGATTATAAATAAATATTTTAAAAATGAATTATAGTTGGGTTGGAAATACACAGCTATATAATTACTTGTGTCTGATTTAAGAGCATCCATTTATCCGGTAAAGTTTCCTGACCGTGCTATTATTAATAATTATGAATGGTTAAGATTGTATGATATTTTAATGATAATTAATTACCAATTATGAATTAATGTCATTCTAACCGAAAGCGAAATAGTTCCGTGAAGGAGATCAATAAATGCTTGCTTAGATATGTAACCGTTGGATGCAATAGCAGATAGCTAAAAATAGGATGATTGATCATTTCGATATTAAAACGCTTCAAACGGATTGAGATTCCAATATCTAAAATTTTATATAATGTACCTGATGGGCCAAGTTTAATATTTGCACAACAGTAAAATTCTCTGGCATGCTTGATTCAATTGGACTAGGGGGTGGAGGTGGCTCCGGTATGTTATACATCATGACATTCTACAACGTATTAATTATCGTCAATATCGTATAAAATTCATCAAATTTCTTTATCGATTTTAATGGCTAATTCGGAGACATCATTTCTACCTCATCGATGAAGAAGTTATCATTGACCAGTTTAAGTTCATTTTGTATCTTTTCCTCACTCTCGATAGCAGCTCTCATCATTGTCGTTAATTCTTTAATACTATAAGCCAGTTAATATGAACGGTTAGAAATCATTGAACTTCAAGAATTCTATAGCCAGAATATAATTATTATAAATGGATAGGATAGCATTATACTGTACGTGTATACAACATTTGGTATTTCATGTCTGTTTACATGCTAAAATCAAGGCTACTACACATTCTAACTGAATAGCGAGATTGGATATTGTAAGCTTCTACCAACGAAATAAAGTCTATTTTCTTTAGCTAATTAATCTCTTTAGTTAAGCTCAAACGATTATTACCAGAAAATAAAGTAGTTTACTATAGAAACAGCTATTTTAATTGAGCGTAGTATATAGCTATATATTCCTATATATTATTTTATATCTGGTTATTTTTCTCAGTTTCCACATTCAAACTGTCTTCACTTTTAACTTACGATCAGCACTTCAATTTTGTCAACTATAACTATAAAGTAATACCTTTCCATTTCTTTGCGAAATCGTTGACCCAACCAATCATCCATATCTTTATACATGACTTCAGCCTTATGCTAGCGGAATAAGTTTTATAAATTAAAGCGGATATGGAAATAACATTAATCAGATCTAAACTAGGTCAATAACTACTAAGCGTACCACAATAATTAAATTTATTACATATCAACCAAGCGTGATGATATCCTTAAAGTGAACTATACCTTTATTACTTGGATATCGCAAATAGCTCTACTGCGGATTAATTCTAATCGACTTCTCAATCTAATCTCTATAAGTAGAAAATGTTTTAATTTTTAGAAGTATTCATAATCCTTTTTCTTCCACCATATCTTAGCTACTGAAGATGATGTATGAGCCATAACTTATGACTTACCTTCAGCTTTTGTAGCCGCTGTGAATTCTTCACGGATCTTCTCACGTATAGCGATTTGTTCCTTTTCCTCAGCTGTTTGCTCAGGAGGTTCTAGTCCAAAGTCATGAGTACCATGAGTATGATAGCAATAATATTTATGTAAAATTAAATAAAAATACTTTCATCTATTCAATCTTTATCAGTCAGAAGCGTATATTTCTGAATTAAGGAAGATTGTGATTTCGATTAACTTGAACTACGACGATGATCGAATAAGAATTGACATCCTACTCGCTATAACTGTATGAAATAATGAAGAACTAATGCATCTCACTATCAATAATCGACGCTTCTATTTAGTTTATTGTAAATGTTTATCCTCACGACTTAGAACGTTAAGATGCGATTTTTCTTTAGGAATGAATACATCATTATGATTATAATCCCTAGTATTTCTAAGGATACTACAGCAATCGCAATTCACTACTCCTGCAGATCAATTCATACAGGTGAGCTAGTCTTCACCGACTAAACATTTCATTAGAACTGATAATCACTTCTCTTACCTTCAACGGGTTCTTCGACTACAATTTGTTGTTTTTTATGTCTGCCTTTCACTACCTTTTCTTTCTTATGCTTTTTTTTAGTTTTAGCCGCTTTCTCTAAATCACGCTGCCTCTCGTGTTCACGCTCACGTTCTTTCTCAGCTTCAGCGGCAGTAGCAGTTAACTCAGCGCTGATCTAATATAAATAGATTAAAATTATATATTAGGTCTATGAAACACGTAATATCTATGCTATTCAAGCCAATTAGTGATTGCGGATTCCCTACAAATTAGTTTTGTGGTTTATACCAAGCAACACATTACAAAATTATAAGTACTCTCTATTTAATATAAGGCATACTTACCATCATTAGAACATATTCTTGGACAATATTATACGCATCATTGATAACCTAATAATCCAAGATATACCGATTTAACAATATCATCTAGTATCGAGACAATTATCATATCATTTAATCATCTACCTTCTCATCAGGATCCATATGTAACGAAGGCGAATCCACTTTTTCTTCTTGCTTCTCTTTTTTACTCTTTTTCTCTCTTTTTTCTTTACTACCAGATTGACCATCTTTACTTTGCTCAGCAGATTTTGGTCGTCTGGGAATTAATGGTATTCTATATAATCATATCACGAAATATAATGATTAATAACGAGTAGAATTAAAAATACCTCACTCTTGTTGTAGTTTTTTTTATATAGATATCACGTATTAGTTTGTATGCAAATAATATAAAAATAACTATCAGGCAGATATTTTAACGCTAATTATAAATATGTTGCCACTGTCGAATGCTAAATATTACGGAAATTGGTTAAACTATGATAGCAGAATCTTTATATACAACGGATGATTTATTACTGCTTCTAGTTATGCATCAAAATATTATAAATAGGCTAAATCAAATAGTGGTAGGAAATCGAGGTAAGAAATATGGTAGTACGAAATGTGGATATCATACTTTGTCTTGCCATCTTCAGTATCTTCATGATTCATTGCTGAAGTTAAGGCAGAAATTCCACGCTCAGCAGCATCTTTCTCTTTTTCCTTATCCTTATCCCTCTCCCGATCACGATCTTTACCGCGATCTTTGCCTCTACTTTCCTTAACTACACTCTCTTTTGCGCTAGTACTTTTACCAGTAGATGACTGAACTGAAACCGAGTTCGTTTCGATGGTTCCTTTTAGTACCACTACTGAGCTAGATTCAACTGTTGCTAGCTGTAATTGATAAAAATAAGATTATATAAGAGGATAAGAGAGACAGCGGGTAGATGAAAGCTATTTGATAACGGATATTTCAGCAGAAATGCTTACTTCAAGAAGAGGTAAACGACCGTTAGGTACAGCAAATTCGATTAATATTTTACCAGCGGCAGACATGTAATAATCTTTCAATAGAAAACATGTATCTTGTACTCGGTCTAGTTCAGCCTAAAAATCATTTCATAATTAATCATCATTAAATTATAAGCTAGTTACTACTTGGTAGGGAATTCATTAAGTATTATTGCTATCTTGATAGCGATATAAACTCTACCTGCATTAAAGTAATATAATAATTGGTTGTTAAGCCAACTCTGTCTTCTAACCATCCATCTTTCATAATATTATCTCGCTCTCTTTCGGCATCTTCCTTACGTTTATCACACATATTCCATAGTTTCTCTGCAAGATCCTAAATAGCGTATGGAATGAAGTCTTTTAGGGTTAGATACTGGCTTAATAAATCAATTCCAATAGCGCGTAGAAAATTTCTTAGATATATTGATTAGTTTAGTACATAACTTTCAACAACACCTGTTGAAACTAAGAACTTCTAGGATACAGCGACTAGATTAATAAAATTGTATTCAAACAGCATGGGTAAAAAATAGAAGTCTAGTACTGTATATATGCCAACATATATATGTCTTGTTTTATTAGTGCGGCAAATTATATACCATATGTTAAATGTTGCTAAGATGAAATTATTAAGCAATTAAGCTAGTTCAGTATGAATGAGCTAAAATCTTTTTAGATAAATATACTAGTTTGCTATACCATTTCAAGTAGCACGAGCTAAAATAGAAATATTGTATGTTACAACTACAGATTTAATGTTATGTATTACAAATTCAGGGTAAATCGGTCACTGCATTTGCTAGTCATTATGGCCTAATAATTTCAAGATCGGATAATATCTATAATCCACGTACCATTACGGTCTGATGGAGTTCAGCCTTGGTCTCTTCATCACTCCTCATATCTTCAGCTAAGTCATTATATTCCTACAAAAGACGAAACAGCATAATCAAGTTAGTATTTCCAATTTTATTAAACATACAGCAGCTTTATTGCTTAGCTGCGTTAATGTATTATCATTACTCAAAATATCTAGGAATGTCACTACTCACTAGTGTAGCGACAAATAGAAATTGTGTTTAGGCTGTAGCTTTTACCCGCTAATTAAGATAAATTTATTATCATTTTATTTTGATGGTACTGCAAATCCATAGGATGTAAAAATGTCATATAGGGTACCTATTCATGAGTATATTAGCTCAAATCAAGTACTACTCACCTTTTGCCACTGGTTTACTAACATCTGTTTTAAATCAGGCCGGCGAAGAAATTCTTTATATTCATTGCTATCAAGATCAATCATGAAATTTCAGTATTGTTATGAAATGTCTATGAGTTGGGTCTATATCCTAAACTTGGTAAATCCACCTCTTGTTCAGAATTAAGCTAATAGCTTACCGAATATTATAAAAGTACTGATAGGTGCTCTCTCTTTCGTCTCGCATTTTACGAAAGATGTATTTACATGAATCAATGTAATTGATTTCGATATTTTCCCATTGGGAAGATAAAATGGTTGCCAATTCCTATCCATGATGAACGTGATAAATAATTCAGATGATAAACCTACGATATATATCTTTAAAGTTCCATAATTTTACCAATTCAATCGTATTTTCAACATAAATCCAATCTTCTGAACCAGGTTCTGGTTTTGGAGGACTAGGTGGTCGTTCTTCTTCTTCTTCTACTTTGTTTAAATCTTCCGCTTCTCCTTGTCGGACGAGTGATTGCTCTTGGATGACTGGTTCTGCCATAGCGGAAGATCGGCGTCTAGCATCTGATTTCTTTTTGAATTTCTTGCCTTAATTTTATAAAATTGGTCAGTACGAAAGATATTTTAAAATATTAAATTGATCTTATGGTATGCTTTGCTATTCAGATACCATAATTAATCATAATTCTATTTTAAACATTGATTATTTATTGATGATATGGCAATATATATCGAAGTAAGAGGTTAATCAAATGGAATAACTGCAGGGACTTGTTGTGAAATTATACTCGATTACGTATGATAAAATTGTTTTTATGCTACACAGGATGCAGAACAATACAGTACCGTATAATATACTACCTCAAAGGGTATAAACCTTTCCTATCATCTATTAGATTACCTTTCTCCTTGATGCGGGGACTAACATCTTTGCTATCTTCCGATTTTATCGGATGATGCTTATTCTTTTCCTTCTCTGTTTGAGCTTTACTTTCATTTTCGATAACAGCAATTAGATTAGGGGTATCAACAACCACTTTAGGTGTTTCAGCTAATGGAGTGTCTTTATTTTCAGGTATTAAGGATGCATCTTGTACGGGATGAAGATTTAAATCTATGAACCAGAAAAAAATAATGAACAACTAAATTAGTCAAGACCGTAAAAATGGCTATGATAAAAATAATCTATCTACATCGCAATGGATTTACCTAACGGTTGCTGAGGCGATAAAGACCTTTCAGCTACCTGCGTAAACCAAATTTTGAAATATTTTATCAGTGATATAACGATTTAATAATGATACTGATCATCAGGTTACAAATATTGATAAACATGGCTGTTATATCATTGAATTTACTCCGCTAGAGGGTTCAGGCTCCGGCTCCGGCTTTAATTTTTCTAGTACTTCTTCAAGAATAGTCTCCACATTTTGAAATACAGTTTCTATATCAAACATAAAGTTTTTAATCAATCATCTACTATGAGTAGAAGAAATCAATTATTTTGCTACTTAAAATAAGATTGGTCTCTTTTTTCACACAAGGTGAAACAAATTAACTACCTTGATCTTCAGCACCATCAATCTTCTTTAAATTACCAAATTTTGTAAACCATTTCTCCAGTTTTGACCAAGTATCATGAAAGCCAACCAACCTTTAAACAATTCCATAGTGAATTTAGTTATTATTACAACAACGTTTAAGTATATTCTATCTCTGATATTATGTATTTGATTCGTTTTCTACCTTTGCTGAACATGTTCGCTGGCATAGTTTGCATCACTAACTGGCATAACTTTATCTTGCTTGTTAAGACCAGTCCGGCTACCTTCTGGTGGTGGATTAAATTCTTCATGATACTGTTTACTAGACGTCATAGTCTCTACAATAGAAATTGCCTTTAGTTTTTCGCAAAATCATAGCTAGATCAAACACTAAACAATTCTATAGTCATAATCAGCGGTTATAGTGCAAAATTAATTGTAATCTAATGAGACAAACTTGTTCTTCCTGTTGCTCGTTTCAAAACAACTTCATCTTTTACATCAAATAAAATGACAACATCGATTCCACTAACGGGCGGCGGTAACTATTAAATACAAAAGATTAGCTATAACGTTCATTTTAATTCCTACTTACGCGGATCATAGCTAAGACATAGTAAATACAAGTAATATAGGAATATCTATTATAGAATTAATTGATCAGTGACTCAACTTTCCCTTAAATTGGTATTATTAATACAACGACGCTAAAGATGATCTTTTCTTATAAATAGTCTTATTATAAATTCAGAAGTAGCTGTGATGGCCTAGATTCATAGCTAACTATACCGACATCGGTATATCATAATTATCACTTTATTAATGTAGAGATACAGATGATAATCTGTATAGGCGAGGAACTAAAATTTCGTATAGATGTAATAAAAGTTACTATCATTTATTTACCTTTTCCTCCGGTTTTGGATCAGGTGCGAGCAAAGACTTCTTGCGCGCTTTGCTACCACCTTTAGCTTGTGATATGGTTTTAACTTGAGGTGGGCTTGGATCATAGCCTGTCAAGGCTTTCTCAAATAGCTATCAAGAATGATCAATAAGATAAAACCATTAAAATGAAAACTTTTAAAAGTTTTCTCTATGCATACAACAGTAGAAATAATTATCTAATCTTTACCTTGGCTTGGTTATATGTTGATGGGAAATCGTCTAAAATCCAACCGGAACCTTGCGGTATTTTCCTATAAAGTAATAGTCAGTTATCTTAAAAAGAGAGTCTACACATATGCTATTCTCAATCTAGAAACTGTCTTAACAGCTCTATAAATCATAAATTTTATCTCTAATTGGCTAACATCCTATATTAGACTTACTTAATGGTGTTAGTAATGATATCCACCATGACTTGATCATCAACAGCTTTTCCACGTTTGAGAGCTTTAGCAGCTTTAAACCCCAACTTTGCCCTAGGGCTGTAATTCTAGCATGATATAACAAGTAAAATGAACTCAGTCAGGCTTATAAACTACTATTGCATAGAATCGTACGAATTGAAAGCGCAGAGTGATTCTAAATCGCAAACGCATATAATTCTATGCTCTGATAGTGCTAATGGATTATAACATGTTGCGATGTGTAGCGTTATATTATGAAGGTGTAAAGTAATTATTACATCAAATTCTTTATTTAACTGTGTTAAGTAAATATAAATTGTGCTAGTATGTAGAGTTCTATTACTTCTATATAGTAAAACTGCTAGTTGACTATGGGACTAAGGTTGTAAAGGAGTGACAAGATTATAAAAATCAGAATTTGCGCTAATATAGCTTTCAAGGACTTTAAGGATATCATTAAGCTACCTCAATATCAGATGCTCGGAAACTCATGATTGATCCTCGGCGTTTTCCATCATTGGATGGCTTATGTTCAGTCTCTTGAACGGGGCCTAAATGACCATTGCTACCATCATAAGACTGTTTGGCAGCTTTACCTATGTAGGTGCTGCCGCCACTATGCTTTAAATTGCCACCTTTAGATTTACTGTCTTCATTCGGAATACCACTTAGCGATGTTGATGATTGCATTGTAGTTTTGCTACCATCGCCTTCTTGTTCGGAACCTTGACCAGTGGTATTTAGGTTGGTACTAGATTCATTATCCTTTTCATTTTAAATAGGTATATGTAAGATATATAGATTTGTTAGAAGCTGCAAAAAATTCGTCATAATAGAGGTAAAATATACCTATAGTATCATTATAATTGCAAATATTAAAATCTAATATTCTAACTACAAAGTAGAATTTGGCATTTTTATTCACCTTTTTCATTTCATTTTCCCCTAGGGCACCTTCGTCTTCATTAGTTTCGCTCTGTATCTTGCTTTCATCTAATTCACCTCTTTCAAATGCATCTACAGCTTCATGAATTAAATTATCTAGCTCGATGACCTTGATACGATGGTCTATAACATCATAGCATAAAAAAATTAGTGATGCAAGATAAGATAGCTTAACTTTCTACTGTAATCTGCAGCTGTAGCCTTGATTAAAATGGCTTAGTATATTTAACTACATCTGCAACTTTAGCTTAACTGTAATATTTAAGCTAATGTTATACCATAGTGGTGCTAAATTGAATACTCCTAATTTCTATTGCTAACTACTACAGTTATATTTTTTATTATTATGACTTAATACATAATAGTACTTTAATCTAACAGTGTATTATCATAGAGCTAAAATTTGCTCAATTTTTAGCATACACGCTGATATAATCTCTTAATCTTGAGATATTAATGATTCATGCTGGATCTTAAACATAGTTGACTTCATGTCTATAGTAACAACAGCTAAAGTTTGAACAATCTACAATGTATGAGCAAATATAGCTTCATAACTTTGTTTTTTTCAGATTAATTTAACATTAAACCGTTGATAAACTACTATGTACTAGCAAAATTAACTTCATTTTGTAATAAAAATAGCTTACTTTCAAGTAATCTATCTATAGTGACTGATTTTCCACTAAATTGCTTTCCAAGAAAACAGGCTTTAATTGGAAATTCTGGAAATTCAGGAGCATCAACCGGAGGCTGAATAAAACACAGAGGCGAAATTAACATTATTACTTACTTTGGCAATAAATACCCATAATTTGTAAACAATTTTGATGGAAATGGAATAATTAAATTATGTTACACTGGTACAGATTTTTCGACAATTATTTGTACCTCTGGTGGTGCCACTGTATTAAACAATGTTTTAACAATATGGCCAAGAATAGAGTTATCTTTTGGTGGAAATTGATAATCGAAATTTTCTGGCGGATTCCATTCTCCAACACCATTCTTAATATACAATAAGTGTTAAAGTGAAAGAATAAAAGTGATTTGTTATTTATAGGTCGAAGATCATCAATAAAATTGCTATTAGAGTAGATTTTGATTGCATATCCTCACATTATATTCCATAAAGTCTGCTTCATCAAGTAAAGCTTGTCTTTCTTCATGCAATATATTGGTTACATCGGCCTCCTCTGCTTTATCGTCTTCTTCAGCTTCAGGTTGATCATCGAAGAGTGGTATCCCCACAGTAAATAACGTCTTCCATTCGCTTAGTAACTTTGATGGTAATTTGCTAATATACATATAGATTGAAAGTTTACCCATTTTTAAGTCCCAGCATTAACGGATGAAGTAGTTTAATGCTAATCATCTTATTTAACTATCTAACAAAAACTAAATATTATAATAATGTTTACTTTTCAGTTAACTCGCGATATTGACCGATTCTGACTGAAAAATCCACGATTTGATTCATTATCTAGGAAGTAGAAAAGCGATGTTCAAGCAGAAATAAAAGAGCTGAAGGATGAATAAATAATTACTGTTCTATTTGTAAATATTTCAGACACTGGGAAATATCAATTATATAAATTATATGCCTAAAGTAAGATAATAGGGGATAAATTGATGGACTACAGCTTCAAATCATAACTACATGTTATCTATTATATTCAACGGAGATCGAAAACGACAATAATCTCAACATGACTTACTTCCATACACATAGAATAATGCTTTTGGTATTTCCTTTCAGCACGTTCATTTAAAATTTGCTGATGTAATGCCTTTTCTTTTTTCAATTCTTCCTGATACTGTAGTCTTGCTAATTCAGCATATTTCTAGTAGAGTAAAGCATTCATTTTGATATTTTAACCCGTTATAGATTTACTAATTGGTCATTCCTTGTGAGATAGCTTCTGAAATCAGACCCGGTAAACTTACAGCTTCACGGTTTAGTGCATCATCGAAATCTTTCAGTCTACGTTGGGTATATTCATTTTCACGTTCAATACTAATAGAGAATTTGAAACTGATTTAGGTGTACGTAAATTTATATCGGACAAAATCCACTATTTAAGTCACCATTAATCCAGTAAGTATTGTTTACAGTAATCAATGAATATATTTACCGATTATTGACGATAACTTCTTTCAAATGGCGTTCCTATAATTATTAAGTAGTAATAATTATAAATTAGACTATTAAAGGCTCTCAAATTGCTCGTTTTTGCTTTGGGCCAATTCTTTAGATTTCAATTATTTAAACTTACGTGCATTAGCTGAACAGCAATTTTACGTTCATGCTGTGATTGCCTCATTAATCTGTTAACTAAAATATCTTCATGGTGGGCTTCCTAATGTTTGGTAATTTTAAAATATGTATAAAAATTTAATTTTAATATTACTCTTATATTGTTAAAGCTTAAGAGCGGTTTTGCTAGCTCACTTCTTGCATATGGTAAGCTTTCATTTGCTCCAGAAGTACACGCCGGCGCCTTTTTTGACGTTCCTAAGACCCAAAATGGCATATTTTAATGTGAATTAAAAGGCAAAAAAATATCCAATGCTCATAAGCTGTAAAACCGGTTGGTAGAACGTTACCTCTTTTGCGTTTAAATCATCTTTAACTCGTCTCTTGATTCCTGTTACATATTCTGTTGCTTCATTGGGCTGAATTTGTGGTTAAAATAATTGTGATTAGTTAATTGACTTTTTGCATTCATTTTGAGTATCCTAGCGATGAATTACCTGAACGATGTTGATTGGATCCAGTTTATTTTTGGGCTTACCATCATCGTTTAGCATCATATCAACATCGAAACTGGATAAAAATTAGATAAATGAGTAGCTGTAACATTTTAACTATACTACATATGTAGACAGATATTCGCATATAGATGTGAAGTTGTGGCTTTTATTAGCTGTCTATGCCGACTAATTAGTATGTCATAACCTTTAATTACGTATTAGATAATTACGCTGTAGTTTTGTCATAAACTTACTCGACAAGTAATGGAGAAGAAGGCATTGCTACATTTCGAATGCTATTTTCAAACTTTTCAATCTCTTCCTTAACCACCTAGTAAGTGTATCAGATAAGTTAACGTAAACGAACTACAAATGGAATTTTAAATTACAATCTATGAATTTGAATCTACAGAACTTACTGTTTCATCTTGTGTCTTTCGCATTTCAACTGGAGACATACCGTTCGCTTTCTGTGCGGCAATATATTGAACAGTTTGTTAGTAGATCTCGAAACTAATAAACTAATTCTATTCTATACCATGATGTTCTAGCACATAGGTAATAGAGTATTAACAGAGCTTAAAAGATGATAAATTAGTTTTCTATACCATCATTGATACAACAAGTATGATAGCGCAGTAATATAGGTAGAAAGTAACAAATGAGTTAGCTGTTTATATTATACTGTCCGAAAAATTACTTGATAGCGGGTACGTAAATCTTAAAGTAGTTAGTAATACCAGATAGATATATTATTACTAAGTGTATACCAATGATTATAAATTAATCTACATGGGCTACGATTACCTTCGTGCTGGGTGGTTTAGGAATTCGGACAGCAGCAGCTCTAATATTTAAAAGCATTGTTTAACGATTATGCTTAGTGCAGATTGAGAGATAGGTAAATAACAATTCTAAATACCTGATTCTTGATAATACTTCTGTTTGTTGTTGTCTCAAATTACGAAACTGCGAATGAATTAAATTCGATAGCTTATGTTAGCAATAATCGGTTTTAATACGGCAACACTTGCAAATTTTAATACTGTTTGTATTAAACATTGCAATGTTATATGTACCTTTGCTAGTTCTTGCTGCCTTTGCTGCTCTTTCTCCTGCCTCCATTGCTCTTCTTCTAGAAATCTAATCGATGATTTACAGTTAAGTTACGATACCCTATTATAAAGAGCCTCCTATATGCTCATTGAAAATAACTCACTTTTTCTTAAAGGCTTGATCTTGTAGCTGCTTCTTCTTATCATTATATCTGTTTTCAATTTCTCGCAGATTGAGTGAACTTTGTCTGGTCGTTTCGCCAGTTAATCGCTGCATAAAGATCCCAATGAATATCGAATTATTTATGATATCAATTGGTATTTATGTAGGAGAAAGCCTTTTGAAATATAATTTACCCTCTTGAATTCGATACTACCAACGCTAGCTAGTGCAACATTGGCTCGTGCTTTCATTGTTTGCATGGCTGTTCCAGTTAACTTACGTTTCTAATTGAAGTAACAAGCGAGAATTAGAGAAAATATTCTTTAGCCTCCGTAAAGTAATATTAGTATAATTCAATATAGCATTGTATGTTGGAATTTATCTAGAAACCGACTATATTTGATACCTCTTTATTGTTAAGAGCAATATAGAGTTCATATAATAACCTAACAGCCACTCCATGCTTTTTATACATAATATCTTTAGCCTACAAACAGAAATAGACAAGGATTAAAGAAAATATGATTATCAAACATCTACTCTCCTATAGTTATCAAATAGTAGAAATTCAGAATACTTACGGTAGCTGTGTTAAATGGTATGTCAAGTAGCGCCAAAGTTGGTTCGATCAACATAAAATTATTTAGTTTTGATTCCGAGGTACTAAACGTGAAAAGAATCTAAGAGTTAACTTTAAAGCAGCATAACCTTCAACATCATTTGAAGAATAACGTAAGCATATGAAAATAGGTAATCTTTAGTCGATAAACTAACCTTCCTTTAGAAAAGGACCCAAAGTCACTCTGCGCAACAAAGTTAAGAGAATATTTATAAACGATATACGAGCATATATTTAAGCTATATTGTACCAATTATAATTAGAGTTAACGTAGAAATTTTCAATTTATATTCACAGTTCAATTACTGCTATACCAATAATTGCTATTACAATATTTATTAGGCTTCTTACCTGTAAACTGTATTTGTTTAAAACCTGTCCTATAAGGTAACCATTTGCAAATTCAGCTTCAAAGTTATCAGATGCTGTAATGGTTACACGAAAAGTTAGTCTCCGCAGTTTAGGATTATTTCTAACTAACTATTTATCGAATGGTTAATTAATATTCTGCGTTACAACTGCAAAGGTCGGCTAGAAGATTGTATGGATCACTTAAGGTATATAACTTTGTATTGCCGTCGTGAGTTTATAACTAGGACTTGCCCTGAAAATTGAAATTACTTCTAATATGCTAATAATAAATAGTTTGCATATGATATGCGGTACATAATAATAGCATATTTGGTTACGAGATCGCGTTATATTTCACACTATTATGAATTTATCGCCATACCCTACGACTGAAAATTAAATTATTTCTAATATGTTTATATCAAACACTGTCTCCAACTATACGAGTACAATACGGTTGCTAAAATTAGTTGTAAGATTGCTTAAGGTATATACGCCCGGCTCCCGTCATAAATTCATTGGTAAAGTTAATCTGTAGCAATACAATAATATCGAATGGTAGATGCATGTCATATGTTCTAATGACGAGGATTAGTTATAAGAATGTCTAAAGATCTGTTATTTCGCTAACATTATAATTTTACTGCTAAGATTAGTAAACTAATCTGAAGTTAGGGTTATTCCTGATACATTTATATCTAAAAGTTGATACGTGATTCACTTAACATAATACGCATAACTACAGCGATCAGATTGCCAAATCAGCTAGTCTATAGAACTTTGCGATGGCATCATGTTTATAATCCTAACGCAGACTTACTGATTTCACGCTCCAAGTGAACATCTTCGTTCAACCATTTACATAAAATCGCCGTCATTCTCGTTTATGTAAGGATAACTTAAATGTCGGCAAAGAGCATGGAAATATTACTTATATAGATAATAACTCTGTACAGGCAATTTCGTTAACCGTTAACAATTCATCAACTTTCTTCTAATCAGTTACTGTGCATATAGGTGATACTAAATTCCGAATAGATAGACTTGGTTGCACTGTATAGTATGAGCCGTTGCTATAGCGACATGAAAGCAACATTTATCAGCCATTGAGTCTGCGTTAAATTCAAGTTGTCCATATAGGCTCAGAACATACTGTTCATTATATCGTGTTTGCATCATTAGTATCGGTATATTCAATTGTATCGTGAAATCACTAGAGCGGTTATCTAGTATAATCGGTATATCTTATACATGTAATACGTACAGTATACTTAACTTGCATAGAAAGTGACTTCTCGTTATAAACATAGATGCAATCGATTTCGACATCTTGAATCTCGATATTGCGTACAATAATGTGAAATCTTGCGGTTATTTGCGAGTCAAAATTAAAGATTTGTTTCTTTATGTTTGATAATCACATCTAAAAAGATTTATTCCTTCAGTCGAAATCGCAGTAGATCAAATTTAATTTCGGTTATATTGTAGTGCAAACTGATTTACGCCTAATCGCCTTTAATTTACCTTGTATGGTGCTCCTTAAATGAAGTACTTTATATCGTTAATATCCCAATAAATATTGTTATAAGAATAACTTTGTTGCTTCTAACAAGACACCGCTTTTATATTCGGAAAATACTGCATGGCCAGGAAATTAATTTTGGCATTACTATTGTATAGCTAAGCTTGGCGCGTAAGTACTGTTTAGGTGTTTATACTCTGGTTGTCACATCACGAGTTTATATGCGCTAGAGAATAGCAGTCAGTAATCAGTTGTACAAAACTGCGTGGAGAACCTGGTAGTCGAGTCAGCCAGTAAAAGTCAACGTTTTAAAGCACTGTCATATTACTAAAACATGGTGTCATATCGCGTTAATTTATCAAATGAGAGAGACTACAGCTCAATAAATGATGTGTAAGTAATACATTTTCGTACCCGTTGTACTGCTGCGACAAGTCGTTAAAGATTCGTCGCAGGTACTCCATCTACACCCTTGCTTATAGTCATAAATTCTTGCAATATTACTGTTTACAATTTTTTAATTGATATGTAACTGTAAACATACGAGTATTTACATTAGCCTTGAAGAAATTAGGATGAATAGGTAAATAAATCATATTATGCATATCATAGAAGTTGATACATGTTAAAATTTTTAAGCTTTATTATAGTTCTACATCGTCCGGATGGTACATTTCACGAACCAGACGGTAAACATAAGAAGGGGCTATACCACCTCTGAAAAAGAAACATGAAACATATCGGTTATGGTATTAATTTAAGATTCGAAAATCATTGCCAAATTATGATTAAACTTACGTATTTGTAATAAATAACTCAACCAATTCTGGCGGAACATAGTCAAAGACAGGATTTCTAAGATGAACTTTCGATACAATGGATCCTGAATAGTGTTAAGATAAAACTCAACCTTTCGGATAATGTGTAATACAATCGAAAAGCGAATAAAAATATCACCTTCAGAATATTTCATGACGTCATGTGGACATACAATCTTATTGAAGGAGTGCTATAGTTATAAAGCAAACTCTGAGATCACAGTGAAGATTCGGTATGTTTGAAATAATCACATCATTGGCTAATTTCAATCAGGTAAAAAATTAATTATATATATTAAATACCTGATCGTAGGAACAAACGTAGTTCGGAGAAAATTTATATGTCGCTGTACATACTATAACCTAATAGGAGATAAAATACGTAGAAATATTATTTCAAATGAATATAATTTGATTACGAATGCGAAAGCAGTGACTTTAATATACCGGAACGGAATGATGTTTCGCCGCACCAGCAATGCAATATGCTCCATTTATGGCTTTCAGTCTGCATGAATTTTTATAGGGTATACAAGTGTTACAGTAATTTACAACTTAAAAGCTACTATCAATAAGTTGTTAATCATGATTATATAGCGAGCAGGTAATCATACCCTCCATTAGCCATTACTGTATGAGTCCCAATAATAACCTAATTTTGTAAAAGATAAATTAATGATGTTTACGTAATAATACTGTTAGAGACATAATTGTTAAATTAATTATATACTCGTATACCTTATTAACTCGAGACATCATGGCAAATATTGCAGAATCAGTAATAACAGTTGTATCAATGCCATCTTTGGATAAACTTTTTGCTAATTCTTGACCCTATACGGATGATATAGCATTGCCTCAGTTAAAGTACGGTTAAATCAGTAAGCGACACAAGTCGAAAATTTATAGAGGTAGGCTGAAATTATGAATCTAGAAATTTAAAAAACAGACTTGGTAGAAAGGGGCACATTCTGCTACCATGACTTTAAACTTTCTTGTCCTGGCTGCTTTCTGTAGAAAAAAATAAATAAGGCAGTTGTGATGTCAGTTGTACGCACTTTAGACTTTTAATATTTTAAAATTACATCATTTTTGAAAATTTTATCGGCTCATTATTTACCTTTAAGAAAGCTTCTACAGTCTTAGATTTACCAATGGTCATAATTACTTCGTTTGAATGGATATGCTCTAAAGATTGCGCTGCGATATTTTCACCGCTATTAAGATAACCGTCATTAAAATGGTAAGATAGATAGATAGAGTAAAAAAATCAGTTACTATACCTTTGTTCTAATTCAGTTAATATCTCGCCTATTGATTCAATTATACGACCCTGCCAGTAAGAGAAAAGTTACTTTAAAATTTAAGGTAAGCCATTGCTGTAGACAGTTCGTATAGATGATCAGAGATTGTTAAAGCAGGGTCACGATTATTTTTACCCTTAATTGGCTACTAGGCGCCGTGAGGTCATGTCCGGGTCCCGCAGAGAACAGCAAATTCTGTATAAAGCAATTGCAAAGATATAACAGCAATTAATTACGTCTATTCTTGTACAATGATCCATATTTTAAAATTGTTATGAGAAAATATATCTAATAATTAATAGTATAGTTTTATATCTGAGTCAGATCTATGATAAGGAAATGAAATACGTTTGGAGCCATTTTTCTATAAGTCTGTTGAAATGCATGCATACGTGAAGTGTAGATTGTAGTTCATCCTCTTCTAAATTCTTGTGTGCTTCTTGGCTTTTTTGAATACTGAAATTGAAATGGAATTTTAACAAAATTAAATATGAACGTAATGAAATGACTCTTAAATGAACTTGGAGAACCTCTTTTCGAATCTGAGTTTTATTATAACCATTTTGGTCTACATTTACAATATCGAAATTACTTGGCAATAGAATAGTGCGTAACCCAGTTAATGACCTAAAGACTATACATATACTGACTGTTACGAATATATCCAGGTATGGTTTGGTGAGGATGTAATCTAAGCTATCATAGCGAAGTGAATGAAGATGATCGCAGATATCTATTCATTCATTCGGTAAACTAAGAAGTTATTCTTTGCAATTGTTTGTAACTTGTTCAATGGGCAAAGCATAATTAATTACTCATAAAGATAGAATGATTACTAGGAGCAATGATAGTGGACTTTTTTGTACATTTTGAAAATATACGCGTTGTAGATGTATCGTATTTGTGTACTAGAAAGTATCTATCGTCCAAGGTAAATATCAATATAAATAAAATATTATCTTACCTAGCCGCTTCTTCGCGAATACTCCTTAGCACTAGGGGGACGTGGAAAAAGATGATGAGGTTATCAATAAAATGCAGTATAAATAGCATACGCGTTTATCTACGTATTATTTACCTCTTTTAAACATGTTGCCAACAGCGGTCTCTGATTAATCATAAGCAATAATAAAGGTCATAAGTGGGTGTCAAAAAAAAGATGTCAACTACTTGCCAATTTATTTTGAGAATATGGTGATATGATAATTTGCTATAATTTATGATTAGCTTAAATTTATGGTCAAGCTAGCTGTGCGCATTGAGGCTGAAATACTGTATTAAATTATAGATATGCAGTATCATGAGTAAGCAGGTTAGTGCAGTACTACCAAGGTCAAGTGAATGGTATAAAGTAGGTAGTCTTACCGCTAGGCACTGTTTCTGTAACTCGTTTGCCTTCAGTAGAAATTAGTTCCATTAGTTCTCTAAAATAGCAATTAACAACTTTTAATCAATAAATTAATTTACCATGAGAGCTTATTTAAAGCCATCAAACCGCATAAGTTCCATCATACACGTTTCATATAGATTTATATGTAGAGTATATGTATTGCTTAATATATGGTATGGTATATATAACTAAGTTGACAATAACTACCACTCTATGTGCACATACAGTAGTTGCAGTTACATAGCTATAATCATCTAGCTGACGCTAGCCAAGGTGTCCGCATATCAGCGTAATGAAAGACATTAAGATATTATAATCGATGGAGGAATACGAGTACGTCTATGTTTAGTCGTTCATGATGCAAGTATATGAACTCGCATATATTCAACTTGATATTCATTGGCAGAAGTTAATAAGTCAACTATTGTTGCCAGCACAGTTTCTACTAATGATATTGATAACACAACATGTAATACAATAACTATAAACTATATCTAAATTATTTGCTTACTTAGCATTGTTATAGCGGGAATGAGAGATCATATTCCTGAGCAGTGATGTCGTTCTTTTAGCGATGTGATAGGAACTACTGACATGCCTTGAAACAAGGGGTAAAAAAATCCAATGTTACCAATTGACATTTGATCACCATGATAGCGATAACATACTGCAGTCAGTAGATTAGTAGAATTATTACTGCCCTTTGAAAAAGGACAAACAAGGACTACTTTAAACATTGGACAGCCACCATTAATAAGACATCAAAGTACAGTGTTAGTATTAATATTTCTATCTTTGGTGTTGTCACGAATGCATCTCTCGGACATCATACTCTAGGCATCCGCTACCTTACCCGTGTTTCAATTCCACAAGGAAAGTATTCATATGGTCATGAGCATCGCTATCAAGGTGTGGTGTAAGAGGAGGTTTATTACGAGACATTCTTTACCCTATCTATTTGTTTTTTTTCTTGGTAAAAAGAGGAAAAAGAGTTTTAGGTGGTACTTTCTTCAAGTCAAATGTGAATTTTTTCCTAGTCTTGGTTATATTATTGAGCAGCAAGGACGCCGGTGAGTGCGTGATCGCTTTGACTTGCGTGTTTATACTACAGTACAGTACTTACCACTGTACACTGTATAGTACAGTATCTTTGACCCTATCGAACTGTACTGTAGGGTAAAGAGACACTTGGGTACCATCACTCTTGTAGCAGTTAAAATAGAAGCTCCATGGGATGAAGCTGTGTCACCTATAGTTACAGTAGTTTAGGTATAATTGCCTAATGTAGCTTGCATTGTAAGCATCTTGTAGGGACATTACTTTTGCAAGCCATGAATTCAATCCATCCTACTCGCTAGCAAGATGTTACAGGTGACATTTTTCATTTCAACTCGCTAATGTCCATATGCAATGGATTGCACTCTGCTACCACACCTGCAATCTGTAAAATTACAGATTTGAAATTGCTTCACTACAAGTAAAAAGTACAGCTTGAGCACACCCAAGTACTATGTCATGATTATGAGCAATAGTTATATAGATGATGATATAGACTCAATTTTGTAGTTGACCCACTAACTGATACATATCAAGGCACAAAAGTACACATACCATCAGTAAGCTTGGCTCGATCTACTGATATTTACATGCAAGAGTTTAGTAGATACATATAGACTAAATACAGTAGTTGACCCACTAACTGATATATATCAAGACACAAAAGTGCTGATACCGCCAGTAAGTTTAGTTCGATCTATTGATATTTACATGCAAGAGTTTAGTAGATGCATATAGACTCAATACAGTAGTTGACCCACTAACTGATACGTATCAAGATACAAAATTACTGATACCACCAGTAAGCTTAGTTCGAGCTATTGATATTTACATGCAAGAGTTCAGTAGATGTATATTCACAACAGTACTGATACCACTAGTAAGCTTAGCTCGATCTGTTGATATTTACATGCAAGAGTTCAGTAGATGCATATAGACTAAATAAAGTAGTTGACCCGCTAACTGATACGTATCAAGATACAAAATTACTGATACCACCAGTAAGCTTAGTTCGAGCTATTGATATTTACATGCAAGAGTTCAGTAGATGTATAGTCACAACAGTACTGATACCACTAGTAAGCTTAGCTCGATCTGTTGATATTTACATGCAAGAATTCAGTAGATGTATAGTCACAAAAGTACTGATACCACTAGTAAGCTTAGCTCGATCTGTTGATATTTACATGCAAGAGTTCAGTAGATGCATATAGACTAAATACAGTAGTTGACCCGCTAACTGATACATATCAAGACACAAAGTACTAATATTACCAGTAACCTTAGCTCGATCTACTGATACCACCTGTAAGCTTAGTTCGATCTATTGATATTTACATGCAAGAGTTCAGTAGATGCATATAGACTAAATACAGTAGTTGACCCACTAACTGATACATATCAAGACACAAAAGTACTGATACCACCAGTAAGCTTAGCTCGATCTGTTGATATTTACATGCAAGAGTTCAGTAGATGCATACCAGTAAATGGGGCATTTCTTATTATATTGATTATTAAACTTCGTATGCAATGGATTGCAGTCTGCTACCACACCTGCAAGCTGTAAAATTGTAGATTTAACTACTGCACAAGGAAAAAATACAGCTTGAGTACTCTAAATACTCTGTATCATGATTATGAGCGAGGGGTTAACTCGCATATATGTCACTCTAGATAGATAATGATATACAGTACAGTAATTGACCTACTAACTGATACATACTAGGACACAAAGTACTGATACCACTAGTAAGCTTAGCTCGAATCTATTCATACTTACGTACAAGAGCACAGTGGAAGCATATCGGCAAGCTCTAGCTTATATAAGTATAATAATAATATTAATAATTAATAGCCTCCATTTACGATTCTCGTAACTACTGTCTGTGTACAGCTAGCTGAACAAATTGATGCCTACCAAGCGTAGTAGAAAATTAAATACTAGAGCAGCATCTCAAAATTAATCAAATGTGGACAAAGTGTCATCGCTTTAATGGTCTGTTGACAGTTCTCCCTCGCTGGGATAAGCCTCTGCTATACCGTTATTATGGCAGGCAAACGGTATCTTCTCTATTTATTCCTATGATGAGGACTTCCGATCAATCGGCTTCAGCCAGTGTTAGCCGCAAGGTATGGAGATCGAGATAAACTATACGTATCTGGATGAATAAAACTCCTACATCGTCTTCAAATGCGACGTACTGTATATAGTCATGACAAGCAGATACGATAATGAATTCACTGAATCATCTATCACATTATATCACGGATTAGCTTATTCCAATAAATGAATAATTAATAGTACAGATTACTACTTTATGCAATCTACTTTTATCGATGCTCAATCTTTTACTAGACTACTCAAGCAAGACCAGTATTCCATAATATTTCACACTTGTTCATGCAAGTGTAAACTAGCCTGATCGTTGTTTTTCCTATTTCCAAAGATTGCGATAAATTAATCGATGATATTTGTAAAAAAATTGTATACGCACGTAACATGTTGTTATTTGTACGAGTAACATTCGTTCGGTTGATGCAAAGGCTCATTTGCTGTTACTTGTTCTTACTGCCCTTCTTTAGACTATTTTGGAAAATGCTGGTTTATTAAAACAATCTAGGCCTGGTTTATATTACATCCTTCCGGTAGCTCTTCGTGCAATGTATAAATTAATTAAAGTAGTTGACGAAGAAATGACACGCATTGGCGGTAGTAAACTTGGCACGCCTTGTTTAATTCCTGCAGATCTTTGGCAATCATCAGGTAATACTTACTAGTACATATGCGAGCGAATATCTACAACTAACCTGTAATGATAATGCAAAAAAACCCCCTAAAGGCTTGTATCAAGTATATTACCATCGCCTGCTTCTCATTTATTCACTATAATCGGGTCTGATTTCGTAAAGGATTGATATATCGATTCACATGTAAACTAATTGCGATCAATATTTTAGACCTAGCCCAAACGATCAATATTCCTTTGATTGATAAACTCTACTAGCTTTAGGATTTTTTATAAATTGGTACTACAGGTAGATGGGACACCTTAGGTGCTGAAATGTTTAAACTGAAGGACCGCCATAATCGTCATTATTGTCTAGGCCCTGTAAGCTTTATTTGAATACTTTTAAATCATAGTGATAACTTACTAGGCACCATAATAATTAACATCTTGAAATTTTGTAGACCCATGAAGAATCTATTAGTGAATTAGTGGGTACGTATTTAAATTCCAAAAATATGATGCCCTTAAGATTATATCAGGTAAGTTTTCATAAACATGTTATAATCATTTGTCATGATGCTTGGAAACTATTGTCACAAAGCTAATACCTAATATCAATAGATTGATAGGAAATTTCGGGATGAAATTCGCCCACGTTTGGGTTTAAGAAGGGCCAGGGAGTTCTGGATGAAAGGTGTAAATAACTGTACAATCTATACCATTAATATGTCTCAATATTCGACTTTTGGTAGATTTATGTATGATAGAAAAGTAATTTCAAACTGTTTCAATATTTTTGTAGATATGTATTCTTTCGATATCGATAAAGAAGCATCGCTAAATAGCTACGAAATTATTTGCGAAGCATATGTTAGAATCTTCAATAGACTAGGATTAAATGTTGTTAAAGGTTAGAGTAAAGCTTTCATGGAAAGATTTTTATATATATATTTAATTATTCCTTCAATATATAGCTTCTATATAAATATAATATACGTATACAATAACAAAGTACCCTGTCATGTAAATCTATACAGTTGTAGCAGATAGTGGAGCAATGGGTGGTGATACTTCACATGAATTTCACTTAATTGCTGATGACGGCGAAGATGAAATACTTATATGTGATCAGTAAGCTATATCAAAGTACTTTTTTATACACAAAATCTATATTTAGTATCTTTATGATGTAATATATGCTATCTCATCGAATATATATTATCTATCACTTATCTAGATGTCATAAAGCGATGAATATGGAAACTCTGAAGTCAGGTAGAAATATTATTAGGCCATTCCAGTTGTTTAGTTGACTTTACTATTTAACGTTATTAAATTGAACTATTTTGTTATAGGCGATGTCATGGCAGAATGTAATTTATGCGAGGGAAAACAGAACAAGAATATTCAGAAATATCGTGGTGTAGAGGTGCTACTACATATTTAGCTCTAAAATCCTTTCCCTTTCTCTTATTGTTACTGCTCATTTTTATAAATTTACAACTGTTGGATTTCTTTATTAATGCATCATCGGTTAATCTACCAGATTGGCCATGCCTTTTATTTGGGCACAAAGTACAGCAAAGCTGCATCTGTTACTTATACTGATGAAAATAACTGTAAAGTGTAAGTTTCAATACATAGCAAGTAAGATGATAGTAATTTATAAATCTATGCTAAAATCTGCCTTATTCTCTTCTTCGTTACAATTCATGCAGATACGTTGAAATGGGCAGTTATGGGATTGGGGTAACCAGATTATTAGATGCGGCCCTAGAGGTACAATCAACATGCAACAAAATCCGTTGGCCATCGGTCATTACACCTTATAATATATGTATTGTACCCTTAGGAAGTCCTAAGGTAGGGCTACTGCAGTCGTAAACTAATCCACTACACAACTCAGGCTTAACATATAGGACTACTACCGATTCATTATTTTTATACATCATACTGATATTATTTATTTTTTTACTGAAGGATAATTCATCCCAGCAGCTACTTCAGTTAGCGCAACAACTGTATGATAAACTTGCGGTGGGTAAATTACAAAATGAAGTCGTTATCGACGATAGAATCTATTTATCGAAAACTGTTGGTCCAGGAACTCGTTTGAGACAAGCGACTCTGTTGGGATATCCTTATTTAATAATACTTGGTAAACAGGTAAAAATCTTCTATCATTCTTTAACTTTATAACATGAATACCAACTTTGTATTAATCGTCATAAATAACTCTTTATTTTTTATCCTTTTTAAAAGGCATTACAAAAACAAGGCTATATCGAATTGGAAGATCAATTAAATGGAAGTAAACAAAATATTCATATTGATAATATCGTAGATCATATTCAACAAGTCTACGAAAAAAGAGATATTTGTACACTATAAGCATTTTAATATTGCTAACATTGGTATGAAATATATAACACCGCCGTATTTAAATACTGTTAAATAATTATAAAGTGATAGCAACAGCTTCTGTAGGGCTTAACAAGACAGACAATGGAACACCTATGAAATAAAAGGAAAGTTGCTCATATTTCATCTAATGATGTTAGCTTACACAAATTTTTATTGTCCAAGCAAAAGTTGACAATAGCTATATAAATACCTGTAAAAACTGTGGAATTTGTAAGGATTCGAACTGAAGAGAACGGATTTAATGGTGAATGACAGCGCTTTAGTAAAGTTTTTAATAGTGTAGATGCAGGATCCCATCTAAATAAGCCAAAATAAATAATAATTGATCCCACTGCGACAAAATCGAAACAGTAAAAAATTCAAATTCATTCTAAAAACTACTTTTGTGATTGATGTAATGCAGGAAATTCAATTGGTGAAACTTTTGGATCGCCGGTTAGCCAAATTTTGTTAGTTTTGAGGGACCAAGACAGAACACAATCGAGACGACAGCATGATTGCCAATTTCTAATAATTATAACATAATTAAAAGATAATTAAAAAGCCTGAAGTTGATATGGTAACGATATATTCGGTTCTAACTTTCGATGGTGTCGTTTAGGTGGTTGTGTCCCTTTAAACAATGCTACAATTAGAATTGTTAATTTCATAGTAAAAGGGCAGACCTATAGTATATTGTGGAAATGAGGTTATTTTCAAGTAAAGGGAACTGGTGTAATTAACTCAAAAGCTTATTTGTTAAAATTGACTTGAGAATGACAGTTACGGCATATTAAATTAGTATTACATCAATAATTTGCAGATCATAATCTGCAAGAGAAAGCTCCTTTTCTTGTAAGTAAGGTAATAATTCTGCGATAGCTCCAATACAACATTCAATATCTAGTGCCAGTTGATGAGTTATTAAAGCATCTAATAAATAAAGAAAAATGAAAAGAACTGGCAGTGGCAATATAAATCAAATATGATCTAAATACAAATTTAAATAAAAATCATGAATATGTTTTAGTATTAATGCTACCTTTTTCCAGTAACTCTGAATCTTGTGGTTGCAAATACAGTCGTTGACGTTTAGTATTGTAGATGTTGAGATCGAAATAATTCTCAACGTCAAAGGAGCTTGAAGCTAGCATTTGAAGGCAAGAGTTATAAATGCTCCAATGTAAATAAGCGAAGTGATCGATGTATTAAAGAAGTGAGCCATTTAATTGAAACTTTTACGATTAATACCTTAGATTTACGTACCTGATATTTCTAAATTGCTTTCATCAGGCATGGCATAATACACTTGCCGAATGCGCCGAACAGCATTAGGAATTTCTAATAACGTCAGTTTGTGGAATCGATTGTTAACTGTTTTACTATCGCTATTTTGAATACCATCACTTATACACTTGTTACTATTGCCATATTCAGTGGCACCATCTTCTATATTTGATTTGTCTCCCTTGTTATGCTGGTTATTATGGTCATTCATAGTTAAATTCATTTTGACATCGTAATTACTATTTGGCTGATCCAGGTTATCATATATCCTGTTCGATCCAACAGGTGAAGAACTCCTGCCGAAGTTTTTATAATTATGAGATGAGGCGGTCAATAGCTTAGCTTTTGGATATACTTCAAAAATAAGGCAGCGAACGCCATCTCCGCTGTTAAATATAACACAATTGTCTATAACCATGTTTAGGGATGGTAAAAAAGGAGGATAGGGCGATAAGAGATTATAAGAGAAATGTATTTCATAATTGTGGTGTAGACATAATAAGTTTAGATTCTGATGTCTATAAGTATCATCGTCCGAGCTGTCTAAATTACTTATAGTTCTGACACTGCTATCAAAATTTCGATTACACAACCGACATGGATGTAAAGGGGGAGTAGCAACTATTGTTATATAAGATCGGCAACAATCATCGGAAGAACTTGATGATGATAACATTCTATAAATATTTAATAACACTATTATTAGTATTGTACGTTATGACGAGATTGCATTGAGTAAGTATACAGGTATCATGATAGATATATTCATACTACTTACTCTTGGCCAACGATAACAGTGTACTTGTCATTTATTGATTCACAAAGTATTATCTTCAATTGTTGTTGAATTTCTTCATCTCTGAATAATCGGATACTTTTATACTACAATACAAATATATAGATCCTAATTATACGCAGTATGTAAGTACATTACATACTGTATAAGCTACATTTTATACATATATGTTATCGCTGTGTTAACAATTTATCTATGCATTGGATCAACTTTCGTCAAATGAAAATAGAAGTTGGAATAATAAATAGTATAGCACTTACAAACGAAATACAATTATTACCTACTTATATAATTGCTAGTATCCATCATTTGTAATAATTAATTTAGAATAAAGAATAATTATCAGAATCATGTATTCATTGACAAACAAGGTGAAGATCCTGTATTAAGATCATTAACCTATCCTTTTTTGATTGTAAACAAACCTTGGTTAAAGGTTGGTTCAAATTAAAATTCCACCAATATAGGGTATATTTATATACTGGAGCAAATCCAGTTGATTGATTAGTACTAATATTGCAGCTATAGGAAAGTAAACGCTGACCATCTTTGGTAAAGCCTAGGAATACGGAACTGCAAATGAACAAAAGTAATAAGATAAGTGCTGACGAATCTAGCCACGATGCTATACGAGATCAGTTGAATGACAACATTGTAGAATACTCTATTCAATTATAACGACAGGCATGTAACAAATCATTAACTAGCAATATCTTTATCCTATACTGACATGGGTTATAGGGTATAGGTGTCTTATGTCAGTTATTCTTTGTAGCCATAGTACGTATGTATGACACCTCTTACGTATAAATAGGATAGATCTTATCATATCCCACTACGCTTATGCAGTATGATTTATTTTGTTGGATATCGTTGTTGTTAGATGGATGAACAGGTGGCCGTATAGGATGGTTTTAACGATATAGGTAACACTCATGATACAGTTAACAATATCGACCTTCTAGCTGCGTGGATATCATCGCCAAAAAGGGATCTTAATGGAAGACACAAACGGTTGGGATACTTGATCCAAAAGCTGGTTGTTCTGCTATAACGGCAATTCAATCCAAGGTACGATTGTTGAATCTATCCAACCGGATAAGTAAGCGTAATTTAAGATACAGTATCAACATTTATGGCAAGAGCAATTATAACAGTATAAAGGTACAATACATAACACTTCACTTTGTAAGGCTGTAAGATGAATATTCAAAGGGTACAAATAACAAGAAGGGCAAGTAGAGTAGTTCAGTTCAAAAAAAAATAAAGCCGGAGTACCAGTAAAGATGGGCAAAAGTAGATTATTCTAGCCTGTTATGCTACTATCTACGTCAATCATACCTCTCGTGCACGTAACTTGATAGCAATATTATTACAATCACGGCGTTTTATCTTGGCTGCCATACTTGTTTTTTTTCATCAACTAACTTGGCTTCGGCTTTGCGTGTTAGCAATCTCTTATTTCAATTAATAGCCATCAACTTATATATCAAGTTACTCACCACAGTGTCCTTTCCATCCTTCACCGGCTTCTCCTAACATGGGACACTTTACTGCATTAACGTCACTGTGACCATTCGTATTTAGTCACTAAGCAATAAACTAACGGTTTCTTTTGCTAGATAGATACGATACTGGAAAGTGCAGTAGAATAAATACAACTCTTAGCTTGGATATCTGATCAAATAGGCTATTAAACTGCTAAAGTTATGATTGGATGGACTTAGTTTGAGTTCTTTCAATCTAGCTCAATCATAGCAGTACACTACTGTATTTGTCCAAGTATGCTTTGATCCATTCCTCGAAGCGGAGACTACTACGTTTTTTGTAGCATGCCATAGTCTATAGTAACATATATCCTGGTCTATCATGAATCGGTACAGTAGAGTATTGAACAGTGGGTCATTTATTCGCTGTACTACCTACTTACCCGGCAGTGGTATACGTCATAATATTAATGTCCGCGTCTGTCCGTCTCTAACGCCTGTCCGCGTTTCTGACGTCTGTCCTCAAGTCAATTCATTTCATTGATGCCTTGAAATTGATTAATCAATTATATACTGTATATTAAATAATTATATATATATATAAATATATATATATATATATATATGTTATATATTATACGCGTATATAAATAAATAAATAATAATATTAAAGATGTATCCTGGTCAAAACCTTCAAATCCTGACCTAACAAGATACCTATCGATGAACTATAAAATTTTCTATTTTAGCAGCTTTTTGTCGATGGGATGTTTCTCGTTATAATATTCATTGCAGCAAACTACTGAGCTGCGAACGCTGACGTACCACCAGAAGGAGAATCTGACGTTCTCTTTCTGAACTCATCCCCGATCGTATAAACGCATCTTTATAATTCACCTTCCTTCTAGGTTTACAGTAATTTACTGTCACGATTCACTGATTTAGGGTTAGGATTACGCATTAACAGGATATCATTTTTCATGCAAACTAAAAGCAAAGGTTCATAGAGGTCTATTGGTGCGATTACCGTTCATTCTAAAGTATAAAAATAAATTTATACAATTTAGGTAAGCGAAGAAATGAAATTATTATAGCTATTTTCGCTGCATTATGTAATTCATTCCAGAATATGCGCACTTTCATGACTACCTTGCATGACCCATTTACGGAAGAAACTAAGTCGTAAATAACTGGTATAGATGATAATATGCAATTATAATTATAAATCACCCATATTTCTGCTAGAAAATATATCATTAAATTAACTTTGCCTTTAAAAATCTTGTTGCACTATTATTTATTCATGTTATTAACGTCTTAAGATGCGGTGTTGTAGTAGCCCTAGTGTGTAAAGAATAAGTAAGAATTGATTGAAAAGGATCAAATCATGAATAGTTGCTAAATTTTCTACTTTATAACGGGTTGACATTTATAAATTAGGAATTACTAGGCGTGTGTATGTCACAGATTTATCTCACGCGTATGTTTTAAAGAACGTTAGTAATCTGTATTCTAGAAAAGCGTTACAAGACAGCTTTAACCTTATGTTGTCGCATCATATGTCTTTAATTGCATCTTCAAGAGTCCTATTATAAAATTATCGTCTAGTTCTCTATTTTGCTATCTTATGTGATAAATGTAATGTAACAAAATCTATTATGCTTATGGCTTATAAGTTAGATTGTGAGATTGTGCGTATATGTGGTAAATCTATATCAGCAGTAGCACTTATTATTTCGAGTTAAAAGTTAGCCCTTGGTAGCAGAATACGAGCGTACATACATGCAAACGATGTAATAAAGTAAACAAGAAAAGCAAAGTTCTTGGTATAATTGTTAAGATAACTTATCACGAACTCTACGAAGTGATTGCATTCGTATACTTAAAGCATAGATAGTAAATATTAAATAAAAGGAATCAAGAAATTTGATGGCTTACGGCTAATTTATTCAGCTAAAATTCTCGACATGGCTCAGAAACGCTATTACAGTAAATTGTCATCTAATTCTCCTTTATTACACAGACAAGTCTAATTACACTGAATTGTACCGTATTCATATTTGTGAATGATCATAAAAGGATCAAGAAACTACCACCTAGGAATAATTCTAATTGCCTACTGAAATCAGTTACTGCCCAAATTTATTTCATATATCTGCAAAGCATTACTAGTGACATTATTTATGGCAGCCAGGCGAATATGGCACGTACTTACAACGCCCATGACATAAGCCATCTCCTTCCTTCCTTACTGTCCATAGTAGGGGCTACTTTAGTGTTGAGTTATCAACGGCAAAACATACATAGTAGCCTAATTCTTTATGAGAATCAAGAAGAACCTTTTCTTCTTTCCCTTACTTGTATCTTATTGGTAACAAATCGTTCTAAATTTGCCTTCTCACATCATGGGCACTAATGTTAAATCTACTTATCATGAATTAATGAACGAAGCTGCTAGTCATGGTTACGATATTGCTAGTCTTGAATTTGCCCAATATCTGGACAGTCAAGATGAATTCAAGGAATATCGAGAGTTATTTTATGTTCCACGAAAGAAAACTTTGCCTCAAAGTAAGTCTGAGCAAGCCTGGAAATCAATGAAATTTGCTGTAATCACACTGCTGTATGGTACCTATTTTGCTGCTGATTTTATGCTCATGAATCTGTAACGAATGCTGCATTATCGACTAGCTGTCTATACCCTTTCACAATAAATGGGAAGCTACTTCTTTTTGAATTATGGTCACTAAACCTATGTACAGTAGATGATATAATAGAATACGTAATTACATCAGCAGGCTACGTAGGGTAAAATTTAACTGCTGAATACAATTAGCCTTTTCGTAGCACGATGAACAATAACAATAAAAAAATTAGCAAGACTAAAGTCAAATTTACTATCCACAATGTGCAAAAATTTTATTTTTATCATTACGGTACGATCACTTGAGCAAGAGTACATATCACAGCCTTACTTATTACTCCAAAGCCTCTTTGTATACAACATTTTTAGCTTCGGTATGTAGACAGAGTGTTCACACGCAGCAAAACTTGTCGCTGATTTTCCATAAGTAATGATGTGGTGGAGGTGTCAGTATTAACTACACTTACTTACTAAATGCATAGTAGTATTATTCTACAGTGGTATGACTGTCCAATGTCAAGAGATTGATGCAATTACTGTATTATTTTAGAGCAGGGCAACCCACGAAGTGTGGCTGATCGTTGAATATTTGATAAATACAGCGCTACTTGTAATGATAATACAGCTACAGTGGTAGTTAGCAGTAATGGAAACGAAATAACCAGGCAACGTACAATTAAAGCAGCACTTTTTTAGTTTGATACAGCAGATTAAAGGTGATCACTCATATATTTGAATTGATATACAATAGTTGAATTTCATCATTAGCTCATGCGGATATAGTCATCAATATGCAAAAGGCTGCATTATTGTGCTCCTGCATAAAGTACTTGTATATGAGTAGGTCATGTCTATGCTATAATAAAGACTTGACATTGCAACGTAATAAATATTCTTTCTTCTTGAATTGTAGCTGATTTATCCCTAGTCGATGGTGAGAGTGAGAGTGTCTATCTTCTTGGTAATTCTCTCGGCTTGCAGCCTAAGCAATCTCGACAAGATTTAATGGAATACATGGACAAATGGGCTGAAATGTTAGTTTTTATTTATAAATACAATTTGCCATGATTCATGGTTATAAAGACTTATCCTCACTAATTTACGTATTCTTAATATATACGCATATTCCTACTATTGCATAATATCAAAAGTACTGTACAAATAAAAACATTTATTTATTATCGAAAATGATGGCATTTTATGATGGATATGTTACGGGTAGTATTGATAATCATTATTCAAAAATATTTCACTTCTAATGAAATGATATGGATGTAATAGGGGCTTCAAGGGATATTTCCATGGAAAGCATCGGTGGATAGACCTACAGGATACAGTAGCAAAGGATATGCTATGTCCTATTGTTGGTTGGTTTAAAGATACTCCTAATATTAAATGTCCTCTTTTTTATGGCCAAGTCACTGAATGCCATATTGTAATACTGTATAACCAAGATATCTTGAATATCTGTCATCTTTTAACTATTGCATAGTAGTTGACTCTTTATGCAAGACTGTATATTTGCTCTAATACGTTACTGCCGCCATTTAACCTAATTTTCAGTCCCTAAGAATCATTACGGTCACGATCCTTTAGTAGTATAATGTCATACAATTGATCATTTGTAAAGGAAAATTGGTTAATTTTTAATGCCGTTGTATAAACAGTTATGCTCAATAGTAATTATAATTAGTTAGTGGTTTTAGTACTGGTAGATCATTAATTAAGATCTTCAAGGTTAATCGTAAATTCTAATCGTTAGATCCTATGATGGGTAAACGTGTATGAATGCAGTATATTGTCTATTTGTTCGCAATGGTTATGCGTTACCAGTCTACCAGCTTGAATGTAGACACTAAAAAATTTGGTTATTGATTTGATATAGGAGCAAAGCCAATTGAAATCTGTATAATGAATTCAGTTTCCGTTAACATTCACCTATTAATGGTATGCTAACTAATATCCATCTAAATAGGATCAGTACTGTTAATAACTCCTTTGAAATAATGGTAATAATGACTATGTAACCATCTTTGTTAAATTCAACCACTTAGATATCATTTTATCAACCTACTACCGAAAGATACAAGATTCTTATTGACCACGGAGCATTTCCTTCTGACCATGTACTACATTTACAAGCGTATATAACACTAGATCACAATAAATTATAGATATTAAATAATGCTCGAAAAATTACTTGTCTCTCTGCATTATAGTTAATGATCAATTACCTTATTAAAGTATTTTTAATCGAAATAATCATATTGAATAACAAATAATTTTAGAAAAAGCTTACTAATCTATTATTATATGATTATTATTTTAAACCGTTCTTAGTATGCAGTCCAATCACAAATACGAATGCATGATTACGATTCAGATGAGGCAATGATACTAGTTAAAGCGCGAGATGGAGAAAATACTCTAAGAACAGAAGATATTATAGCAAAAATCAACGAATTTGGCGATGCTATTGCTATGATTTTATTACCTGGTAGGTATTTCTCTTTATTAAAATTTATTAAAAAATATGTTATTGCGACTTTAATACGATAATACTGCTTAATATTTATAACTTCTCTTTAAAGTATGCGAATGCCTTTTAATATAGATAAATTGCTTAATCTATATACTGTAGGCGTACAATCTTTCACTGGCCAGTTGTTTAACATCAAAGAAATTACTAAGGCAGCGCATGACAAGGTAAAAAATTAGGTGAAAAACGAACACATTAATGGCAACTGAAATCGTAGTTAAGAATGATTATTATTCAGCTACCTATGTGAAAATAGCTTAAATATTGAAAGCATTATACGGAACTTTGTGATTGAATTCATTTAAAGGGATGCTATGTAGGTTGGGATTTATGCCATGCAGCTGGTGGTGTTGAATTAAAATTACATGAATGGGATGTTGATTTCGCAGTTTGGTGTACATATAAGGTAAGATAACTGAAACTATTTCCTGACAATCTTAAATTTCATAAAAACTAAAAGTGTTGTTGATAATATAATTGTATTCGCTGCAATTTCAAGTTTAATAAAACTAAAAATGTTCTTATCGATAAAGAATTTATGAACTAATATTAAAAGTTGCAGTGTATCCTAATTCCATTTTTTTTATACACAATGTAGCTTCTTAACACCGGTCCAGGATCGATCGGAGCATGCTTTGTCCATGAAAAATATGCATATCGAAAAGACTTTAAAAGGTTGTCAGTAAATTATTTCAATTTATGAGTCGTTCATTTATCAATAATTTTGACTTTAACGCATTTGAACATTTAAAAGGCTTGACGGCTGGTTCGGTCATCGTTTAGAAACTAGACTTAATATGACAAATGGTAATAATAGTTGAATTTGAGATAACGTGATAGTTAAAACGTTGTTGAAAAGATTAAATTTAGTGTATATTTACTAGTTATGGAGCACGCTCCTGGTGCCTCAGGCTTTCAGCTAGCTACTACTCCTGTTGCGGATGTCGTTAGGCTCATTAGTAGTTTAGATGTAAGTTTACTTATTAACTTTATCTGTAATTACTGTTCGTTCGTGACACGTTCTTTAAGCATTGTAGAGTGGTGATTGTTAAATTTTGATTTCTAACAATAGATCTATTCTAGAGTATCTTTACCAAAGCTATTTGAAAAAGCTCGTAAAGGTGTAGTATATATGGAAGCGCTTTATCGGCACTACTTTATGAATAATGATACATCGGCTGATTGTAAGAAAGTAGAAAGTGTTGCGGAGATTATTTCACCTAGTGATCCTTGTGAGAGGGGCACTCTCTTTGCATTCAGATTTCCGGGTCGTGTTGATTTCGTTTGTGACGGACTAGCTAAAAACGGAATTGCAGTAAGATAATTTGTCATAGAGTTAATTATTAATTTAAATTAAAATTATTTTATTGTGCGATTAGCGATCATTATAAAATCTGCTATGAATGTTATATAATTTTAGGTAACTGTCCTAAAGAGCGAAATTATTAGAGCTGGTTTTGCTCCACTATATAATTCATTCCAGGATGTACACACCTTCATAACTACTTTGCATAATCTTTTTACTCAAGAAGAGAATCGTAAATAACGAGTCTTTCCATCTACTTGAAATAGAATCAGCGGATAGTCTTTGTATAGAACTTATATGCACGTACGAAAAACTAGCATTTGCAACCGTAACGTACGAGCGAAGATGCATACATTTATATATTATAACTCATGCTTGGTTTGACCGACATTACTTAATGCTTAATTAATTATAAAGCACTTCAGCTAGAAGGTATAAAATTGAATGAACCAGAGCAAAGCAATTAAATGTCTTTCTAGGTTACTTTTCATGTTAATTAAAAAAAGTTGTGGAGTCTGAAACCAAACGTGGATCAAGATTCTAAATTAATTAATTTCATAGTATTGTTTAGGAGTAGATAAAATTTTTCTACTTATGATATTATTTTATAATACTTATTTTAACAAGAAATAACAAAGATATTATGTCATTTTTTGACATTTTTATAGTAAGAGTATAGCATGTCATCCATATCGTTTTATAGTAAGGGTATTGCATGCCGTTCATATCGTACGGTATATAATAAAATTTTTTTCTCCTTATGATATTATTTTATGATACTTATTTTTAAAAGAAATAACAGAAAAATATTAGGTCTTTTTCTGACATTTTTATAGTAAGGGTATAGTATGCCATTCATATCGTTCGGTATGTAATGAAATTTTTCTATTTATGATATTACTTTATAACACTTATTTAACAAAAAATAACAAAGATATTAGGTCATTTTTTATAGTAAGGGTAAGCATGCCATTCATATCGTTCGGTATATAATAAAATTTTTCTACTTGTGATATTATTTTATGATGCTTATTTAATTAGAAATAACAGAAAGATATTAGGTCATTTTTTGACGTTTTTATATTAAGGGTATTGCATGCCATTCATATCGTTCGGTATATAACATTAACTAGAGACTTGCTATTTGAAAGTTACGTATGGTTCCTATACAATTACTTACATTTAATACTGTACACGTGTACATATGGGAGTTTACATAAGAGATTTAGTAACTATGCAGCGCAGTACTGCACAGTATGTTGTAATCAATTTTTGTTTCATGTATATGTTATATATATACTGTATAACATGTGTCATATAAACTGTAAACACGGCTTCTAAAGCTCTTAGAAATTCTCTACCTTACCGTACTAACGTGCTGTGACTACGACGGTTTTAGCTGAGAGGGCGTTTTCGTGAAACACCACCCATTAAGAAGGTGGTGGTAATAGTAGCCATCACGTATAAAGGAGTCATCCGGTAAAAATCAATACATTAAAAGGGAAGTGGGTTTTCATTTTACTGTAAAGACATGGCCTATTCTATGAACTTTAGTATATTCTTTATTAAATTATATTATCAGCAGGATGCTGATAATAATATGGCAAATCGGTTATTGATAAATTTCAAAGTTGAGTAGTATGCAATTTATTATTCAGTATAGTAATTTGACGGACAGGAAATGTTGGTACGGCCCCAGGATACGCGTATGGCAGTGCTTCATTTTGTATGACGAAAATGTCGATTTCAATAACAGACGTGTCTATTTGAAAGATGAAAATCATATCCTTGAAAGTGTTCATTTTCCACTACATACTCACATATAAAGTATCATTTAAAAGAATTTACCTAGCTGAGGATTTACATGAATTATTCCATTCTGAACGGTTTAATATGCCATTGTGCACGCAATAGCACTGTAGGCGGTGCGGAGTAGGCCGATGTTAATCACTTGGGACACATGTTCCATGCCATTGTACAACGCCCACAGCGAAGGTCGTGTCCTTCCTTCCATACTGCCCACTTTCTAGTGAATCGTACTAAACTGTACAGTGTAGACTATACACTACAGTACTATCTACAGGTGCAATAGCCAGTCGTGTTTACCAGCCTCTTGGCCTTGCCATTTTTTTGTGCCTTGCTTTACTTCTTGTTGGTGTCCAACTAGCTTACCTTCTGCCATCATGGGCAATGATGTCAAATCTATTTGTCATGAAGCGGTGAGTAGACCGATGTTGATCACTTGGGACACATGTTCCATGCCATTGTACAACGCCCACAGCGAAGGTCGTGTCCTTCCTTCCATACTGCCCACTTTCTAGTGAATCGTACGAAAGTGTACAGTGTACAGTGTACAATGTAGACTATAAACTACAGTACTATCTACAGGCTAAACTGATGCAATAGCCTGTCGTGTTTACCAGCCTCTTGGCCTTGCCATTTTTTTGTGCCTTGCTTTACTTCTTCTTGTTGGTATCCAACTAGCTTACCTTCTGCCATCATGGGCAATGATGTCAAATCTATTTGTTATGAATTAATGGATGAAGCTGCTAGTCATGGCTATGACATTGCTAGTTGCGAGTTTGCTCAATATCTGGATAGTCAAGACAAATTCAAGGAATTTCGAGAGTTATTTTATATTCCACGAAAGAAAACTTTGCCTCTAAGTATGTCTGCCTAAGTACAGCTACAATTTGAAATCATACAAGTTCATTTTAATCGCACTCTAGTACTGCATCCACCTTTTAGCCTACTCTATCTTGCAGTTGAAGAGTCAGAGTATTGATAAGCACCATAACTTGTTGATTATTTTTTATGGACGATTGCCTAGTCTACTATCTCATACAGTATGTACAAATTCCAAAGTACTCATGAAACACTTGAGATACTCGCAGAGTCTTAAAGTAGGGCGTGATACTGAAGTACTGTACAAGTAGATGGTGTTACCTACAAATATATTGATATTGCAGCATTGAAACTAATCCTAATTAGTACAGTATGTCTATACAATATACAATAGTTGTCTTTCATCATTAGTTATTACGGATAGGATGCTCAATGTTCAGTAAGGCTGATATTGTACTGTACTGTACAATAATAAGTGTACAATTGTGTATAAGATTATTGTGCATTATGTACACTGTACAGTATAGGCAGATAATGAAGAAAGTTGCGATGTTATAATATTCATGAAGATTTTGTACAATCTATACTGTAGTTGATTTATCCTTGGTCGATGGTGAGAGTGAGAGTATCTATCTTCTTGGTAATTCTCTCGGCTTACAGCCCAAGCAAACTCGACAGCGTTTAATAGAACACCTGGACAAATGGGCTGAAATGTTAGTCTTTATTTACTAAAAGCGCGTATATCAGTATTGTTAAATTAAATTAAGCAACACTTGAATTATTATATAGTGGATATACTACATTATAACATTGTATTTATTATCAAACATTATGGATGCAAATAGGGGTATCGAAGGACAATTCCACGGGAATGATCGCTGGGTTGACTTTCAGGATACGATGACTAAGGATTTGCTATGTCCTATTGTTGGTTAGTTGAAAGAAAATTGAGAATACCGCTAAAAAGAAACTTTCTCCTTCTAACCTCAATTCGCTAAATGTCATTATTATAATACGTATATAAGCTAAGATATTTTTTATATATACTTACCAAGATAGTTTGCACAGTATTTAAAACAATTTTATCCAGAATCCATTGCTGCTGTTATTGAATCTAATTTTTCAGTGCTCTGGAGTCATTGGTAAAAATCTCCTTATAGTAACATAGTGGACGTACAATCTATTTCTTGTAAAAATAATTTACCTATTTGAGAATATCAATATACAAACAATTATGCCTGTCAAAGGCGGTGATATAGTGATGGTAGATCATTAAGACCTTTCAATAAATTTCATTTATTAAAATCCTAGATCTTGTTGGGATTATATACCAGGAATTGTTTTATTTTCAATGGCTGCATTGTTGATTCATGTCTATTAGGATGAATATCGAAATTAAAATTTTGATTATGTATCAATATAGGAGCTAAGCCTATTGAAATCTGCGTAATGAATGCAGTTACTGTTAACATTCACCTGCTAATGGTATGCTAAATAACAATTATAAAACAAAATCAATACTATCAATACTTCTATCAAATAGATATAACGACTATATAACTGCATTTAACTACTTAGATATCTTTTTATCAACCTACTGCCGAAAGATGCAAGATTCTTATTGAAGACGGAGCATTCCCTTCTGATCATGTATATGCCAACACTTAGTTATATCCATAATTACAGTAAATTATTTACTTCAAATTATATTCGAAGAGTTTTTCATTTATTCGATAAATAATAATTAATTATATAATTAAGGCACTTTTAATTAAAATGAATGCTAATCTAGTATTATATTTTAAACAATTCTCAGTATGCAGTCCAATCACAGATACGAATGCGTGGTTATGATCCAGATGATGCAATGATAATAGTAAAAGCACGAGATGGAGAAACTACTATAAGAACGGAAGATGTAATAGCCAAGATAAACGAATTTGGTGATTCTATTGCTATGATTTTATTACCTGGTATGTATTTTTGCTTTGATACCTAAATAGGTAGGCTAATACTAGGCGATCATTTTAATGAAGTATTATAGTTTAACATTTATTCTTGTCTTTTAAAGAGCGCAACGCCTCTTCAATTTAACCAATTTGTTCATTTCGTATAGGAGTGCAATTTTATACTTGTCAGTTGTTTGATATTAAAGAAATTACTAAGGCAGCACACGATAAGGTTAAAATTAGGTTATATTAAGCGTACACTGATAACAAATTTAGTCTTGGTAAATAATAATATTTTTACTACTGCATATAGCCTTATTAAAAAATAACTACTCTGCTTAAACTTTACAGTGATGACAGTGATTGTGATATTATATTAAACTTTGTAATTTTATTATTTATTTAAAGGGGTGCAATATAGGTTGGGATTTATGTCATGCGGCTGGTGCCGTTGAATTAAAATTACATGAATGGGACGTTGATTTTGCTGTTTGGTGCTCTTATAAGGTAGACTAATCCTCTTATGTTATTTTCTTTATTTGAGGTGATTTCGTCTATCTCCAATTGAATATCCACGAAATTGTAGTTGTCCAGAAAATAATTTACATATTGCAGTATAACCTAATTTCTTATCTCGCATCATGCATAATGCAGTACCTAAATAGCGGTCCAGGATCGGTTTCAGCATGTTTTGTACATGAAAAGCATGCACATCGGAAAGATTTTAATAGGTTGCCAACATGTCATTATCATTTGAGTAACTTGAAAGATTGTAAATAGATTATTTCAATTTATGAGTTGTTTGTTTATCAGTAATTTTGACTTTAATGCATTTGATCGTTTGAAAGACTTGAAGGCTGGTTCGGTCATCGTTTAGAAACCAGATTTGATATGTCAAACGGTAATAACGATTGAATATTTGATGACGCGTTGACAAAAATTATTTAAAAGATTAAGTTTAGCGTATGTTTACTAGTCATGGAGAGTATTCCTGGCGCATCGGGCTTTCAAATATCTAATACACCTGTTGCTGAAGTTGTTAAACTCGTTAGTAGTTTAGATGTAAGTAAATTCACCGATTCGCTGTCATAACTTTAATCTCAGCTTATTTGTGATATGTTATTTAAATATCATATCATATACAATAATGTAGTAGAGCAGTACAGTATATTAAAATTTTTTTTAAACAATAGATCTACTCAAGAGTATCACTACCGAAGCTATTTGAAAAAGCTCGCAAAGGTGTGATATATATGGAAGCACTTTATAGGCATTACTTTATGAATAATGCCACATCGACTGACTGTAAGAAAGTAGAGACTGTTGCGGATATTATTTCACCTACTGATCCTTTTGGAAGGGGCAATCACTTAGCATTCAAATTTTCGGGTGGCGTTGATTATGTTTGTGACGGACTGGCAAAAAGAGGAATCGTTGTAAGATGAATTTTTTAGTTAAATTAAAAGTATTTTTTTATTACACGATTGGCGATCATTCTAAAGTACAGAAATGAATGATATACAATTTCAGGTGGATGTTCGAAGAAATGAAGTTATTAGAGCTAGTTTCGCTCCATTGTATAATTCATTCCAGGACGTTTACACCTTTATAACTACTTTACATGACCTGTTTACTCAAGGAAAGAAGTCATAAATACATACATTGACTTGTAGATATCATAGACTTTCTATCTATCCGCTATAGAACTTATAGACAGTCCTTTTATTATGTAATAATAATTCGATTTGTAATCTCGATATGAATGGATTTTATTTAACTCAAGTTGATGTTTTATTTTTGCTAGACGGTACGAAGTTGAATTATCCTTGTGAATTAAATATTAAATTACGTTATTACTCATATTAGTGACTTAGGATATAGCAGTAGCAAATCGAGTGGTAATGAATCCGCATGGGATTATTGAAAATTATCGAGATATTGGTAGTTGCTGAGCTTCGTACTTTCCGACTGATTACAGAATAGAAGTTGTTTTACAGAAGAAATACTGTATTACATTCTATGGCATCTATTGTTTAACTATTAATCTATTTTCTATACAAGACTTTGTAGCTAAAAAACGGCTTTACTCTGGTAGCGTAAAACTGTATGGTAAGATACTATTAGAAGATAAATGACGCAACGTTATGATGTGACGTAATGCTTTAAATTGATATCATATTTTATTTATATCAGCGTTTCAAACTACTCGAATGTAATTAAATTTTTATAACTTAATAAATCTAACGGACACTTGGATACAGCGCTTTTAATTTGCAATTTCCATGCCATATGATATAGTCATATCCGTGGAAACATCTTACTGCCGATAGCCTTGTCTGATACTTCAAAGCTAAAAATCATATAATCTAAGGGTCTAAGTAATAACTTGCCGTAGGTATACGATCAAATACTTAATAATTATCTATGAGCATATTATTGTTTTAATAGACTCTTATGGGATTTAACAGTAAATAAAATGGTCAAAGATTACAATTTTTTTGTAAGTTTTAATGGAGAGTTCACAATAATTTTAAAATTGAATGAATGATACTGATACACATAGAATATGGAATATCTTATATTCCATAGCCTAGACAAATGCTATATTTTGGTATTTAGTATAAACTCATCATAAAACTTGATCACTGTTCCTCAAAAGGTATGCGATCGATATTAGCTATTAATTATAATTATCTATGAGTATATGCATATTTTCAAATTTTATATTAGAGGCCGCCATAGAATTTACCTTTAACTCACTTAAATGAGCATCAACCAGAATAATACATTAATTAATCTTTCACGAATAATACTAAATCATAAATTTATGAGCATTTAGATGCTAAAATTTTAAATTCCTGTATCATAATCAAATTTTAGTTATAGTCTGCATACTGAAAATTTGCTCTTAACAAGCATCTCTATAAATCTTGTATGGAAGATACTTCACGGATTTGTGGGTATAGACATTTTAACGATAAAACTAAACACCAATGATGCTCGGTATATTATCTTTTCTTACAAAGTAATAGATTGGGTATATTAAGTTAGCATTAAGGATTTATATGTTCTTATTAAATGATAGGATCTGTATCTGCATTCTACTAGAATCAGTCTATTAACAATTTAATCTACTTTATTTAGTTCTGAGACGATCGAATTATACAGTATCCACAAATATCATATTAAATTAAATAAAGAAGTTGATCCAGTACGAATAATTTGCTTGATGAATTTTAAATAACTTTTGATTTTGCTCTATAATAATCTCTCTGTGTCTTCAGGAGTACTATTGAATCGTCGTCTAGTTCTCCTTCTACCTTTCTTATACTCATGAATTATTTTTCGAATGACCAAAAAGGATTTAATTTGCGACCATTCGAAAATTTCCCAAAATGTTAAGAAACTACCGCCCAGGAATAATCCCAATTGACCACCAATATCACCTGAAATATATTACATCGCCATCCACGTATATTAGAAATCCGTTTCGATCCAAAATGATTAACAATCACTATGAGTATAACATACTTATAAATTGATTTACGTCGTATGCTTTCTTTTCTTTAAATGTTGTATAAGAAAGATCGTCGTAGAATAAGTCTAGAAAGACATAATTATCTCTAGATTGGCAGCAGTTAGAATGGAAAAATTAGAAATAAAGTTTAGCAATGTTTATACTAGGTGGTACTATGTATGTTGTAATATCGACGAATCTGTAGCAAAGACATAGTTCAGTTATTATATTGAATAGCTTTAATATCCATATAATAGCAATAAAGCTTTAAAATGGATATTTTACCTTATATATTCGCCCATTGAAATATTGTTATACTTTAAGAAATCGATTTCTAATTCATTTAATCCGTAACGATGAGCAGCAAACCTTGATGTTTGTCTGAGGGGAATTTCAGCATAAGTTACATGAGGATTAAATGATTTAATCCTGCAATCGTTAGGACAGTTGCAAGTAAAGTTTTCCGGTGTACTTAGGCCTTAGTTAGAAATAAGTATGAGAATTAATAGAGGTCATAATTTCAATTTTGTTGACATTTCAGTAGTACAAGTATCGACTACATTAGTTAGAAATCTGTAGATTATCTATTCGTTGTCTATTTATCTACTTTTGTTGACTATAACTATCTGTTCGTTCGAAATAGATGCTAGAACTCCTAGTAATTATCTCTAATATTGTGCAATTATTAAACTTTCGACATATTAACAGCTTACCTAAGTATTTAGTAACGCATTTCTTAATGTGCTCAGGTGAGCAGATTGGAGATGAGCCTGTATCATTGACGCGTAAATTAGATGGAAATTAATAATTTACAAATATCATAAAATAGGAAACCACAATAATAATAAAATTAAATTTAAAGTTGTTGTTTTTGTTTTTATGTATGTTGTTTTATATATGCAGACCATAAAATACCGAAGTATTTACTTTGGTAATACATAACATATACCTTGCATCAAAATATTACGGTACCGCACTGTAGCTTAGTGATTAGTCTATCTCTAGTTTTAACCGTAATTGGTTCGGCAAAATATTAGTGCATAATTCATACCAATCTCTATATTCTAATATCTCAAGATATTATCCACAACTTGAAGAAATTAAAATAAGTTAGAAGCATATTAAAATGCGATGAAAACAATGTACCAGGCATATATGGTGTCCGACAATCACATCGTCTTCTATAGCTATCAGCTAAACATTCTAATTGGCAGGAAGCTCGACTATAAGATTTAAAATATTTTAACTTCTTCTGACCACAATTTCCCCACGGCGGTTTTAAGAAATCGGACTACATCAAAAGAAAATAAGAGGTATAATTTATTTCATACGGATTTACAGTAGACCCTTTTTAACTATAAATTGCTATATCCTTGCATGGCTTTAAAAGATAAATGTAAAAATACATATTTCTCCATTTATTACCTCTGTGTACAGTAATTTTGTATAAGCGTGGTAGCCGGGCGGAACTGCAATACCTTCAGCATTGATATCAGGAGGTTCAAACTGATTATGGACGCGAAATTTTATACCGATATCCGGATCGGGATTAAGATGAGTATATTCTTCTTCTTCGATATTTAGAATTAATTTTAAACCATAACGGCTGCCAGGTCTTTTTTGATAGAGAATAGGCGCATCAACTCCTACGGAAATAAAAAGCAATCAGTTGAAGATGTGAATATGAGAAAATAATTTGATCTTAAGTTTGAAATTTCATCTTAAAATACTATGGGAAATAATGTCGAATAACATCGTTTATAATCACGATCAGATGTAATAGCTATCTGGTCTTTGATTCTGACTATACATTATTATGCTCTACTTATGAGATAATATTTATATTTAAAAGGGTATAAAGCTTTGATTGATGATATAAGAAAAATGACGAATATGAATGCGTTAAACGGTTCTGCAAGAAAGGATAAACATGAATAAAAGATATATGGCAATCTTCTATATCCAAAGCAATTAGCTGACTAAGCAAAACTATGATTAGTCCTGACTTTAGAATAGCTGTTTTATCTAGAAATTGAGCAATAAACATAAATAAGATAGAAGATACTAATAAAAGTGTTGGTTAGGAATTAAGTCAAAACTAAAGCATGTACCTAATCATAAATTATAATTTTAATATCTAAAAACTATCCACTTATAAAGAAAATCGTTCCGTAGATTAGCTTTAGAATCGCCTTTAAAGATAGTCTGCCTGACCTGCATTAAAAGTAAAACAAGAGCCATAATCTGTATATATCCTTGTGAAATTCTCTATACTGCAAGGCTGGCGTCCATCGTTCCAGGTGCAATGTTTAATAAATACCTCAGCTTGGTTACTTTTAACGTTTAGAAATTGCGTGATATCAAAAGTAATGTTATCATAAAGTTCGAAGGATATATTTTTTAAGTAGTCATTCCACTCTTTTCCTGTTTTGCCATTGAGGCCAGTGAATATTTGGTTGTTATCGGTTGTAGTAAATAAATTAACTAAATAACCAATGCGATGCCAATCACCATATTCCAATGAAGAAAATCGAAATCGATTGAAATTGCAAACCGATACAGCTGGAAATTTTAATTTTTTACTGACGGTGTAATTAATTGCAGTATTGGTGGGATAGGTAAAGAGATAGTCATAGCGTTGAACGCATGTGATAATGCACAAAATAGTCATCGTTAAGGTCAATAGAAACCAAACCGCATGTCGAACTCGACCACCACGACCAAATATACGAATTATACCATTACAGGATGTCTGTAAGGCGAATCGATCATCATAATTCGAATCATCACTGAATTCAAATTTATCTTTGGTGCTAATGTGGAGATTTTCCGCATAGGATGCAGAGACTGTAGTTTGGTTTGCTTCCTCAAAGACAGAGCTATCATCATTATCATCATAAGGAGTTAGGATAACTAGAGTATCCAAGAATTAATATTAGTTATGTGATAAAAGTATTTATAATGCTACTCTTGGTTAGACTTATTTATAAACTAGCTTAAACTTACTATCTTCAAACTCCTTGTCTGCCTTAACCTTGGAACTTTCTGCACAAGCCAAGGATAGCATAGGATGTTTTACTTTCTCAACAGCAGGGTAATCTTCTTGATCATCACCAGGGGTTAGAAGAACTGAGATATCCAAGTATTCAAGTTATTCAATGCATTGTAGATTATCTCACTTCAATTTATCGTGTAGAAATTAGATTAAATTTACCGTTTTCAAATACTTTATCTCTCTTAACTTTAGAGCTTTCTATACAGGACAAGGACGGTATAGGTTGCTTTACTGCCTTAAAAACAGATCTATCTTCCTGGTCTTCATAAGAAGTTAGAATGAGTAGGGTATTTTTAATTAGTATATAAAGGCAACACTATCTTTATTTAATATAATATTACAAGTTAGGGCAATCTTACGATATTGATACTCTTTTTCTATCTCAAATTTGGAGTCTTTTGCGTTGGGTGAGGATGGTGTGGTTAGTTCTATTTTTTCAAATACAGAGTAATCTTCTTGATCTTTAGGAGTTAGAAGATCTAAGACGTTCATATAATTACGTTACTAAAAGCGTTTATAGTGTCTTTACTGTTAAAATTAACTGTCTGAGAAAAATTTCTCAAGATTACCGTCTTTAAATTCTTTGCCTGTCTTAACTTTAAAATTTTTTGTATAAAGTGAAGATGTAATAGGCTTTTCACTTCCTATCAATAGTCGTCAGATTAGTTGGGTAGTTGTAAAATTATCTTAGCTCGAAACATACCTTCATTAAGTTCTTCATTCATTTTTCCTAATTTTAGGAAGATTAAAGATGATACTGCTATAACGTTATGGTTTCGACCTTTAATTGAATAATAAACTACTTTTTAGCATCTCGAGGTTATGATTGTAAATGACTACGTAAGTGTTACATCAAATGTAAAGAATGGTCAGTAATGTCAGAAGTAGATAGTGCTATTGCAGTAGCGGATAAAAGGATAGATGTGGAACCAGAACAGAGGCTATAGTTGGTCTATTAGTGATGAGGTCTCGCAGGAGTGAGAATACGCTTACTACATAATCTAGTCGTAGAATGATGTTTTAAATGACTATAAAGCATAATTAAAAATCTGGCCAGCAGAGTATTAGATGAACTATTGGGAACTAAACAAGCAATATTGAAGAAAGAATCCAACAGGCCAGGCAAATGAAACATATGGTACATTATAATTATACAGCAATGTTGTATATTCGTCTGCTTATATATTTACTGTCAGTTTCATATTTTTCAACTGATATATTAATTGACTCATAACATTATTTCAGATGTAGTTGATTTTCAAACTAACGATCTACACAGAATTTCGTGTAATTATGAGCATAAGTCATACTGTTATTAGAAATATATCGTATATTCAATCCTATTAAATAGGTTGTATCGGTACGATAGCATTCGGAAATCGGCTAATCTGTAATCCGTAATAAAAATCACCTTACTCAATATCTGTATCTGGATAAGTGTGACAATGCTCTACTCTACAATACTTGTACAATTTTTGATTTGCCATACTTACTGTACTTGAATTAAGCTATGACAAATATAATGTGATTGCTTTTTGCTACCATATGGTTCCTGATTATTAAACCAATTATGGGTGAAATATGAATCATCTGATTGAAGAAGTTATATTAGGATTTGAATTGGGAGTATGGTATGTGGAACGAATGATGATATTTTATCAGAGACTTTGTATAATCTTCCAACTGGTTGTTTCTGATAGGTATCGCTTATTTAGTTCCAACGTTAGAAGAATATTTAATTCATGAATGAGGCTATCATTAGCAGGATAAATAAGCCAGTTCTGATTTTTAAATAGAATAATATGCCACGATCATATCACATAGGGTAAGTATGGCTTTATTTGTATTAGCAATTATGAAATTAATAATTGATATCAGATTAAATGAATCATGGTAGTTGGAACCGTAATTAAATGCAATATAGTAAAATTATTGTTTCTGATTTTAGTATAATTGTATATAATGATCTTATTTTATAGGTGAACATGGGCTTATAGTGGTAACTGCAAATAACGAAATTAATAATGGATATGTAGCGTTCCTTTGAAATTTTGAATGTTAATTAAGCTTAAAAATATAGACATTATTACTAACAAGTTCATGATAAATTGTAGCCTAAGATAAGATACCGCTTGAAATGTCAAAAAGTTCTTTAATGCAAGAAAGTGAAATTATAGTTGAGATTGGAATGACAGGAAATGATAGTTTTATATGTTGTACCGATAAATACGGGTTATATTTGTATTGGCAATGGTAAAGTCAAGTAGGTTACTACATTCTATTACCTAATGCCAGTTAAACATTTGATGTCCAGATGATTTTAATTGTGCAACGATACCGGCAAATACGGTAGTATTTGATTAAAACGGGCCATAATTATATAGCATAAAGATTGTTTAAAATGTTCGAAATAGGTGAATATGATACTACTAAGTAGAATAGTGTATATGTATGAGATTCCATGTTTGGTTGGTACCCTGCTATAGTAGATTTTATCCTGATATCATTCCATTTATAGCGGTATATACTGGTCTTTCTAGACTTGAAGTATTAAGCCAGTTGGTAATTTGCATATTTGGGATTTGCTATAATTTCAACGACATACTATATTCATTTATTTAATTAATTAATGAATTATAAATATCTTGCTATACAAAGTTGGCAAACACGATTAAAGTATCAATCTGCTGCAATCAGAGAGACGGACTTAATCTGCAATATGTCAGCATTAAGTAACGATTAACGTTCATTATTCTAGGTATATTGTTACTATCACTTTGAAATACATCAGTATCAATTTCTTGTAAATTAAATCCTAGTCAAAGTCAAATTTCCTGCATTCCAAGAGCTCGTTAAAAACTGTATTAATTAATCATTGAACAACCTGGAAGTTCTGTTCTAGTAGCTGTTGATATTTCAACTTGAAATTTCAAATCTAGATTTTAACGTAAGTTTTATCAATTATAACAGATAATAACCATTTTGAGGGCTAACCATGTCCTACTTTCATCGTCGAATGTAATCGTGATTTATGTTAAAAATAATATCCTAAGTAAATCTTCAAGCTTGAAGATCGTCTAAATAATTTTTAAATAAGGGTAAATGGTAATATAAATAGTCATTTTTGATTTATGATTTCATGTTGAAGTTTAGTAAAAAGTATCTAGGAAATACGAGCAGAATGCTCTCAGTAGTTTGTGCAATTGATTTTGACTTTGATGTAGAATATTCCAAGATAAATTACTTTCTGTTTGAATACTTTTGGCACTATTTGTAGTAAGTAGTCATCACTAAGATATAAAACCAATTAATTACAGTAGATTCCACTCCAATAACTTTCGGAATTTGTCTCAATTATGACGTAAATTGACGATCGATTAATATCTTGAAGGTTTCGAAGCACTGTTTTATAGCCAACAATAGGATAGTAGTCGAAAAGATAAAAATGTAAATTTTACTTCCATGGCTTATAGTCCATGCAATTAAACTCGATTTTAAATTAAATATCGGTCGATTAATAACTTTTTTCTTGAACATTTAAGATGCTATTTACCCTAACGTGTATTAGGATGCAAAGGAATATTTGTCTATCAGTCTCAATTTCCTTTACATATCGTTGCTTATAATAGTAAATACGATTAGATATTCTTAAGCAAAGGATTACAATTTTAGTTAATATTGCACTTATATCCATGAAGATGATCTTAATCTAGGGAAAGATACACGTATAACTTAGAAAGGTCTAATTACAATTTAAAATTACTTATTCGTATCAGATTTTCTCTGCCTCTGAACTTGTAAAGATGACTACTAATCCATCGGACGATTCTGATGATAGCAACAGCTTAGCAAGCTTTGATTTGGAGGAACATTTTGCTAATGTTACCAGTTGTCATGGAATGATTCATATTTTCGATCATAAAACTTCGTTTTTAAGGCGTTATGTTTGGGGAATCGCAACTTTTGCCGCTTTTACAGCTTGTATTATTGGTTGTATCAATTTGTTACATAATTTATTAAGCCATCCAACTAATATCTCTGTGAAAATTCATCATACCAATAAAATGTTATTTCCCGCAGTGACATTATGCAATTTTAATCAATTTTCAAGAACATTAATCTCGCGTAAGGATATTCGGCATTTAGATACAGTCTTAAGTGCATATAATCACGATCATACTATACCAAAGGAGGACTTAAAAGAAGCTGAAGATTATTTTAAATCTAAAATTCATGGCCACTTTGATTTTAGCCAATATAACCAAGAGCTTGGCTTACAAAAAGAAGATTTAATTTTATCTTGTACTTGGAATGGCGAAAAGTGTGGCTCTAAAAATTTTAGTCGAGTTTTTACATCTTATGGAAACTGCTATACTTTTAACGGAGGTAAAATAAGTTTGGGATCAATATTTTCTCTACAATCTGCTTCACTTATATTGATGCATTATATATATATATATATCCTTAGATCAAGGCTGCATATTTTATTTTACTTAAATCATATTATTTTAAGTCTATTTTGGATAACATCGTAGGTTAACCTACCTGTTTCTTTTGGATTCATCTTAGGTTCGGCAAATCATCCTCTACTAAACCAGCATGGTCGAGGTGCCGCTCATGGTCTGAGTTTAATCCTTAATATTGAACAGTATAAATATACACCGGAGTTGATGGTAGGTGCTCCTAATGTGGGTATACGCTGTTCAATTCATTACTACAAATCGTTACCACGAATGGAATCTCAAGGAATCGCTATACCTCCAGGTGCTCATGCCTACGCGGCTATACCTGGAACAGAGGTAATTTATGATTAAGCGATTAGTCATGGGATTAAATAGTTTTTATATGCTAGTTACTCAACAATTTTAGCAAATACACATGCCTGATGAGATTGATTATACTGTGGATTTACATTACAAAGACTATAACTAAAATCGATCAACAATACACACATGTATACCTCGTACTTTGGAAGATTTGTAGTTAAATTTAAATCTTTTAGTTAATTGCGTCCCGAAAGATGGTAGACCAAGTCATTCGATGTAGTTAGGCTAAAGGCTCCATAATGCAGTATAATAGGTAACATTTTTATGTTAGAAATTTTGTACTATTTGATAAATTCAACTAATTGATGCAATAGAAAGTATTTAGGCCTTGGGTTTTCGTAGTGTAATAAAAATATAATCGAATAAAACACCAGTTGTCTATCAAGCGAAATATCGATCAAGACAAAAATAGCTGTCGCTCCTGCGGAATATTGATCTATCTATTGCTTGAAATTGCGGTTTAACGGTAGGAAATTATTACTATTATCGTTAGGTAACCAATTATCAAAAGAAGCCATGGGGTCAATGCGGTGAGAAAAAGCTCAAATATTACAAATATTATTCCATGTCTGCCTGCCTGCACGAAGATGAAACTCTCTTTGCGGAAACAACTTGTCAATGCCGTGATCCTCGCTTACCGGGTATAGCAGTAGATTCTATGGAATTTTTGTTTTAAATATAACTAATTTGGAATGTTTCTAATTGTGTTATTTTTCACGATATTATCACATTGATCTATTTGCTACAATTATATCTTCAGTATTAATTATTGCGATTTAAATACTACTAGGGAATGAAAAAGCTTGCACACCGATACAAATGTTAGAATGTCTCATTCCGGCCATGAGTAAGTATAACTTCAAATTTTGAAAGGAGATATTTTAATAGTGTCATACGGTAGTGTTCTATATTGGGATAATATCTGTATCCTAGGAGCAAAAAATAGATATCATTTTCCGTTACATTGTGTCTTCTATACTGCTGTATAAATATAAATTCTAACTGTACCGATAAAGTAACAAAAATTACTCAATTATAGTATGGACAAAGTTCCATAATGTTGAGAAATTACTGCTAATGGACATGGTCCTTGGCTGTGATACGATTCATCATCCTTTCTTCCTAGTACTCTTCTCTCTCGAAACCATGACATTTTTCGTACTTGTATATGCGTAGACAGTCATGTTGAATTTTCTCCATGTTGGCCCGATAATCATCTTTGAGTTTTAGTTGTGCACCTTTGGCAATATTGTAACAGATTTAGCTAGATATCTAGAATTTTAATACTGTAATATTTTAGGCAGAGAATCGAGTTTTTTCTTTTACGACCCGACTCATACACGGGTTTACGGACCCTATATGATGGCTATTTCAAACTTATAGACATTACTATCTTAACGCGGAATACCTTTAGTTTAGTTAATCTGAGTCGACCGTTTTGAATCAAATTTATATTTTATATGCGCATTCGGAATATGTATAGCAGCCATTCAAGGTATCAAATGCTTCCTTTCTTTCAGAAACGCTTTAAAAGGACATTTTTTAACATAAGTGTCTATGTTGTCTGGCAATTTTGTTCCTATAAAAATAATGAACTGTTTAAAAATGTCTATTCTATAACTAAAGGTCGATATCGAGAACAAGATCGTAATTTATCTAGCTGCCCCGAGGTTTGCGAACGCGTAGAATATGTCCCACAAGTTTCTTATGCTAAAATTCCAGCTAAAATTATGGCAGAAGAAATTGCATCAAAATATAACCTCCATCAGGTTCACAAGAAAGCCATAATTGAAGGTGGTATAGTAGATAATAGTACATCAGTAAAGCAATTTATCAGGTTAGCAGCAACATCGTAATACCTACTGTTTAATGTTTATGTTCGTATGATTGTCCAAGCTACGCGTAATAAATATGTATAGATGATTGATTTCTACATTAATTTAATCTAATGTGGCTCTACATTTTTAGGGATAACTTAGTTTTCCTAGACATCTTTTTTAAAAATTTATATAACACAACAACCACTCAAGCAAGGGATGCAAGCTTCTCGCAATTTTTAAGTAATAATTCTATCGTCATCCTATCTTGATCATTTAGCTTAGCTAAAATGAAAAATTCAATTTTTGTATCATGTAAAATTGAAATTAATCAGGATAGAGGTTAACTTTGTGACGGGTACTTTTATATTGTAACTGTGCGCGTGTGCGATCTTAATTGGTACTATATTTGATTTATAGACCGAATTTTGCAGTTTGATTGATTTCTTACTTTCTAATAGGTAATGTTGGAGGTCAAATTGGTTTATTTATTGGCGGTAGCTTCCTAACTTTGCTTGAAATTGTAGAATATATCTTTGACAAATTAGCTCAGCAACGAAGTCGATATCGACATAAAACTAGTCAGATTGAAAAAGCAGAGTGGAAGAAGATTTATGCATCTAGCATGATTGTCCCGAAAACCAGCTACCATAATGGTAATGCGAATCATCCTCCACCATATGAACGTACATTAGTCCAAATGGATGAGTGCGACTCAACAGAGGGCTTCCTCAATGGTCCCAAGTATGTTCATGTACACAAGCAATGCAAAGAGTAATCGAAGAATGCCCTAACGACGTTCTGTACTAACGTCTACCTGCAAATCAGCCGGCTTGAGACAGTAACAAGCAAATCTGGGTTTTCTTGCTGCTGTAAACTTCCTTTTCAAGACAGTACGATTTATAAGATATTCTAGCATAAACAGAAATCAATTTTTCTATATGCTTGCTTAATGTACAGCATGTGTAGCCAATTTATTGCAGTGATTGTGCCAGATGTAGCGATATATGTCCAGGTAAACAGATGCAGGCATTTTGTAACGTAGAAATCAGTATAATCCTATATATTATTTTAACTTAGAGCATCGATTAAAAAGCGTTAAACTATCATCGTTTTCAAAACTGAGATCTATTTTACACACAATGGATCAATTTAGGACCAAGCTATCACACTGCAATCATCATAAGATGTCAAATCGTTATTTATTATCAATGCTATCATTAGACTGCAGAAAGATAGCTACTTTCATGAGAACTAGTACAGTGGTCTTTCGATAGTTAAAACTCAAGTGAACCAGCAGCATGTCGGAATTATTACTACGCAATCTTTCGATTACCAGTGTAGCTAATATTTTGTATACATTGTTATATACTTGCAACGATATTAAATTAACATTAACATATTTTTTGATACAATCAACACTATAAGTATTGCATACAGTATGATAATAAACCATATCACAAATAATTAATATTATAATTTACTGCTATAAAATCCTATAATCTCTTAATAAAGAGCTAGATCCTACGAAAATAGCTGTTAACGAATAAATTTGTTACAATATGACTATATATTATAGAAAGCTATGCTAGAATGACGTAAGCAATACAGTATACCGGAGGAAGGTGATCATAAGCCAGTCACCAATCGGTATTCGGTATACATTTCGAATATGCTTGCAAAATACATAACTTGGGTCTTAGGTAATTAATAGATACAGGATATGAATCAATTATTAGACTTTTCAATCTAGATATTACCAATGTTAGAGAATAATATTTATTGGTTAACTTCTTCACAAGCGTCGATCCAGTCGCTGTATACATCCACAGGATGTGATAGATCTACGTGAATAGTAAATGATGGAAATGATATTAGATGGGATGTACAGGTGCCATCATAACTAACTTTAACAGAGATAGTAGTACGCTAATATTATTTATTTGTACAGTAAAGGGCTAAAGATTTTGCACTGCATATACTGTATGATTGACTTCATTGCTTTTAGGTTAATCAAACTGTCATAATCCAAGTCTGTCGTGTGTACTTAACGATTGTGCGTTATACTTATGGAGGTACAGTACACTAGTATACTTTATACTGTATAGTTCATCTAATTTCTGTAGATTGAGAGTTGCATAAATAATACTACAAGAACCTACAGCATTAGATTGAAGATTAATATTATGTTTGTATAACTACTGGTTGATATTTCTTCTCTCACTGTTTTACAAAATCTTATATGAGGATATCTTATTTTGCAGACAGTACAAGACTGTTGCTAATTGATATTAGAACCTTACAGGTGATTTTGGTTTGAAAATCTTCACCACAGACTCGACATTCTACCAGACCAATGTTTTTAGTATGATCACTAAAGAAATAAAAAGAAGCATCCATTTAACTATAACATTATCATCCTGTACTTGTATTCCTTTATTTGCAACTGAACATTTTGCCTTATACCACCAACAATTAATCCATACAATTCATTGACGTGATAAAAATGAAATACACAAAATTTTATCGTACTGTACATATTTTTTAAATGACATAAAAGTTTGGTTGACTAGTTTAGATCGCATACGACTTATAGAATCGGTTTGTCTAGTCATGTATTGAGAATCTAGTTCATATCTTTGCAGGCTTCAAGGGTATAAAAATACATTCGTGATATGACGTAGGATCGCAGTGTAACCAGAGTGATAAGCATGCCACCAATTTAATATTATTCTACATCATCGCTTTTCTTGCGATCTTTTGAAATAAACAATAAAGGTTTCATCACTTATCCTAGCCAAATTACTCTATCAACTACCAAATATGAAATGTTGCTAAAGGTTTAGAGTAGCTAAAATGGGTATAGTGGATATTGACTGCATTTATCGCGGCATAGAGTAAGGGAATGTACGCGTTACCCAATCTGCAAAGTTGATTTATAGTTTGATCTATGGATAATGTTTGCTATCCGGAAACAAACTACGATTTCCAAGTAGTTTAGCGCGTTCCATAAACCATGAAGAGATATATACGCATGCAATGAAGCTACGCTAATACTGTAAAGATGAATTTGTGTTCATAGACTATAGTGAAGGACTTTGTGAGATTCTCCAAACAAAACAATTTCTCAGGTTTTGGGGGGAATTTCTAACTTTAGGTTGATAGATGTATACTGTGGATGAAGACTGATGATATTGCAAGATTCGTTCGATTTCTGGGCAATCGTAATGAATCATTTTATCACTAATACTGGCTCAATACTAGAATAGGTCCTATAGAGTCAATAATAACTTGAAAATCATTGTCTATATCCATCATAAAAATTCATCTATGCTATCCAATCCATCAGCCATCATGATTCAAAACAACCGAGTTGATCATCCCATACAGTACATGCGGTCTATCGATTTGAGTGACTTTCTCGATCAACATGTTGAGTATAATTTCAACTTACAGCTTAACATCACAAGATTTTTCATGATTGCAGAAAGGGCAAGTAAACTGAGTCTCCAATCCTCCAACTAGTTTCTTCTTTGGTGGAGGTTTTCGCTTGGATTTCCTTCTTCCCATCTTATTCTTGTGGTGGTTAGCGCAGCGCGATTTCAACTATGGAAAGGCACGTAGATTGATTGTCCAAAGGGCATCGACTTTCGTTATATACTGTTTTCTACGGGATAAAGCGGTTGCTTGCGTAGTACTACTCTGCCTGTTTGTAGGCATGGACAACTAGGATATTCTAGTAGTCTAAAGTCTCTCCAGTTTAAAATGTCACCCCAGTCCGGTTTGCACTCTGGCAGTTCAAACGACTTCGTATACGAAGTCGGCCGCTACAATACAACGGATGGAAAATTGGGGTGACATTTTAAATTGTAATCCGGTTTGCACTCTGGCAGTTCAAACGACTTGTAGTGTACTGTACTGTACTAGTACAGTACATGTACTGTAGACCTCCCGGATAAAAGTACAGTACTGTAATCATGTTGATATTATAGTGGGTTACTCAAATCTGTCCAGTAACTTGTCTGTCCGTATGCGTTTTTCCTGACGAAAAGCGATTGTCATTCGGCTAGTCGAGTCTAATCGAGGATACAGTATCAAACAGCGCAATACGATACAGTACAGTGTATGGCATTTGATGTACGTTCAAAAGTGTAATTTCTCGCTTAATGTCAGTTTTGAAATGAATATTTGAATATTTTTGATCGTTGGCAATTTCTCACTAATTTCAAGTATCGAAATAGTATAGTTGATACTGTTCTTTTTGTAGAACCGAAAAATTTAGCAGCTTATTGCTTTTAATGCGGAATATTTGGACTTTAAAGTAGGATAATGAGTGAAAAACGCCATTTTGTGTTGATCTGAATACTAATGACATCCCTTTTAAATCAAAACTAGTCTGCATTCGAAAGCAAATCATGACCATATTTATCTCTTTTACAATAAAAATATTGCTTATCAATATGAGTAATGGCTGAGATCTTGCGGAAGATGAGAAATTACTAAAGCATTTGAATCATTTACCAACAGGTTACCTATCCAGAAGCGATCAATAAGATAGTATAAAAATACAACTACTAAAATCCATTATGCCTCTTTAAAGTCAATATGCTTCATGATAGAAAGTATAAACTCTTTATAATTGATCAACTACAAGACGAATAAGACTGAGTATTATAGGCAAGACATACTAAATTAACGAAAAATTCCAAATTATCCAAATATTCGGATAGCTTTAAAAGGAAATGAAGCAAGAAATTACCATTCTGAAGGTACGCAAGATCCTATAGGTTAGACTCTATCGCATCAAACTGTTTGATACTGCCACCTTCAATTAGACTAGACTTATTTTAGGGTGGGGGTGATTCAAACACAGACGGACAGAACCCGCCAGATATTGAACTGAACAAGATACAGGCAGCGCGTGCAAAAGCTCGCCAAACCAAGATCCTCTAGCTCAAGCTTCCTGCTAACCAGCTCATGGCCATGGCTGAGATTCAAGAAATTGCATTTATTACGGAATCAAACGGTCATTCAGGCTGTATTTCTGCATGGAATTTCCATACCGGTATACAATATAAAAGTTATAAAAATGGATGTTGCGCCAAGCATGCCCTTGCAGTGACCGACAGCTATCTCCTTGCTGCACAACCTGGTCAAGCGCTGATCCATGTTTGGTCCGTTAGCAAAGTAAGCGGTTGAACATGATCATTAATACAGTAGACGTTATTCGACTGATATTAGTTAAGAACTTACGACAACGCTAGAATACTGGATAGCTTGAATGTTGGCACTTCATTAATTCTAGCATGCTTAAAGTTGATTGCTATCATGTACTGCACATCATCGAATCATAGCATTACGATCTGCCTGAAAAATTGTCGTTTGCTGTAGTAGGAGATTTAATGTGCTTGTAGTTGATGACATTTTACTTCTTCTGTGTATGCAGCAAGATTAATATCGAATATCACAATACGAGTACTCCTATTTTAACACCAGTTAGTATACAAAAGTTATTAAATGTTAATCATAATATCACGGTTTCATACTAATGTTACCCAGCTATAGCTGTGCTAGAAAATTTGATATTTTACTGCACGTTACCTCATAGATTCATACTTATATGCTAGTATTTGGAGTATAGTATTATTCACCGGCAATAATATTAAAATATTACTTAATGAAAGTGAATGATTCTCTCTGTTTTTAACTTTTTTATGCCTAAAATTAATAATAATACAGGCATAATCGCCTTACTCACCTGCTGTACATCAGTGATTTAGAATCATTCAGAGTCAAATTGTATCTTATTATAGATCTAGAAGCAGTATGTATGCGTATACTATACTAGTATGTTGTACAGTAGTAAAGGCGATTATTTCAATTATTATACAAAATACATATTCATTCCTATATTAGGAGCAGCTTCATATGAAGATTGCTTGCCCAGGTAAAATTACAGCTTTGGCTTGCAGCCAAGACAGTGCGTATTGTGTCGCTGCTATTGAAGAAAAAGTTTATGTTTGGCAGGTAACTTTGACAGCTTTCATGTCTTAAATGTATGCGTAGTTTTATTGACTCATACGCAAGTCTGGTTTTCTGACATACCGTGCTACTTCTTCAAATCTTATGTAACAGCTATCGACTGGTAATTTACTGTCAGTACTATCTCGCCATTACCAAGCCATTCGATGCATTCGCTTTGTCGATGATTGCTCACATTTTATCACCGGTGGTGATGATGGACTTGTCATTGCATGGAGGCTTGCAGAGTAGGTCTATCTACGCGTATAAGTTACCAATAGGCCACTACCTACGCCGTAACAGTTAACCTCATTTTTTTAACTATTGTAATCTAATTTCTCATCATTATGATCATGCTCATGCTTCATTAGCGTCATTGCTATTGGGAATCAATTCGAAACCGGTAATCGATTAAAATCTCCAAGGTATGTTTGGTCTAATCATTCTCTACCGATTACAAGTATATTTACCGGATTGGGTGGCTACCAGTCGCGTATTGTGACTACATCCAAGGATCAAACTTGCAAGGCAAGGAGTTGTGTCACTTGTTTTAAATGATCATATTATATTAGTTTACATTGTACTTTAGTTTTCGATCGCTAAAAAAGTTGTGTAGACCTACTAATGGAATAATATAACGTACTTACTACTATACCTTAAATAATTATTTTTAGCTTTGGAATCTAGCTGATGGTCAGCTGCTATACTCATTGGTATTCACTTCTATAGTGTCATCAGCCATAATGGATTCTATCGAAGCCAACTTATATGTTGGTACATCCAAAGGGAAAGTCTATCGTATAGACTTGTATTCTACGGTAAAGAAAGCTTATAATTTGATTTGCATTTAGTAACTTTAACTTAAAAAAGTGTACGTCTTGTCAAATTCTTTAATTTAAGAGGTACCAATTGTCCTTAACACAACACTTATAAATAGTTTACAGGAATAGAACAACACATAGACGATGATCATACTCAAGTTGTTAATGGACATAGGTATAGGCCAAAATTTGCTTGTATAGAGATTATTTCAATAGTTAAAGTATAACAGATGTTAGCGTACACTGAATATCTATCAATGCATAACATAAATACAAAAACTGAAGTCATAAAATTCAATTAATGCTATACGTATATTTTTACAGTGATGCAGTCAACTGTTTAAGTACCTCTATTGATGGGAATCTATTATTATCCGCGTCTGAAGACTGCACAGTTAAATTATGGCATACATCCGGCTTTCAATGCATAAAGATAAATCAATTGAAAGGTCTATAGGAGCTTTTTTCAAATTCTTTGTTATGTGGTCTTACGAGTACTTTGTTAAAGCAGTACATTACATGGTGCAAATGTTAATATAGGCTATATTGCTTATAACTACAATCATTTTGTTATAATAGGTCCCATTACCAATTTAGCTTTTACTACTGCCCCTCATACGGCAATTAGACCGAAGGATTTACGAAAGCAATGTTTACCACCTTTGAAACCTTTTAAACGTTATTTATATGATCCAAATGCTGCGATCGATGTAAATATGTCGACTGTTCAAGGGATGAAATTGTTAGCTCAGGATAGCGTAGATGTGTTATTAAAAGGAAATACTAAGGTAATTTTTCTTTCAGAATTATCAGTGATTTATACTTCATTTTTAAGTAAATAAATTATGAGGTATTAACTTCCTTTTGTTCTCAAATTTGCTGGTCTAAGGATATTTTCCATTTACAAGGTTAGCATGGATAAAATTTATCTTACGATAGTTAACTTTACTACTGTTAGTTAATCTCTCATCACTTCCTTATTTATCATGCGTAGATTTTTCATCTAACTCTGGAAAAAATGACAAATTAGAGCGGAAAATCGTTAATGATGCTATGGTAAGATATAATTTATTAATATACATGTCAAAATAATTACGATGTAGTTTAGTGCTGTAATATCTGTGATTGCTGTTTATGATTTAGGAAGCCGTTAGTCGTGAGCGAAAAGATAGTAAAACAAATCTCAATGAGGAAGGAATACAGAATTCTTCTCAATTGCAGGAAGAAATTAGTAAACTTCGAGAAATTAATAAAAATTTTTACTTGTTTGCTGTAAACGAATTATTTGAACGCAACTGAAAGCGAATTCATAGTCTACTATAGCTTAATTACCAGAACCGAGAACAAAATATGAAGGTATTTACATCCACAACGTACCATTGCAAACGTTTCAAACAATAAATAAATTAACTATTCCTTTACACTGCAAATAGTCTATATAAAATTATAAGTAATTACATGTAACATGCTATGCATTATGGACATATGAAAACACTTACAAAACAGTTTGACTGTTATGTAAACTGTAATAAATATAATTTAGACAATTTTTTCATGTCTGATATTCATGTAGGATATTGTACATTTTATTTTATTCTTGTACTCAATCATGTTAAGCTAGAGGCTTACTGTATACGAATAGTACTTGTAATTATTACATGGCATAAAACAATACTGTGTGCCATTTTACGATATAAACGAATAAATCACACTGGAATTGGATTTTCTTCGAATGTTGTATTTGGAGAAGCCGGTGCAATTTCATACTCGTTTTGGCTTGTTGGACGCTTAATTATTTTACATAGATTCTTAAGCTTAGTCAAGAAGTATTCACCAATTTCAAGCATGGTTAATACACTGGCTCCGATGAAAAGACCTAATTGACCGCCAATGTCACCTACGTAGTTTAATCAGTAATTACGATTCCAGTTCGTCATCAGAATGGTAAAAGATTGAGTTATTTGCATGGGTACATGATAAAATAGAGATCCTACACTCAAATACTATCAAGACTGAGAGCTCATGATTGCCTTTTACGCATTGTTATCGCGTACAGTGAAGTTATTTTATAATATATTCGTTAGCGATATAAGTTAATGTATAGTTATATAGAAGGTAATTTTGTAACTAAGGTAATTCATTAATATTTAGCTTACTTAAGAAAGCGTTAAAGGTGTAGCCCAATTCCTGTATTGCTGTGTTGTATCTCAATCTCTCGAAGAATATATCAAGGAATATATAATTCTTTCTATGCAACGGAAATTTGAAATAAGCTTTAGTATACTTTATCCTCTAAGTCGACTTTAATATCATAAAGTTTAAAAGGGTATCTATCAAGTTATACTTGACTATCATATCACTTTAATACTAGAATAGTTCGATTAAGAAGAGTGGTTTTAAATTTACAGTACTGATATTTACAATAACTTAGCGTAAGTAGTAACCCTTAAAAGGTCCTACATCATTGAGCTTGTCAATCATGCAGGATAACAGAGTGAAGGCCAGAAATTTAGTTTTAGTGTTATAGTTAACGCAATTAATACTACTTTTAACAAAATACAATAAAGAAATACTGATGAACAGTTATTCTAAAGGACTTGGACCCTTGCTTAAGTAAATTGCGTTGACTACAGTTGTATAAAAGTACTTGGAAATTGATCTTTACATTCCATGCTGTATATTTAATGATATTTTTTACAGTTATGAAATATTAGACTACTTGTTATAAGGTACCGAGTGTATCAGATATAATGTAGCTTGTTTTTGCGAATGAATTATGATACCTCATGTATCTGGAAATGGATGAATTTAGTACTCTATTAGCATCTACTTCATCCAGGTTCAAGCCAAAAAGTGGTGCTTCTTCTGATGTTATCGTTTCAGTTGGTGTCATGGAATAGCTCACCGCTGGATCATACGAAGTCCACAAGCATGCTGTTGGACAATAGCAGGAACTATTGTTTATTTCTTCTAAATAAAATGAAAAAAATAGAGAGGTATGAGCTTATTTTTCATCCTTTTGCCGATCACACAAAATGCTGTTAGAGAATTCAGTAGGTAAGAAGTTATTACAGATGAGTCAGAAATGTACAGATTAGTACACGTATCTTGTGCATTACTTACCAATATTATTAGTCATACACTGATTAATTTGATGCGCTGAACAGAATGGAGCTGAACCTTTAAAAATGATAGTGTTGTCTTCATGAATGGAATAGAATATTTTTGCAATGCATCTAAGCTATTAGACGCCA